GACGACGACGACGACGCACGCCGCGGCCGCGACGCCGGCGTGGGCGAAGACGCCGCCCCGCGCGAAGGAGTACGCGAAGGAGAACGACCCGACGCGCGCGAGGCCGACCGTGGAGGACGCGCGCCGCGACCCCGCGGCGATGCCGCGCGCGCCCGCCGACGACGAGGGGTTCGCGAAGTGGCGCGCGATTCAGGTGTGGGCGTCCATCGACTCAGTGGAAGCCGCCGCGGACCGGGGAGGAGGAGAGGGAGCGGCGCGAACGAGGAAAGCCACCCCTCCCTCGTCGCCGCCCAAGGACCAGGACGGCGAAATCTCCATCGGCGGCGGCGTCGTGCGCGGCGTCGGCGTCGTGAACGACGACGACGACGACGACGACGACGCGGCTCTGCGCGGACTCCCGGACACGCTCTCCCCGGCGGTGTACCGAGCGCAACGCGCGGAGCCGCCGACGACGGCGGTCATCGCGGAGATCCAACCCGCGCTGCTTCGGTCGCACGCCGCGACGCGCTTCCGCGGCGAGGCGACGGCGACGCGCGCGCCGGCGACCGCGCGCGACGCGCGAACCCCGGGCGAGGAGACGGCGGCGGACGGCGACGACGACGCCGCGACGCCGCCGCCGGAGTGGCTGACGCCGCCGCCGGCGGGCGCCGCGCCCGCGAACGCGTCCACGACGCCCGCGTCCGCGACGCCCGCGGGCGACGCCGCGCTCGAGATCGAGGTCACGCGTCGACGCGAGCGCGAGGCGCGCCGCGCGATCGACAAGATGGACGCCGCGATGCGCAAGCTGCGACGCGAACGCGACGACGCGAGCGAGCGCGCGCTGCGAGATCGCGCCGCGTTGACGGCGCTCGGCGCCAGGGAACGCGAAGCCGCCGCCGACGCCGTGCGCGCGAAGACGGAGTGCGACGACCTGAGGAAGCGCGCGGACGCCGCGGTGGCGGCCGCGCGCGCGTTCGAGACGCGGCTGAGGGAGCTGACGGAGTCCGCGAGTCGCGAGAGCGGCTCGAAGGCGAAGGCGGTGGAGGAACTAGAGGCGGCGTTGATCGTCGAAAAAGAAAAAGTCGCCGCGTTGGAAGCGAGCGAAGGGTGGGAGCGCGCGCGGTGCGAAGAGAAGGACGTCGCGCTGCTCCGCGCGAAGACCGCCGCGGAGGAGGACGCGAAGGAGAGGGCGCGAGCGATCGCCGCGCTGGAAGACGAGGTGCAGGTTTTGCGCGCGCGAGTGTCGGCGGGGGACGCGCGTCGGAAAGAATTCGACGCGCGAGAGGCGGACGTCGCGCGCGTCAAAGAGGAACTGAAGCGCGCGCAGGGCGGCGTGAGCGGCGTCGTCGCCGCGTCGCTGCGGCGCGCGCGCGCGATGCTCCGCGGCGCGCTCGGCGAGGGCGCGGCGGCGGCGCATGACGTCGACGAATCGGGCGAGAAGGACGCGGAGTCGTCGTCGTCGTCCCCGGAGTCGGAGGCGTCGAAGCTCGTCGCTGTCGTCGAGTCCGCCGCCGACGCGCTCGCCGCGCGCCTCGACGCCGCCGCATCCGACCGCGAGATCCTCACGCGGCGCCTCAAGGCTGCGGGCGACTTCGAGCGCGGCGCCGCGGAGCTCCGAGACGCGGTCGTCCGCGCCACGGAGGCGTCCGCGAAGGCGGCAGAGGCGGCGGAGGAGGCGAGGCTCGAACGCGACGCCGCCGTCCGCGCGGCGGACGCGGCGACGACGCGCGCGAAGGACGCGGTCGACGCCGCGCGACGCGAGCGCGCCAAGGCGTGCGAGATCGAGGCGCGCGCGGAGGCGACCGAGGACGCGCGGACCGCCGCGATCCAAGCCGCGGAGGCGCGCGCGGACGCCGCGGAGGCGAAGGCCGCGGCGGCGACGCGCGAGGCGAAGACTTCGGAACGCGGCGCAAAGGCTGAGGCGAAGGCGGCGGCGAAGGCGCGAGCGATCGCGGAGGAGGAGCGCGACGCCGCGCGGAGGGAGCGCGACGCGGCGGTGAAACGCGCGCTCGCGAGTGAGGCTGCGACCGCGGCGGCGACCGCGGAGGCGGGCGCGAAGGAAGCCGCCGCGTTGGCCGCGACGAGCGCCGGCGAGGAGCTCACGACGCTCGTCGCCAAGTACTCGAAGGATACGAAATCGGCTAAAATGGAGGCGTTACAAGCGTGCGACCGCGCTGCGAACGCGGAAGCGGACGCGGCCGCCGCAAAAGCCGCGGAGCGCGCCGCGGCGGAGCGCGCGACCGCCGCGGAAGCGAGCGCGGCGCTCGCGCGCGAGGAAGCCGCCGCCGCGAGGGAGGACGCCGCGGTGAAGACGGAGCGCATCAGAGAGCTCCGCGGCGCCGTCGCGGACGCGCTCGGCGCCAGGGCGGACGACGAGAGCAAAGTCCGCGAGCTGGACGACGTCGCGTCCGCGGCGGCGGCGAAGATCACGGCGTTGCAGTCCGCGGTCATCGCCGCGGAGACGGCGCGAGACGACGCGCGCGCGCGCTTGATCGACGCCGCCGCGGGCGCCGACGCCGACGCGAAAAAAATCGCCGCGTTGGACGCGGAAGTCACGAGCGCGCGGATCGCGTTGGAGTCGCTCCGCGTCGCCGCGGACGAGGAAAAACGCGCGCGCGTCGTCGCGGAGAAGGTCGCGGTGAGCGCGGAGTCGCGCGTCGCCGCCGCGGAGGAAACGGCTAAAATGGAGGCGTTACAAGCGACGGCGACGAAGGCGACGCTGGAGGAGACGCGTCGCGCGGCGACGTCGCGAGAGGAGGAGAGCAGAGCCGCGTTCGCCGCGATTCTGAGCGCGTTGGACTCCGCCGTCGCGGGCGCGTTCGCCGCGCCAGGTGCCGACTTTGACGACGAGAATCAGGAGGGTGCCGAAGAAGGTGCCGAAGCGTCGACGACGTCCCCGGTCCCGGACTTTGCCGCGCTTCGCCCCGCGTCGCTCGCGCCGCCGACGGGGACGACGCTCGATCACGGCTTTTTCCTCCGCCGCGCGGATGACGAAGTCGAAGTCGCGTCCGCCGCCGGCGCCGGCTCTCCCCCGCTCTCCGGGGATAAAATCGCGGCCGCGGCGACCGCGCGCGGCGTGTGGGCGGTCTCGCAGCTCGCCGAGCGCGTCCTCGCGATCGCCGCGGCGAGCGACGCGCGCGGTCGCGTCGCGAGGGCGGCGACGGCGACGGCGAAAGCGGCGGAACGCGCGGAAGCCGCCGCCGCCGCGGCGACCGAGCGTCTCGTCGCCGACGGCGCCGCGCGCGCGGAGACCGCGGAGGCGGCGCGCGCGGAGGCGATCGACGCCGCGGCGCGCGCGAACGACGCGCTGCGCGCCTCGGAGGCGCGCGTCGACGACCTCGAACGCGCGCTCGACGCGGTGAAGACAGCCGCGCTCGACGCCGCCGCGGAGGCGTCGGCGGCGTCCGAACGCGCGGCGATGGCGGAGGAGGCGTCCGTCGCGACGCGCGCGGACGCCGCCGCCGCGGAGGCGGTCGCCGCGGAGGCGACGTCCCAGGCGACGGTCGCGGCCGCGGAGGCGACGCGACTCGGCGAGGCGCTGACGGCGGCGCGCGCGGACGCGGCGGCGGCGCGCGCGGAGGCGGAGGCGCACGCGACGATCGCGCAAAAGGCGCAGGACGAGGCGCTCGCGGCGACGATCGCGCGGTGCGATCTCGAGAAGGATCTCGCCGCGGTCGTCACCGGGCAGCAGACCGCGATGCGAGCGCTCGAGTCCGCGGTGCGACGCGCGGAGGAGTACGCCAAGGAGGCGGCGACGCTGCGATGCCGTCTCCCGTTGACGTCGAGTCGCGTCGCCGCGGCGCGTCGCGCGCGATCCGCCGCGCTCGCGAAGGCGACCGCGACGCGCCGCGAGCTCATCCGCGCGAAGGAGACGATCGCGCGCGGGATCGAAGAGCGCGCGACGCTGCGCCGCTTCGCGGAGAAGGCGGAGGCGAGCGCGGCGAGAGCGGTCGACGCCGCGAAGAGGGACGCGATCGCGTCCGCGGCGAAGGCGGCGGACGCGGAGAAGGAGGCCAAGGCGCGTTCTCCTTACACTGGTCCCCATACGACCGCGTCGGCGTGGTGAACGCCGATCCTTAAGGACTTTTCTCGGCGTGTCTCATCGCCCACCCCACGGTTTCAATCCCCGCCCTCGACGCCTTTCAACTTGCACTGACGCCTTTCAACTCCACCCCGACGTTCGCTCGTATGGAACGACCCTAAGGCGACGACGCGGAAGCACGACGCTCTGAAACGCGCGCTCAAGAACAGCGCGGAGCGGCTCGCGAGCTCGGAGAAGGAAGCCGTCGCGACGCTCGCGGCGTCGGAGCGGCGCGTCGAGGTCGCGGAGGCGTCGTCCAAGGCGGCGAGGGAGCGCGCGACGGCGGCGGCGAAGGCGTCGCGAAGGATGGAGAAGCAGTGCGCCGAGTTGACCGAGGCGAACGCGTCGGCGCGCGCGAGCGCGGCGGCGGCGAACGCGCGCGCGTCGGACCTCGCCGCGAGGCTGAAGGCGGTGGAGGCGGCGCTCGCGGCGGCGGCGAACGCGCGCGGAAGACGAAACGGCGAGGAAGACGAAACGTCGCTTCGCGCCGCGCTCGCCGCCGCGCTCGCCGCGAAAGCCTCCGCGGAGGAAAAGCTCTCCGTGGACGTCAAGCGCCTCGAGGACGAGTTCGTCGCCGCGCTAGCGGCCGCGCGCGCGGCGAACACGGCGAACACGGCGGGCGGCGAGTCGTTCTCGGACGCGATCGCGTCGTTGGAGTCCGAGCTCGCGGCGTCTCGCACGGAGTGCGAAGCGCTGCGAAGCGCCGCCGACGCCGCCGCCGACGCCGCGCGCGACGCGCGGCTTCGCGAGGAGAAGATGGAGGCGGCGCTCGTCGCCAACGCGCTGCCGCCGACGCCGCCGGGGGCGCTGTTCAAGCACGACGACTCGCTGTCGCCGGCGCCGGCGACGCCGGACGTCTTGGCGGCGGCGGCGGACACTAGTGTCGGACGACAACACGCGCCGCCGTCGGAAAACGAAGCCGTCGCCTTCGCCGACGCCGTCGCCGCGGCGACGGCGACGTTCCAAGCCGAGGCGACGCGCGCCAAGGCGGAGTCGTCGCGCGCGCGGAAAGACGCGGAGTCGATCCTCGTCGCGGCCGAGGCGACGCGCGACGAGGCTGTCGCCGCGCGCGACGCCGCCGCGAAGGCGACGGCGGAGCGCGACGCGCTCCGCGAAGAAGTGGCGACGCTCGAGGCGAAGCTCGCCGCCGCCGTCGCGGAGGCGGAGGCGTTCGCGGAAGCCGCGGCGGCGTCGCCCGCGGCGCCCGCGTCGCCCGCGTCGCCGGCGACGGCGCGGCTCGCGAACGACGACGACGACGACGGGAGCGCGCGCGCGTCCGCGATGAGCGGGTCGAGCGACTCGGACGCGATCGTCTCCGCGGTGGCGACGGCGCACCCCGCCGTCGACGCGATTCGACGCGACGGCGGCGGCGGCAGCGGCGGGTCCAGCCGGTCCGCGTCGCCGCCGCCGATGCCGTCGATCCCAGAGCATCGCGCCGCGCTCCCGGCCTCGACCTCGACCTCGACCTCGACCTCCTCCTCCTCCCTCCACGCGCACGCGCACAGCGAGCGCGAGGTGTTGCGGCAGGTGGCGCTCGAGGCTGCGTCCGAGGCGCGCGCGGCGATCGCGAAGGAGCTCGCCGTCGCGCGCGCCGTTGCGAAGGAGGCGGAGGAGAGAGCCGCGGGGGCGACGACGCGCGCGTCCAAGGCGGAGAAGATCGCGGAGGACGTGCTCCAGCACGCGGAGGCGGCGGAGCGCGCGTACGAGGCGAAGCTCAGGGACGCGGTCGACGCGAGGCGCGCGCTGGAGGAGGAGCTGAGGGAGACGCGGCGCGAGAAGCCGACGGCGAAAAAGCAAAAGCCGCCGCCGCCGCCGACGACGACGACGTCGACGTCCGTCGCGACGTCCACGCCGCCGCCGTCGCCCGCGGTGACGTCCACGACGCAGACGGAAGCGGATGCGGATGCGCCGGCTGCGTCCGAAGCGCCGCGCGAGGCGGCGGCGCTGGCGTTCGACGACGCCGCGCTCGAAGAACTCCGCGCGCGCGCGGACGCCGCGGAGGCGGCGGCGGAGGCGACGCGCGTCGAGCTCGAGACGGCGCGCGAAGAATGCGCGAGACTGACCGCTCACGGCGCGTCGCTCGAAAAAGCCGCGTGCGCGGCCGCCGCGACCGCGTCCAAGGCGGAAGCGCGTTCCGCGGCGACGGAGACGGAGCTGCGCGCCGCGATCGACGCCGCGACGTCGAGAGCGGACGGCTTCGAGGCGGCGCTCGCGGAAAAGTCCGCGGAAGGTGCGTTCTATACACTGGTCCCCATACGACGCCGTTTGCGTGGTGAACGCCGTTCCTAAAGGACTTTGCCCTCCGTCTCTCTCCGCCCAGGGTCCCACGCTTTCAATCCCAGACCGCGATGCCTTTCAACTCCTACTGACGCCTTTCAACTCCACCCCGACGTCGCTTTGTATGGAACGACCCTAAGACGCCGACGCGCGCGAGACGATGACGCGCGCGGCGAAGGAGCTCGAGGCGTGCCGCGCGCGATACCGCGCCGCGGAGGACGCGGCGAACAACGCCGCGGACGCGCGCGTCATCGCCGCGGAGGAGTCGCGCGCGATGCGGAGCGCGGCGGCGCAGCAGGCGGCGCGCGCTGACGCCGCGGAGGGGAAAATTTCCGCGCTCGAGTCCTCCGCGCGCCTCGCCGCCGCCGCGCTCGCGGAGGCGCGCGCGTCCGCGACCGCGGCCGCGACCGCGGCCGCGCGCGCGGAGGAGAAGGCTGTCGCCGCGGAGCAGAGGGCGGCGTCGTCGAGAGCGGCGATGGACGCGGCCGCGCACGCGAGGGACGACGCGGAGGCTGCCGCGGTTGGCGCCGCCGCCGAGGCGTCGTCGCTGCGGACGCGTCTGGAGCGGACGCTTGAGGAGCTGGAGCGCGTGAAATCCGACGCCGCCGTCGCGGCGCGCGAGCGCGACGACGTCGCGGGCAGTCCGCGGACGCCGGCGACGACGCGCGGCGGTTCAGGCGGCGGTCGCGCGTCGCCCTTCGGCGTCGACGTCGCGGCGGCGGCGTTGCCGTCGCGGTACACGAACGAGGAGACCGCGGCGATGACGGATGAGATCGTGCGTCGCCGAGTGCGCGAGGCGCAGCTCGAGGCGGACGCCGCGCGGCTGCGCGCGTCCCTAGACGCCGCGGAGGGGGCGCTGCGGGAGACGAGGGAGAAGCTCGCGGACGCCGAGGCGGCGGCGGCGGCGGCGGCGGCGGCCCGCGACGACGACGGCGACGACGACGACGTCGCCGCGCTTCGCAAAGCGCTCGCGGAGAGCCGCGCGACGAGCGAGAACTTCCGCGCGATGCTCGAATCCAAGGCGGCCGCGCTCAAGGAGACGGAGCGCCGCGCCGTGAACGCCGCGGAGGCGGCGGCGAAGGCGGCGGCGCTCGCCGCGCGCGGCTCGAACTCGAACGCGAACGACGCGTCGTCAGACGACGACGACGCCGTCGCCGCCGCCGTCGCCGCCGCCGTCGCGACGAAAATGCGCGACGTCCAGTCCGTGATCGAGACGTGGAAGACCGTCTGCGCGACGAAGCAGCGCGAGATCACGGCGGCGACGCGCGAGAGGGACCGCGCGACGAGAGCGCTGGCGACGACGCGCGAAGAAGCGGAGCGCCTCGCCGCCGCGTTTGAAACCTCGGAAGCCGCCGTCGCGACGCTCGAGGCGTCTCTCGCGGACCTGCGCGCGAAGACGCAGAGCGGCGCCGCGACGGACGACGAGCGCGCGCGTCTGGCGTCGGAGTGGAGCGCGCGCGTGGAAGCCGCCGGCGCGAAGCTGGGCAGGGCGGAGGAGGAGGCGCGCGTCGCCGCGGCGGCGCTGGCCAGGGCGCTCGTCGGCGACGGCGACGGCGACGACGGCGACGACGACGACGCGTCGGCGGCGGAGGACGGCGACGCCGAAGAAGACGAAGCGACGCTGACGAAGAAGAAGACGGAGCGTCGTCGTCGCTCGACGAAGAAGGCGAAGGCGATGCCCCTCGCCGCCGCCGTCGACGCCGCGACCGCGCGCTTATCCTACCTCTCGCGTCGCCTCGAAGTCATCGAGGCAGAGAACGCGAGAGCGCTGCGCGCGGACGAGCGCGCCTCCGCGGCGGAGGAGAAGGCGCTCCTCGCCGCGGAGACGCGCGCGGAGGACCTCGCGACGCGACTGCGCGCGGCGTCCGCCGCGCTGACGGAGACGAAAGCGCTCCTCGCGGACGCGGAGGCGAATCGCGCGACGCTCGCGCTGCGCCTCGACGCCGCGGACGACGGCGTCGAGAAGGCGGAGGCGGCGCGTCGCGCCGTCGAGGAGAAGCTGGCGGCGACGGCGGCGGAGCAGACTTCGACGCAGTCGCGGTCGCTGATGCTCCACGCGGAGTGCGCGGAGCTTCGCGAGAAGGTGGAACGGCGGAACCGCGAGGTGCGCGAGCTGAACCAGATGCTCAAGGCGTGGGAGGCGATGCGGCACTCGAAGGATAAGCAGATCGCGCAGCTCGTGGAGCGGTGTAAGCGTTTCGAGGACGACTCGTTCGAGAAGCAACGCAGCGTGGACGCGATGCGCGCGCGCATGGGCAGAGAGCGCGTTGGGGGTGGCGGCGGCGGTTCTTCTTCTTCTCCGAGTTTTGGTAACGGCACGCCAGGGAGCGTTTCAGGGAGGGGCCTTTCCAGAGGCAGTCCCGCGGCGTCGAACAGCGCGGCGTCGTCGTTTGCCTTTGAAACCGCGAGGTCAAAAAAACCGGCGGGCGCGCGCGGGTTGAACCTCCTCGATCGGCGGCCGGGGGCGTCAACCTCGATCGACAAGGAGAACCCACCCACGCCGGCGTCGGTCGGCAGCGTCAAGACGATCGCGAGCGGCGGCGGCGGCGAGACGACGCCGGAGATGATGGGCGGCGGCGACGGCGGCCGAGAGAAGACGGGGCGCGCGGCGGGTGCGCGCGGAGCGTCCGACGACGCGCCGTCCGCGCGCGCGCTGCGAGCGCTCGGCGACGCGAGCGCGGTGACGCGCGCGGCGACGAGCACCCTCTCCGCGCTGCGATGACGACGCGAAGGAGAGGAAGAGGAGGAGGAGTATGATCATTAGAGATAGACCCCGCGACTCGACGGACGAGCGAGCGCGGACTAAGTTAATACCACCACGCGAGACACGCGAGAAAAATGTCGTCACTCGATCGTCGCCCACGCGCCGGCACGCGCCGCCAAAAGCCGGCCGACCGGCTGATGACAGAAATGGCCACGACATCAGATTCTCTCGTCATTCATCACTCGTCGCGGCGGCGAGTGAAGCGAGACGACGACGGCGATGGCGCCCGATCCCGCGCCGTCGGGGTCCGACGACGCCGTCGACGCCGTGGCGCGCTCTCCGAACGACGCGAACGTGCCGCTTCGGCAGCGCGCGGCCGCCGCCGGCGTCGCCGCGTTCGTCTCCGCGGTCGTCGTCAATCCCCTCGACGTCGTCAAGACGCGCATCCAAGCGCAGTCGTTCGCGGGGACGTCCACGGCGCGATGCGGCGTCGCCGGCGCCGGCGCCGGCGCGTCTTCCTCGTCGTACCGCGCGCTCGCGCTCGCGTCCGCCGCGACATCCGCCGCGACGACCAGGGCGGCGTGCGCGCCCGAGTGCAACGTGTATCACTCCTCGTTAGACGTCGTCCGTAAGATCGCCCGGAAGGAGGGGCTCGCGACGCTCTGGCGCGGCACCTCCACCGCGCTCCTCATCGCGGTCCCCACCGTCGGGATCTACCTCCCCGTGTACGACCTGTGTCTGGAGGAGCTTCGACGCGTTACTCGCGAGTTTGGGTGGGGGCGCGGCGCGGAGGGCGCGGCGCCGTTGATCGCGGGGGCGACGAGCAGGACGCTCGCGGTGCTGTGCGTGGCGCCGTTGGATCTCGTCCGGACGCGGCTGATGGCGTATCGGGGCGACGAAGTCCTTATGGAACGGCGTTCACCACGCGAACGCGGTCGTATGGGAACCAGTCACGACGGCGGCGGCGGGGGGGGAGGAGGAGGAGGACGATCAGGGGGCGTGTGGGCCGGGCTGGCCGCCGCGGGAAGAGGAAACGGCGGCGGCGGCGGGGGAAGGGCCAGCAACGGCGAGCGCGCGCGCGCGGCGGCGGCGGCGACGGGGAGGCTGTGGACCGGCGTCCTCCCGACGCTCGCGAGGGACGTGCCGTACAGCGCGATGTATTGGTTCGCGTTGGAGCACTTGCGGGACGCGGCGACGGCGGCGGCGGCGCGGTCGCGGACGGGGACGGGGACGGGGACGGGGACGGGCGCGGATTCCGGCGCGGATTCCGGCGCTTCGCCGCCGCCGCCGACGCGACGAGAGACGCTCGGGATTAACTTCTTCAGCGGCGCGATCGCCGGCGGCGCCGTCGCGGCGCTGACGACGCCGCTGGACGTCGTGAAGACGCGCGTGCAGATCAGGGACGTGCCGACGCAGGACTTCGCGGGCGGCGTGCGCGGCGGCGGCGGCGGCGGCGCGGGCGGGAATCGAGGCGTCTTAGCCGAGCTCCTCGCGATCGCGCGCGCCGGCGGCGCGAAGGATCTGTTCGCGGGGTGGGCCCCGCGCGCCGCGCGCGCGGGGCCCACGTGCGGGATCGTCCTCGTCGCGTACGAGATGGCGAAGAGCATGTAGCCGGCGCGAACGAACCCGAACCCGAGCGTGGAGAAAGAAATACCCGTCTCATAGCTACACTACTGTAGTTGACTACCTTCGTACTACTTTCGTACGACTAAAGCGCGACAACCTACTGATGCGCCTACTACGGCGGACCCGAACGTCGTCGAGTCACGCCTTATTCTTCGGCGTCCCCTCGGGGGCTATCAACCCCAGGAGCTCCGCGCGCGCGGACGCCATCTCCGCGTTGATCTCCCCGAAGGTCCGCGCGGCTTCGCGCATCGTCCTCGCGTCGTCCACCTCGCGCAGGGCGTCGCCTTCAAAGTCTCCGAGCGTTTTCACGTTGAACAGTCGCCGCCAACGGGACCCGCCGCTCTCGAGCCAGCCCACGAAGCGCGAGATCACGTTCAGGTTCACGATGATGCCGACGAAGGTTCCGATCAGAGACCACGCGAGGAGCGCGATGAACACGTCGCATATCTTCCCGTTAGTCGTCGTCGGCGACAGCTCCGGCGGATCCGTGATGGGGTCCGGCAGGCCGAATAACATCGAGACGACGTAATAGAAACCGTTCTCGTTGGACCACCCTTCAATCTCCGCGAACACGGCGCCGAGGACCCACGAGAACCCCAAGGTTAACGCCGGGACGACGAAGAACACGCCCTTGGCGAGCACGAAAACCTCCGCGGCGAGCTCGCGTCGCTCCGTTCTCTTCTCCCGTCGGTCCGTCAAGGTGGGTGAAGCGATCGGTCAGTCGAACGTATTACCGGTCAAACGTACGTTGAAAGGGAAGCGCGGGTGAAGAGTTTTTGACGACGGGAAAAGTCCTCAAGGAACGCCGCGCACCACGCGAACGGGGTCGTATGGAAAGCAGTCTCACCTTCTCCCGTCGAACGCGCGCGTCTCGCGTCGCCGCCGGGAGATTCGAACGCGCCTTCCTCCGCGCCGCCGCCACGAAAGCCGCGTCCGCCGCGGCGCGCTTCTCCGCGAGCGCGTCCACTGACTTCACGAGCGCGTCCACGCGCGCGATGTTCTCTCGGAGCCACTGAGGGTCGTTCTATACGAGCGAACGTCGGGGTGGAGTTGAAAGGCGTCAGTTGGAGTTGAAAGGCGTCGAGGGCGGGTATTGAAAGGGAGGGGTGGGCGGAGAGACACGCCGGGCAAAGTCCTTAAGGATCGGCGTCCACCACGCGAACGGGGTCGTATGGGAACCAGTGTACAGAACGCGCCGCCTCCTCCGCGTTCAGATCCTCCGTCCCGTCGACCGCGTCGTCCTCCGCCGGCCACAACTGAGGGTAATCGTCCATACGAAGCGATGTCGGGGTGGAGTTCATAGGCGTCAGAAGCGGAGTTGAAAGGCGTCGAAGTGTGTCGGGATTGAAACCGAGGGACCCTGGGCGGAGAGAGACGACGGCAAAAGTCCTTAAGGATCGGCGTTCACCACGCCGACGGGGTCGTATGGGGACCAGTGTACGATAGAACGCGCCTTATTCCAGACGACGCGGAATCCTTCCACGGCGGCGACGAGACGATTGACGAAGTTCAAGTTTCCGACGAGACCGATGAACGCGCCGAGGAGCCCCCACGCCCACGACGCGGCGACGACGTCCGCCACCTTCCCGGCGTCTGTCTCCGGGTTCTCGTCCGCGAGCGAGTTTGGCATCCCGCACAGCATCGAGAAGACGTACAGAACGCCAACATGCCACGGCCACCCCTCCGCCGCCGCGAGCGCCGCGCCGATCGCGACCGCGAACACGGTCACGAGCGCGGGCACCACGATCATCGTCGTCGTCCAGAAGACGAAGACGTCGTGCCAGAACGCCGCCTTCGCCTCGCGCTTGCGCGTCTTCACCGCGTGCGCTTCCTCGGCCAGTCGTAACGCGAAGTCGCCGTCGAGCGCGTTCTCGAGATCGTCGTCGTCGACGCCGCCGTCGTCGTCGGATTCGTCGCCGTCGCCTCGCGCGGCGCGAGGCTCTTCCGAGGACTCCGCCATCAGCGAGCCCTGTCGGCGAAGCGCCATGACCGCGCGGTCGGGAGTGAGGCGACGGCGGCGTGGGCGTTCGAAGGGAGCGGAAGGAAAGAAGTCAAGTACGACGAACGGATAAACGTCTCTCCTCAATTCATATCCAGTCGTCACACGTCCGTCGCGCGGAGACGACCCATCGCGCGCGATGTCGCTCGCGACGTCGTCCGCCTCCTCCGCGGCGTCGCCGTCGTCGCTCAACGCGCGCCGTCGCGGCGGACAGACGTCCGCGTCGTCGCCGTCGCCGTCGGCGCGTCGTCTCGCTCTCGTCCTCCGCGCTTCGCCAGATCTGAGGAGACGGCACCTGGGGACGCGACCGCGGTCGACGTCCGACGCCGCGTCCTCCTCCTCCTCCTCCTCCTCCCCGCGATCCACCTCCGAGGACGACGCGACCACCGCGCTGAAGGACGAGCTCCTGACCCTCCTCGGGAAGGGCGGCGACGGCGCGCAGCGCATGGCGCGCGTCGGCGACCGCGCGCGACTCGAATCGCTCGTGACGTCCCTGGAGGCGATCAACCCGACGCCGCGTCCGTTCGAGCGCCCGGAGCTCCTCCTGAACGAGTGGCGGCTGGTGACGACGTTCCAGCCGGGCACCGCGGACGTGTCGTTCTTCTCGGCGGAGTCGTGGCGGAAGTACCTCCTCGAGAGCGGGCCGTCGCCGGTGCAGTCGCTCGTGGTCGGGAACAGCACGGTGGATAACGTGTACCAGGTGTTGAGGGACGACCCGAGAGGTTCGCCGGAGAACGGCGCCAAGGTGGGCGACGACTCGAGACACCTCCCCGTTCGCGCGCTGTCAGCCGCACGTTTTGCCACGTGTACACGATATCCACCAATCTCGCGCCCGCGTGACTGACGCGCTGCTGATTCCCTCGACCGCGCTTCGTCTTCTTCAGTGGGAAAACGTCGTCGAGTTCGGCCCTCCGGGGACGCAGCTCGTCATCGAAGCTCAGCTCGAGGGCGCGCGCGACGAGAATTCGTTCTTCTATCGCTTCAGCGGGGGCTACTTCGCGATCGACGGCGAGTGGGGCGGGCCGGACGGTCTGCGGATTCCGTACCCCGTGCCGTTCGATCTCCTAGAGAGGGCACGGCCGGGGCAGACCAAGGGGTGGTTCGCGACGACGTATCTGGACGAGACGTTGAGGCGCGTTCTATCTCACACTGGTTTCCATACGACCGCGTCGGCGTGGTGCACGCCGTTCGTTGAGGACGTTCGCCTGAGCATCTCTCCGCCCGCCCACGCTTTCAATCCCGACACGCCTCGACGCCTTTCAACTCCGCTTCTGACGCCTATCAACTCCACCCCCGACGTCGCTTTGTATGGAACGACCCGAAGGATATCGCGCGGGAACAAGGGGAGCGTCTTTGTGTTGATCAGGCCTGACGGATATTGGGACGATAAGTGAGGTGAGGCGCGTCGGTCGCGCGCGTAGTACAACTATATACGTAGAGTCGTCCGTCGCGGCGTCGTGTTTCAATCCGTCGTCGTTCGTATCGTCGCTCGTCGTCGTCGTCGTCTCGTCCGCTCTCGCTCTCGTTCTCGGTTCGGTTCGTGAAACGTTTTTACTCTTCGTCGTCCTCGCCTCGCCTCGCCTCGCCGTCGTCACGCGTACCCCGGGTTAAACGTCAGCTCCGGGGTGCTGACTTCGCTCCCCGGGTGCGGCGTGTCCCGTCGCCGCGTCCGCGGGGGCGGCTTGGACGACACCTCCGGCGACGTCAGCGGCGACGCGCGCCCCGGCGGCGACGCGTCGTCGTCCGAAGAATCCGCGACGTCCGCGGCGACGAGTCGTTCAAACGCCGCCGACGCCGACGCGTCGTCGCCGTCGCCTCCGCCGCCGTTGGATTCGTTGGATTCGTCGTCTCCCGCCTCGAAGCGCTCGAAGCTGCCGTCCATCTTGCGTCGCGACCGCGGCGGCGGCTTCGACGGGCTCGGTCGGCCGCTCAGCGTGTCGGGAGGCAACGGCACCGGCGCGTTGGACTTCGGAAGGTGCTTCGCCTTGCGCGGCGCGCAGAGTCGTCGCCGTCGTCCTCGCGCGACGGTTGACGTTCCGTATCCTCGCTCGCATCGTCGCCGCCGTCGTACGACGAGTCGTATCGAATCTCCGACGGACGCTTCGGCTTCGACGTCGACGACGACGTTTGCGGCGGCGGCGGCGAAGGCGGCGGCGGCGAAGGCGGCGGCGGCGAAGGCGACGGCGCGCGCGCGTGCGAGGGTTCGACGATCGTCGACGACGACTCCGAGACGCGCGGCGACCTCGACGCGAGCATCGAGACGAACGCCGCCGCGCGCGCGGCGCGCGGGGAGAGCGTCCGATCGCCGTCCAGCGCGAGCGCGACTTCCGCGGCTACCTCCTCCGCGTTGGCGAGAATCAGACTGCTCCCCATACGAAGCGACTCGCGCGGCGAGGAGCGCGATGATTCCTCGAGGAGGTCGTCCAACGCGAAGTGAACGCTGGACGCGGACGCCGCGCGCGAGAACAGCGGCGCGTCTCTGTGCGCGTCGTACCACGCCTCCGCGGGCAGCGGCGGCGGCGGCGGCGGCGGCGCACTCGCGGCGACGCGGCGGATCGCTCCGTCGTTCAGGGCCGTTCTATACGAGCGAACGTCGGGGTGGAGTTGAAAGGCGTCAGTTGGAGTTGAAAGGCGTCGAGGGCGGGTATTGAAAGGGAGGGGTGGGCGGAGAGACACGCCGGGCAAAGTCCTTAAGGATCGGCGTCCACCACGCGAACGGGGTCGTATGGGAACCAGTGTACAGAACGCGCCTCACTTGGCCCGCCGCCGTCGTCGCCGGCGGGTGAGGTTCGACGGGTTGGTGCATGCCGCACGGGTACAGGCGCTCGTCGTCTCGTGCTCGTGCTGATGCTTCTAACGTATCGATTTGATGCGTTTTTATCGCCATCGGGATGGAGGGATCCACCGGCTGGTGCATCCCGCCGGGGTAGAGGTCCGAGTCGTCGACGAAAAAACGCGACGCGTCTCGTCGCGTCGCGGCCGGGGCGGGCGGGCGCGTCGCGGCGGAGGACGCCGGGCGCGTCGCGAGGCGGCACACCGCGCGGTGCTTCACGCGCAGCGTCGCGCGGACGACGCCAGTCTCGTCGATCGCGAGGAAGACGTCGACCGGGTCCGCGTCCGCGCGCCGCGGCGACGGCGGCGGCGACGGCGACGGCGACGCGACGACGACCTTCGCTTCTTCTTCCTCTTTCTCTTCTTCTTCTCGGTCCGTCGGCGGCGGCGGCCGCGGCGACGGCGACGGCGCGGGCGGGGACGACGGCGGCGGCGGCGGCGGCGGCGGCGCGGCGTCGCCGCTCGCGCGCGCGATCGCCGCCGTCGCCGCGGCCGCGCCCGCGGCTTCGCTCTCGGAAAGCACCGTCCACCTTCCTCCTCGTCCTCCTCCTCCTCCTCCTCTCTCGTCCTCGTTCTCGTCGACGTCGTCCGCGCTGGCGTCCACGCGCGCGAGATCCGCGAGGTCTTCGCCGCAGCACGGGCCCCCGGGGCGGTGCTTCGAGTTGGCTTTCCCCATGCCGCGACGGCGGCGGCGGCGGCGGCGCGCGGCGACAGTATGACGCGCGGCGGCGGCGGCGGCGGTCGTGGCGCGCTCGCTCGTTTCCTCGGGCCTGACGAGGAAAGTTTCGCGGGCTTCCGACGACCAGACTGGACGCGACGCGAACAGCTGTGCAGAAGCCCTCGCGCGCGGCGGAGGCGTCGTCCGCGCGATGGAGCGACTCGACGCGCTCCGCGCGCGCGTGCGCGCGCGCTTCACCCCCGTCGTCGCGTGCGTCACGACCCCCGAGGTCGACGCGGCGTGCGCGGCGACCGGGCTCTCGTTCGGTGCGCGCCGCTCGACTCGACGCCCCGATCGACGCGGGCATCTTCATCATCGTCGTCGTCGTCGTCGCGTCGCGTCGCGTCGAATCTCATCCTCCGCGTCGTCCCTCGTCCTCTCGCTCGCGCCGACGAAACCAAACGCCGTCCCTCCCCCTCCCTCCCCTCCCTCCCCGCAGTGGACATCCTCCGCCCGCACGCGCGCGTCACCGGGATCGAGGTCCAGATGCGCACGTCGCCGGAGCACGTCGCGGTGACGACGTCCTACTCCGTGCGGTTCCACTCCGTCGCCGAGGCGAAGCGCGCGGCGCCGTACGACGTCGTGGAGGCGCACCTCGCGCGCGCGTTCGCGACGACGCGGTGGGCGGCGGGCGGCGCGAGCGGGGACGCGCTCGCGGGCGCGCTGGACGACGTCCCGAAGGACGTCGAGGCGTTGATCGCGCGCGCGAGGGGCGAGGTGCGTTCTCCGAGCGATGAGAAGTGGTGGACCCCGTGGTTCGACGCGTACCGCGCGGAGCTGGACGATCGCCTCGCGTTCCACGACCACGAAGCGATCGACGTCCCCGCGGGCGTCGTCTTCGCCGTGAGCGCGTCCTCGAGCGATCCTCTCGGAGACGCGACGCGAATGACGGAGGACGGATCGTCGTGGCCGGGGGGATTGCCGAATCAACCGCTTCTGGAGAGAGCGGGCGACGTGGACGTGTTCGCGCGGCATTACGTGCTGGTGCACGACGCGCGGGACGCGACGGCGACGCGGGAGGCTGTGGCCGCGAAGGAGCGGATCCTCGCGGACGCGTTCGGGGACGCGAAGGTGAGCGTCTTGCCGGTGAATTCGTCGTCATCCTTCTCGTCGTCGCCCCACGACGATGACATCTGGACCGCGCACCTCGAGCGGCGGATGATCACCGCCGCGAACGCGTCGGGCGCGATTACGATCGATGAAACCGTCAAACGTGGAGCGTTACTGTCCAAAGAAGACGTCGCCGCGCACGCCCGCGTCGTGAAGGAATACGTCGCCGGTTCGCTTTTGAAATCGATGGAAAAACGGTCGCGCGCGGCGAACGAGAAGATCGCGGCCACGCGCAAAGGCTTGAAGAACCAGCTGAAGTCGTTCTGGGGACGGAGCACGGGCGCGAGCGTGAAGACCGAGGGCGACGGCGCGTACACGCCCGCGTCGCAAGAGTCGCAGATTCGAGTCGCCGCGGACTTAGCCTTCTTCTTGGGCGATTACGAAACCGCGGCGTCGCACTACCGCCTCATACAATCCGATTACAAGGCGGACAAGGCGTGGAAGCGCCTCGCGGCGACGCAAGAGGCGCTCGGGCACGCGCTGGTGATGTGCAAGCCGCAGCAGTGGGCCGCGGAGGGCCCGCCGTTCAGAGAGAGCCGACGCGAGGCCGCGGCGGCGTTCGAAGCCGCGGCGGCGTGCTACGCGCGCGCCAACGTGCACGCGGCGGGCGGTGGTCAGACGGTCGCGCCACCGGGGACGCCGCCGCCGGGAGGAGGAGGAGGAGGAGGAGGAGGAGGAGGCGTTCCCGGCGGCACGGGGACCCCGGGTCCGGCGTTCGCGCCGCCGACGCCGACGCCCGGCGGCGTCGCCGCCGTCGCCGCCGTCGTCGCGCCGCCCGCGGGGGCGTTCGACTCCGTCGCCGAGCGCACGCTCTGGGCGACGCGCGCGGCGTACGCGCACGCCGCGCTGCTGACCGCGTGCGGCTCCGATCGCGAGGCTGCGATCCCGCTGACGAGGGCGTCCGCGGAGGAGGCGCAAACGCACGCGCGCGCGGCGTTATCGTTGGAAGCGGCGGCGACGGCGTATCTCCGCGCGGACCCTCCGATGGCGCGCAAGTACGCGATTCACGCCGTGCTCGCGGGGCACAGATACAACCAGGCTGGTCTGCGCGCAAACGCGATACGCTGCTACGCCGGCGCGCTGCCTGTGTACGAGCGGCGGCGCGACGCCGGCCCCGGCGCCGGGAAACGACGCGGCGTCGGGTGGAATAAAGCGAGGGAGCACTTGCACTTCGCGCTCGGAAGACAGGTGGCGCACGCGGGCGATTTCGCTCGCGCGCGCGCGTATTTCCGCGCGCTGCTCGAGTGCGCGACGACGCAGACGGCGGCGACGCAGGCGACGTACTTGCGGGAGTATCTGTACGTCGTGCAGCAGTCATACGGCGGGCAGTCAGGCGCGGGCGCGTCGGCGATCGAGGAGACGCCGCTGCCGAGCGTGGACGTCGGGGACGCGCGCGTGACGTTCCACGACGGCCACGTGTACGCGTCTGATTCGTCGTTCGCCGCGAAAGATAGCATATCTTCGGACACGTGGAAGGTGCTCGAGAACGACGACGGGCTCGTCCCCGCGGGGTTACAAGGCGGCGGCGCCACGTGGCTGGATAAGCCGCGGGAGAAGGGCGCGGAACAGCGCGGCGTGTGCGCCGCGGGCGAAGCCGTCGTCGTCGCCATCACTCTGCGGAACCCGCTCAAGGTGCCTCTGGACGTCTCCGATCTGCGCTTAACGTGCGAGTTCAAAGGCGCGGACGACGCCGACGTCGCCGACGCCGGCGCGGTGGCGACGCCGTCTTCCTCCGCGACGCTCGCGCCGCTCGAGACGGCGACGATCGACGCGCGGTGCTCGCCGTCGAAACCCGGGATGTTGAAGATCGTCGGCGCGACGTGGACGACGTGCGGCGTCGCGAAGTGCGCGATGACGTTCGACGTCCGCGCGCCGCGGACGCGCGCGACGGGCGGCGCGCACGGCGGGTGGGCGCGGGACGTCCCGCGACATAAGCGGATCGCGTTCACCGTCGCGGCGACGACGCCGACGCTGGACGCATTCCTCGACGGCGCGCCCGCGGCGACGAGGGAGGGCGCGACGATTCGCGTCGCGTTGAGGATACGAAACGTCTCTTCGTGCATCGCGCACCGCGTGCGCGTGCGGCTTCCCGGCCGCGGCGTGCTGCTCCCCGTGGACGCCGCGGACGTCGTGGGCGAGGTGGTCGCGAAGGGAGACGGGGGAGACGGAGACGGAGACGCCGCAGACGCCTTCTCGTCGGGGGCGAAGCCGAGGAAGGCTGGGGGCCCCGCGCCGCCGCCGCCGCCGACGCCGTCGACGCGCCCCGGCAAAGTCTTCGCGCCGCCGGGCTGGGCGACGCTCGCGCCCGGCGCGGAGGTCACCATGCCGCTGTGGTTCCACGCGTCCGCGGCGGCGGCGCGCGCGTCGTCCGACGGCGCGATCGCGCTGCCGATCGTCGTGTGCTACGAGCCGCCGTGGCCGGCGCCGCCGCTGTTGAAATTTCGCACGACGCGACTTCTCGCGGGGATTCGCGTCGCGCCGTCGCTGTCCGTCGCCGCGAGCGCGCTCCCTGCGGCGTCTCACCCGGCGGCGAGGGTGCTGAGGCTCGTCACCGCGGCGGCGGCGAACGGGGTGGGTGACGACACGACGAAAACGGCTGCTTCGTATGCGTTACGAAGCGTCTCGCTCGTGGACCGCCGCGGCGAACCCCGCCGCGGCGTTCGCGTGACGGCGATGGGCGGCGCCGCCGCCGCGCGCGTCGTCGCGCCGGGGCAGCGCTGGGACACGATCCTGCTCGTGGAGCCGACCGCCGACGATGGATCGTCGTCGTCGTCGTCGTCCGTAGCGTTCGGCGGCGGCGGCGAAGGCGGCGCGGAGAGCGCGCCGGTGGAGAGGGTACACGCCGCGATCGGCGCCGGCGGGGGCCGTCGTCGCGGCGGCGGCGGCGGCGGCGGCGTTCTCGCGGACGCCGACGTCGTCGTGCGATGGGACGAAATCTCCCCCGCGCCGAACGCGGTCGCGACGAGCGGGTCGCATCATCTCTACGCCACCGCGGACGGCGGCGGATGGGACGCGTCCGCGCCGACGAAGGAACGGCCGCGGCGGAGTCGCGTCGCGCGCGGCGGCGACGACGCCGCCGCGGGCGCGTTCGACGTGACGTGGACGTTAGAGGGCCCGTCCGTCGCGACGTTACCGCCCAGGGAGTCGTCGTCTTCTTCACCTTCGTCCTCCGCGACCGTGCCGATCGTTCTCAGGGCGCACAACCCCGCGCCGTACGCGGTCGACCTGACGTTCGAGGCGTCGGCGCCGGCGGCGGCTTCGGCGTGGGGGCCGATCGACGGCGCCGGCGTCGGCGGCTGGACGACCGGCGCGCCGGCGACGCCGCCGCCGCCGCCGACGCCGGCCGCGGCGCCGCCGCCCGCGTCGATATTCCCCGGCCGCGCGTGGATGTGGACCGGCGCGGTGAGACGAACCGTCGCGGTCGCCCCGGGGGAGACGACGGAGATGCGACTGAGCGTGGACGTCTTCGAACCGGGGACGTTCGCGTTGGGGGAGTACGCGGTGTCGTGGGGGCGCGCGGAGGCGAGCGGCGACGCCGACGCCGCCGCGAACGCGAATCGTATTAACGTCCTCGGGGGTGGGGTTACGGCGGCCGCGAAGGTGATGAAGCGAACGGGAGGGCCGGCGATGGCGTGCAACGCGCCGTTTATTCTCTCCGTCGCCGCTGCGGCGGCGTGACGCTTTTTCGATTCGAATAAAAAAATAGATTAGAAACCTCTCGCGCATCGCTAACGCGTGAGAAACCCGAAGGACTCCAGCCCCTCTAATATCCCCCGCGCGGTCGTCTCCTTCGCGATGAACACGCGCCCGCCATCCCTCTCTCGCCGCACCGCGTCCGTCGCCCAGTCCATCAACGCCGGCTGCGCGTTTCCCACGACGATCGCCTTGCACGCCCCCTCGAGCATCATGAGATCGTTGCCGCTGTCGCCGCACGCGACGGTCCGGTCGACGTCCGCGCCGAACGTCTCGCGGACGTACTCCAGGCTCTGCGACGATGAAGTGTCGCGTCGATCGGTCGGTCGGTCAGTCGAACGGCGAGGGGGCGTCGCGGTCGAAGAGCGGCCGGCAGGCGGAGAGAGAGAAAAAAAATGTGAACGAAAAAATGAACGAGCGCGTAGAACGCGCCTCGAGCTTCCCCGCGCCCTTGGAGACGACGTCGAGGTACTGCCACCCGCCCACGCCGCTCGCGATTGTCTTCACGTCCAGCCCCTCCTTCCGCGTCGCCGCCGCGATCGACGCCGTCACGAGCTCGACCTTCTCGTCCCTCACCCCGAGCGTGATCTTATGCGTCGTGAACTCCGGGACGTTCCATACAAAGCGACGTCGGGGTGGAGTTGAAAGGCGTGAGATGGAGTTGAAAGGCGTCGAGGGCGGGGATTGAAAGCGAGGTGTGGGCGGAGAGAGACGACGGGAAAAGTCCTTAAGGATCGGCGTTCACCACGCCGACGCGGTCGTATGGGGACCAGTGTATAGAACGCGCCTCCTCCTCGGGCCGGAAGTGCGCGTCCTCCGTCCCCGCCGCCGCGACCGCCGCCGCCGCCGCCGCCGCCACCTTCTCGAAGTCCCATCCGTCGTCGAGCCGCGACGTCCACGCGTCGTCTTCGATCCACGCGTACGCGCCCGCGCGGAAGCCGCGCGCCGCCGCCGCCGCGCGCGCGACGGACGCTGGCGCGTTCGGGACGACGACGCGGCGGTACACCTTGGTGCCCACCGCGCAGATGAGCGCGTCGGGCGTCGCCATGACCGCGGCTTTCTCCTCGATGAGCGACGCGAACGACTCGAGCGAGCGGCCGGTGCTGTACACGAGCGCAGACCCCGCGGGGACGCCGGCGCCGCGAAGCGCGGAAGAGGAGGATCCGTTCGTCCACGTCCGCGTGAACGCGCGCGTCGCGTCGTCGTCCCCGACCATCGTGCCGTCCAGGTCGGACACGACGAGCACGGGGCGGGCGGCGGCGTCTTCGGCGGAGGACGCGCGCGCGACGACGACGCGCGGGCGTCGCGGCGACGCGGACGGGCGCGGACGCGCGGCGCGCGGACGATGGCGCGGACGGCGGGACGACGACGACGACGACGACGACGCGCGCGCGATCGCGACGTCGATGTCGATCGCTCGGGTCGCCGACGCCGTCGCCCCTGACGCCGTCGCCGACGCCATCGCGCGCGCGGGACTCGGGACTCGGCTCGCGGCGCGGACGTGGACGAGGACGACGGCGGCGACGCGCGCGCGGCGAGGGCGCGACCGAGGGCGGCCAGGCTCCGGCGCGGGTTGCTATGCAAGGCAAACCGCGCTGTTGCGTTGCTGTTGCTGGCACCGTTCCTTCTCCGTCGTATCGTCCGAGGTGCGGACGTCGCCGCGCGCCATACCGACATGCACGCCGTCGCCGCCGTCGCTCCCGCCTTCGCTCCCGCCGCGCGCGCGCCGACGCGCGCGCGCGCCGACGCGCGCGCGCGCCGCCGCCGCGGCCGTCCGCGTCGTCGTGCGAGCGCGCGCTCGCGACGACGACGACGACGACGACGCGACGACGACGACGACGACGACGACGACGACGCTCTTCGAACGCGTCGGCGGCGAAGACGCCCTCACCGCCGCCGTGGACCTGTTCTACGAGAAGAACCTCGCGGACGATCGCATCGCGAGCATGTTCGAGGGCGCGGACATGGACGCGCTCAAGAAGCACCAGTTCAACTTCATGCGCGTGGCGTTCGGAGGCGACGCGAGCGCGTACGGCGGACGCGGTATCTTCGCCGCGCATAAAAACCTCATGCTCGAGAAGGGCCTGGACGAGCGTCACTTCGACTGCGTCGCGGAGAACCTCGTCGCGACGCTGCGGGAGCTTCGCGTCGCGAAGGACGTCGTGGACGACGTCGTCGCCGTGGTCTCGCCGCTCCGCGAGCTGTTCGACCACGAGAAGAACGAAGAGTTCAAGGCGGCGGAGGCGGCGCGCGAGCGGGAGAGAATCGCCGCCGCGTGGAACGCGTCGGACGACAACGCGAGCGACTGACGACCGCGCCCGAGGGTGGTGGACGGGGATGGACGGACAGGCGGCGGCTGAGCGAGACGAAAACGACGGCGCTGCGTGCGTGGAGACGACGAAGGATGGAAGGAACGAAGGAAGGAAGGAACGAACGAACGAACGACGACCGGATGAACGCGCGGCGAGACGAGATGAGGCGCGTGCGATGATGATGTGCGTGCGTCGTGTTTCGTATTACGTAGACGCGCCGCGCGCGTGTTTGTCTGTGCGTTGTGATGACATATCGTGGCTGTCACAGCCGATCACACTTCGTCGTCGTTTGTGATGTCCGCGCGCGTTCTGGTGCTGCTGCTGCGTGATGTGCGTCGTCGTTTCGTCGTCGTCGTCGTCGTCGGTGGAGAGGAAAAAAAAGAAGCGGGAGTCGCGACGGCGTCGCCGCGCCGCGCGGAAGTCGAGTGACGACCGCCGGCCGACGACCGCGGCGGGAAGCCGCGGATGGGAGGCTTACTTCTTCTGCTTCTTCGCCGCGCTGAGCTCCTTCTTGTAGCACGTGGCGCAGCAGAACCCGTCCGGGCACGCGGTCCAGGCCGACTTGCCTCCCTTACCGCACCGGACGCACTTCGTCCTGGCGTCGTTGAGCTCCTTCGTGCGCTTCGTGATCCAGCACGCGTTGCAGATGTGCGCGCCGGCCTCCCCCTTGACCGCCCTCAGGTCCGAGCGGTTGAGCTGCTTGCACTCGACGCACTTGATCCCGGCGTCGCGATTCTTCTTGTTGCGGAGCTTGCACCTGCAGGGGTTGCAGACGATGCCCGTGCCCTTGACGACGCGGAACTCGCTCGTCTCCGTCGCGGGGCAGAGCGCGCACACGGTGACGCCGCCGCGCGGGAACTTGACGTGGTTCTCCACCGTCGTCCGGCACGCGACGCAGCAGATGACCTCCACGCCGTTCAGGACCTTACGGCGCCACAGAGGGGTGTTCCACAGATCGTGCGAGCGGGCGCACCCCATCTCGCACAGCCTGCGCGCGGCGAGGGCGGGAACGGTCAGTCGCCGCGGCGGCGGAAAAACTAAAACGCGCGCGCGCGGGTAGAAATTTGAAATGAAAAGAAGTCGCGTCGTCGTCGTCGTCGCGCGGTGGGAGTGAACGTACCCGCCAGCCGGCTTCGGCCCGGTCGGCGCCTTGGCGAACACAGGGTGCGCGCGACGATTCTTCGGGTTAATACCCGGCACGATCTCGACCACGCCCCCGGTCGGGACGGCGAAAGTGATCGCGCGCGCGCCGCCGCCGCCGACGCCGCCGCCGCGACCGCCGCCGCCGCGGTTCGTCGGCGCGGGCGGCGCGGGGCGCCAGTCGTCCTCCTCCTCCTCGGGCTCGGGCTCCTCCTCGAGCTCCAGCGCGAGCGGCTCGCCGTTCTTCGCCGCGAGCCTCGCCGCGCGCCTCGCCTCCCTCGCTGCGCGCCTCGCCTCCTTCGCGGCTTTCCTCGCCGCCCACCCGTCGAGGAGCTGTTTCCGCTGTAGCCGCCTCTCGCGCGACTGTTTGTTGAACAAGCGGTGCCAGTCGTCGTCGTTCTTCGCGACTTTCAGGTGCGCCATCCGCATCCCCTGCGCCTGCTTCTCCGGGTCCTCGTCGTAGACCTGCTTCAAGCTCGTGTAGCCCGCGTTGTAGTTCAAGTCCGGGTGCGGCTCGTTGTCCCACTCCGACTCCCACTCCGACTCGGAGTCGGAGTCGCGGCCGTCGACGGACTCCTCGGGCTCGGAGTCGAACTCGTCGCGCGCGCGCTTCGCGCCGGGGTTTTTCGCCCGCGGCGGCGCGGGGTCCTTCTCCGCGTAGTTGATGGGCGTCGTGCGCTCGCGCAGGCTCATCGGGTGCGACGCGGGCGCGGGCGTCTGCGGCACGCGGCGGCGCACGGGCTGGAACCCGGTCGCGCCGCCGGCGGCGGGCGCGTCTTGACCGCCGACGCGTTGCCCGAGCTCCTGAAGTCCGAGCGAGAGCATGAACGCCTTGTTCTTCCTGATGTTCTCCTCGCGCAGGAGCTCGTACTCGCAGAGGTCCTGCACAGGGGGTGGGGCAGGGGATGACCTCGTGAGTCGAAAGCGCGCGCGGCGGCGGCGCGGAGATGCCCCGTCGCGCGCGCGCGCCCGCGCGAAGCCGCGCCGCGCGAGCGAAAAGAAAAGAGCCGCTGGACGCGTCACGAAACGCGGCCGCGCGCGCGGGGGGGGAAGAGGGCGTGAGGCGCGCACCTGGTCGTCGGAAGCGTCGACGCCGGACATGGCGGAGAGAGAAGGGGTTCGGAGAGAGCGGGGGGTGCGGATGGGGTTGGGGGGGTGCGTGTGCGTCGTGCGGCGCGCGTGCGGTTGTGCCGCGAGCAACGGATATTTCTCGGACGTGATTTATTTTCGCGCGCGGCGGACGCACAGCTGTGCGTCCGCTCGTTCGGTCCTCGCCCACGCGCAAACATCGCTGCGTCACGACGTGCGCTGGCGCGTCGTGGGCGTTGCGTCGGTGCGGTCGTTCGCGTGGGGCGGGTTCGATGTCGGACGGGTGGGAACGCGCGGCGAGGGGGCGCGACGGCTTCGCCGCGCGCGCGCGCGAGCTCGAGTGAAAGAAAAAATATTACGCGCCCGCGCTACCTCTCTACCACTTGAACGGCGCGACGAGCTGCGCGACCGCATCGAGCGCGGATATCCCCCACTCCTCGAGGTAGCTCACGATCAAGCACCCGCGCTCGACCCCGGCGTCCTTAAACCCGAACGTCGTCTGCCCGGTCAGATCGATCCTCGGGCGCCACGGAAGGTTGAGGTCACCCGTCATCCGCCAGCTCGCGCGAACGCTGCCGCCGCCGCCGCCGCCGCTCCCACCGCCGCTCCCGCCGCTCCCGTCGTCCACGATCTCGCACGAATACAACTCGACGTTGCTGTTCCTGACGAGCCTCCGCAGGACCGGCTGGAGGTTCTTCAGGTTCGTCTCGAACGTCTGCAACCCCGCGAACGACAACGTCGGGTCCGTGAACGTGCAAAACAAGTCGTACATCTCCGGGTTGATGTCCCCGGTCCAGAGGTACTTCGCTTCCGTGAACTCGCGCGCGATGTCGTCGCGCAGCGCGGTGGCGTCGCGCGGCGAGGACGGGAACGGCCGCGCGTCTCTTCGCTCCTTGCGCGTCAGCTTCGCGCCGTCGTTCGATCCGGAGGACGACGACGACGTCACGGATCCGACGGCGTTCACGATCGCGGTGAGGCCGCTGACGAGCGCCTTGACCGCGCCGGAGGTTTCCTCGTACTTGCTCCGCTCCGCCGCCGTTGCCGTCGCCGTCGCCGTCCTCGCGGCGGTGTCTTCGTCGTCGTCCGCAGAGGATGACGACGCAGCGACGATGGGCGAGAGGCGAACGCGACGAAACCGATGAGCTGACGACGACGCTCCGAAACGACTACGACCGCCTCGAAGCGTCGTCGTCCGCGTCGCGCCCGCGCTCGCGGACGCGCCATCGCATCGCGCGACGCGCGCCGCGGCGGCGGCGGTCACGAGCGACGCCGCCATCGTTCCCTCGCGCGCGCGCCGCGCGTCCGTCGCGCCGCGCGAAGTGACGACGACGACGCGAACGATCGGTCCGATGAATGTCCTGCTGTGTGACAGCTGTCGGGCATGCGACGCGCGCGACGCGCGCCGCGACGCCGCACGCACGTTAATACTCATAATCGCGCTACTCGTCTACTCGCTACTCCCCTCCTCCTCCTCCTCCACGCCGTCGTCCAGGACCTCGACGCGGTCCTCGTACGTCGCCGTCACCACCCCTTCCTCGCACGCCCACGCCGCGGGTCGACCCAAGTACTTCCCGGACACGCCGACGTCGATGAGATGCAACCCGCCGCCGCACCTAGTCGCCATCCCTCTCTCCTGTATCGTGTGCCCGATCACCATCCGCCGCGCGCCCACTTTAGCCAGCACCGCGCCGAGCTCGTCGCACACCGCGCGCTCCTCCTCCGCGCTCTCGCGCGGCGTGCTCCAGAACCGGTTCCAGAGCGGGCCGTCGCCGCTGAGGGTCGAGGGTAATTGTCCATACGAGGCGACGTCGGGGCGGAGTTGAAAGGCGTCAGGAGTGGAGTTGAAAGGGGTCGAGGCGTGTCGGGATTGAAAGCGGGGGGTGTGCGGATTAAAAACACGCGCCGGGAGAGAAAGTCGAGAAAGTCCTCAAGGAAATGGCGCGCACAACGCGTGCGCGGTCGTATGGGGACCAGTGTAAACATAAACGTGGACGCGCCCGAAGAGATGCCGCCACGCGTGCCGTCGAAACTTCGCGTCGCCGCCGTCCCCCGCGCTCGCCGCCCGCAGCGCGCCGTTGACGCCCTCGACGATGTCGCGATGCGCCGCGAGGTGGTGCGCGCGGATGCCCGCGTGCGAGAAGAGCGACCGGCACCTCCCCTCGCCGGCGACGTGCAGCATGGACCGATCGAAGCGCAGCGTCTCGCCGAGGTCGGCGCCCGCGCGGAAGAGATCGCGCCTGCGATGGGTCGAGGAAGGACGCGCGTCAGGTATGCGGGGATGTGATTGGTGGATGACATGCACACGTGTCAAAACGTGAGGCTGACATCTTCGCGAGCCGCGAAACGAGAGAACGCCTTAAGAAACGGCGTTCACCGCGCGTGCGGGGTCGTATGGGGACCAGTCTCGATCTCGTCGCACCATCGCCGCCGGCCTTCCTCCGTCTGCGTCGCCGCGTCGCCGTCGCGCGCGCCCGCGGATCCCGTCTGCTGCGCGCGCCTCTCGAGCGCCGCCTTCCCGAGCTTCACGAGCTCGCGCTTGGAGACGTACCGCAGGTCGCCCTGAAGCGTCATGAGCTCGTGGTTGCCGAGGAGGCCAACGACTTCACCCCCCGCGTCTTTCGCCGCGCGCGCGAGCTTATTGAGGAGTCGCGTCGACGCCACGGTGGAGTTCAAAGGCGTCAGAAGCGGAGTTGAAAGGCGTCGAGGGCGGGGATCGAAACCAGCGAGGGACCCTGATGGGCGGAGAGATGCGCCGGGAGAGAAAGTCCTTAAGGATCGGCGTTCACCACGCCGACGGGGTCGTATGGGGACCAGTGTGATACTAGAACGCACCTTATCGAGGAGTCGCATCAACGCCACGGACGCGTCGCCGCGGTCCAGGACGTCGCCCGTCTGCACGAGGATCGTCTCGCCGCCGCTCCACGCGTCGTCGTCCACGGACGTCTCCTCGATCGACGTCGTGTTGATGACGCGCGCGAGGATGAGCGAGCGACGCGCGAGGTCGAGGTCGCCGTGGAGATCTGGGAGCGCGACGAGGCGTCGAGCGACGGGGCCGACGCGCGCCGCGCGCGGCGTCGGGGCCGACGACGACGACGCCGCGTCCGCCGCTTCCGCGTCTCCGATCGTCGTCGTCGTCGTCGTCTCCGCCGCCGCCATCGCGGCCGCGTGCGCGGCGAGCGCCGCGGCGGCGTCGCCGTACGCGTCCGCGGCCGCGCACTCCTCTTCGATCCCCGCGGCCGCGCAGTGCGCGGCCGTGGACTCGTACGCGTGATGTTGATGACGACGCCGCGCGTCCTCCGCGGCGACGCCGCGCGGCGACGTCGCGACGAGCGCGAGGAGGAGGAGGAGGAGGACGGCGGCGAGGCGCCCTCCGCGTCGCCGCGGCGACGCCATCGCGCGAGATGCGGCGCCTCCCGACGGCCCTCCCGCGCGGCGACCGACGGAGCCCGCAAACAATGGAACGCTCGTTCGAGCTCCGGGCCGGTCTCGCGCGGTCGCGCTCATCAGCTCGACGAGCGCTCGAAGCGGCGAACGAGCGAAAAGGCGGACGCGCCGCGACGGCGGGTTCACAGGACGCCGCGACGCGCGCGACTCCCACACGCGCCTCTTAGAAGATGCAGAGCTTTCTGCGCAACGGCTCCGCCGCCGTGCGACGCGCCGTGCTCGCTCAGGCGTCCTTGCCCGCCGCGCAGGTCCGTTCTCCGTCCTCCGCGCCCGCCGCGGGAATCCGTCGCGTCGACGCCTCTTCCAACCGGGGAGATGAGGGTTTGTTTTCCCTTTCCTCTCGTCGCGACGCGCGATCGCGCGGGTTCCGGCGACGTCGACGCCGCGATCGCGCGCGATCGTCCCCGCGCGCGAATATCGCAGACGAACCCGCGCGTCCCCGCGCGTCCCGCGGCGCTCGGACGCGCATTCGCGCGCGCCACGATCGACGCGAATCCATTCTTCGTTCCCACGTCCGCGCCCTCGCTCACGAGATCATCCATCATCGATCGTTCCCTCCTGATCAGGTCGCCTACCCCGCGCTGACGATCCCCGCGTTCGCGCGCCTCATGGGCGCCGCGGGCTACCTCGACGCGAACCAAGTCACGGAGCGCGTCGTGGAGGTTGTGAAGAAGTTCAACAAGGTGGACCCCTCCAAGGTATCGCCGACGTCGACGTTCGCGGCGGATCTCGGGCTGGACTCGCTGGACACCGTGGAGGTGGTCATGGCGTTCGAGGAGGAGTTCGCGGTGGAGATTCCGGACGCGGAGGCGGATAAGATCTCGTCCGTCGCGGAGGCGGTCGCGTACTTGACGTCGAACCCGGACGCGAAGTGATGATGGATACGCGAGGGAGGGACGAGAGAGGAGGCGGTTCGATTCGATCAACTCGTCAGTCATTTAACGTCGACGGAAAGAAGTCGCCAAACGTACGCGCCGTCGTCGTTCGCTTCGCGTGATATCGTTGGTCTTACAAAATAATACTCGTCCGCGACGACTTGGTCGTCGCTCTTCCTCTCTACTCGTACAGTATACGTGCCTCCTCCCTCCTCGAAAATCCAATCCAATCCACCGCGGCGGGCCCCTCGTATCGTCTCAGTCCAGATACATCCCCACCGGCGGCTCGGCGTCTGGCAACTCCAACGACGAAAACAAAATCAACAGCCTTCGCTCCCCCGGCACCGCCCACACGAACCCGAGCTCCGCGCCGCCGGTGAGCGACCCGCCGCGGCCGTCCAGTAACAGCAGCTCGCCGTCGACCCAGATCCTCTCGGTGAACCCCGGCTTGGCCACGCGCCCTTGCCCTTTGTACCGCGCGACGACGCCTAGCTCGTCGGGGTACGAAAACGAGCTCTCCAACCTGTGCTCCGCGCCCACCCTCGCGCGAAACGACGCCGCGCCCGCGGGGACGTTCGCGTCGCCCGTGAGCTTCACCGCGGTGACGCAGTCGTCGCCCTCGCCGAGCTCGTCGCCCCATCGCCCGCGCGTGAGCCTTAAAACCTCGGGGCCGTGCGGGCCGAACGCGCCGAGGTAGAGCCGGTCGAACGGGTCCGCGTTGGATCGCGACGCCACCAGGGGGGGGACGCGAGAGAAGCGCGTCTTCAGCGGCAGCGGCATCCCGCCGGAGAGATCGCGGGACATCATCTCGATGATCGCCTCCGCGTCTTCGGGGTCGATGGGGAACGAGGACGCGTCGGAGGCGGCGGGGATCGAACCGGCGGCGTCCGCGCGTGGCTCCGGCGCCGCGTCCCTCCCTCCGGCGTCGCCCGAAGACGACGACGAGGGGTCGCGGATGGGCGCGAACCCTTCGGGGCCGATGTAGCCGCGCGGGGGGGCGTCGGAGACGTCGCGCATCTCGCGGTACCCGCGCGCGTCGCCGCCGCCGCCCGTCGATGACGCGGACGACGCGGCTGAGGACGCAGAGGAGGACGACGACGACGACCCCGTCCCCCGCGCCTGCTGCTGCTGCTGCGCGGTGGCCGCGTTTTCGTGTCCGTTCTCCCACTTGTTTGCGAGGAAGCGGTCAATCTCCGCGTCCAGCGAGGTGCCGTCGCCGCCCGCCGCGCCCGCGCCCGCGCCCGCGCCCGCGCTCGGAGACGCGCCCGCGCGCGCTCCGCCGAGCCGAGACGCGACGCCGTCCGAATCCAACGTCGGCGGCGCGTCCGGTCTCGCCGCCGCCGCCGCCGCCGCGCCGTCGCCGTCCACGTCCGCGTCCTTCTCCTCCGCCGCGCGCCGCAGACGTTCCCTCTCCTCCTCGAGGTCGAGCAGGATGATCTCTGGCTCCCCTCGCGCGATCGCCGCCTTATTCGCCGCGTCACGCAGCTCCTCCGCGATCTGCGCCTTGGCGTCCGCCATCCCGCGCAACACCGCGGCTTCCACGTCAGCCTTCGTCGCCGCGTCCGCGGCGTTGGAAGGTCCGCCGCGGCGGGGCAGCGCCATCCCGTCCAGGGGCATCCCGCCGAGCGTCCCGGGGCCCGGGAGCGAGAACGGGCGGCCCATCCCGAGCGCGCCGGCCAACGGGCCGACGCCGCGCGCCGAGGAGGGGTCGACGTCCGAGACGAGCCTAAAGGCGTGCCTGCCGTCGAGCTCAATCTCCGCGGGGACGCGCGCCTCCTCGACGTCCCAGCCGTCGCCGTCGGCGGCGGCGCCGTCGCCGCGCATGAGCGCGCCGCGGCGGCGCGCGAGCGACTCGCGCGCCGCCGCCGCCGCCGCGCCCGAGTCGAGGTCGCCCTCGTCGTCGTCGTCGTCGAAGCCGCCGCGCGTCGCGCGGCGGCCCGAGAGCATCATCCGCGCGGCGGCGTCCAAAACGTCCACGTCTTCGTCGTCGTCGTCCATCTCGATCTCGAGTTCCATCTCGAGCTCGAGCACGGTTCGTTCGACGTCGTCGTCGTCGTCGTCGTCGTCGTCGTCGTCCAGGAACATCGCTTCGTACGCGTCCGCGGTCTCGTTGATGACAAACTTGTCGAAAAAGTAGTCATCCCTGGGCTCGCCCCTGGACGTCGTCCGCTCGTGCTTCCCCCCAAACGCTTCGAAAACGTTCCCGCTGCTTGCGACCTTAGCGTCATCGGCATCGGCATCGGCATCGTCGCCTTCGCCGTCGTTCGCGCTCGCGCGCGCCGCGTGCTCGCGCTTCAGACGCTCCCAGTTCTCGCGGAACCCCGGCGCGGACGCGACGAGTTCCTTCATGAACCCTCTCGCCTCGTACGACAAGAGCTCGTCCATCGCGCACCCGTCGATCTCAAACGGCAACGTCAGCCCTGGCGTCTTCGGCGCGCGGACGATGCCGTTCTCCACGGTCCACGACGCGAACGTCGCCTCGGCCCTCGCCGCCGCGGTCGCCTTGGCGGCGGCGACGCCCGCGGCGGTCATGCTGGGGGTGATGCCCCCGGGCACCTCCACCGAGAACGCGACGTCCGCGCCGAAGCCTCTCGCGGGGGGCGCGGCGTCGCCCCGAGGGTCGACGGGACCGCCGTCGGTCGTCGACGTTTCGTCGGCGTCGGCCGCCGCGGAGATGGACGAAATCTCGCCGCCGAGACCGGCGGCGACGACGCCGTCGAACCGCACCGCGCGACGCGCGACGTACTCCCCCGTCGTCTCGTCTCTCTCCAGCCACAGCTCGAACACCCTCCGCCCGAACGCGTCGTCGTCGTCGCCGGTCGGGGTGGTATCGGACGTTTTGTCGGACGACCCCCCCGCGCGCGCGCGTCTCGCGTTTCTCTCTTGCATCGTCGCGAGCTCCCTCGCGCTGAAGCTCGTCCCGACGTACCGCCCGTGCTCCGGAGCGACGCGCATCATGACTCCGTACGCGCCCCCCGGCTCGTCCTCGGTCGCGCCGCGCCCGGCCCACCACCCGCACATGCCCGCGCCCGCGTCGCGGAATTTGGCCGCGGCGGTGAAATCTTCGTCGCGGACGGCGCGGCGGTAGCCGTTCTCGACGGCGGCGACGGGGTCGGCGGCGCGCATCGTCGCGATCGTCGACTTGATCTCCGCGGCGGTTTTGAAGTCTTCCTCCGCCACCGCGGCGTTTAGTTGGCCCTGCGCGCAAGGAGGGGCACGGAGGAGAACGAGAGGGAGAAGAAGAGAGGAACGACGGAGCGTTAGTATGTAGTTCAGATGATTTGTCGACGAGAGGTCGTCTCGCAGTCTACTCGGAGACCAATCGAAGGGACGACGACAGAATTGCGCGGACGAACGAATGAATGCAATGCACGAATGGGGGGCGCTTTTCCGCGCGGGGCGCGCGCACCCGCAGCGCGTCGAGGATGCCTTCCTCGCCGTCGACTCTGTCGAACGTCTCGCTCCATCGCGCCCAGTCGTCCTTCCCCTTCCTGTCCGCGGGCGGCGCCGCCGCGCCGCCCGCCCACGGCGTCTGCGCGCTCACCTCCGCCAGTCGCGCCTCCAGCGATTTCGCCTGCGCGGACTGCCGCGCCCCGTGCACGCGATCGACGGCGTCCGAGGCCCCATCTCCGGCGACGCCCGCGCCGGAGATGCGCCGGCTCGCCTCGCCCTCCGCTCTCGCGACGACGCGTCGCCGCGCGCCGGCGCCGTGGAGACGTCGCGAAGAGGAGGGCGCGGCGGTCGCGGCGCCGGGGGCGACGCGTCGCGTCGCGGCGACGCGCGCGGTCGTGGTCACGGCATTCGGAGCGACGACGGAGGTTCCGCGGCGGAAATAACCGCGCGAGGATTCCTTCTTCGGAGACGTCAAGGGAGACGCCAACGACGCGCTCGCCATGCTTCCGCGCGCCTTCGCTCGCTTCCTGACGACGCGTGCGAGTGCTCTGTCGCTCGCGCGTGTCGCTTCTGGCCTCGCGCCGGCGTCGGCGCGCGCGACGACGGAGGCGTCTCGCGTCGGAAGAAGAAGATAGGGCGTGTGATCCGTAATACCCCCAGCGGTCAGTTGAAAGGCGTCGCGATCGAACGTTGAACCCGAAGGGTGGGTGAAATGATAAAACTGAAACCGGCCTCCAGGCCACACACTGACATTAATGTTTCGGACGCGTCGGAGGGGAACTCGTCTCAGATTTGACGTCGCGTCGCGCGGCTCGACGCACGGCGGGCGCGCCGTCGTTCTCGCGCGTCGCGGCCCCGCGCGCGCGATACGCGCGAGGGGCGTCCACAGCAGATAGCACGATGCCCGCGGAGGCGTCGCGTCGCCGCGGCGCGTCGCCGTGGGTGCGTCCTCGCGGCTCGTCGTCTCGCGCGCGGCGCGGTGCCGTCTTTTCTCGTCCCTCCGCGGTCTCCGAGCCTCGTCCCTCTCCATCTCGTCTCATCACGCGCCCGGCGGCACTGGTCCCCGTACGACCGCGTTGGCGTGGTGAACGCCGATCCTTAAGGACTTTGCCCGGCGTTTCTCCCTACCTCTCTCCGCTCCGCGTCGTCAGGTCGACGCGAAGGCGCCGACGCCGAACGCGGTGCATCTCGCGACGTACGGCGTGCGCGCCGAGGACGCGGACCGCGACCCGGTCGTCTTCGCGCGCGCGGCGGACGCGCGCGCGACCGACGAAAACGCACGCGCACGCGCGGAAGCACACGATGACGCGTCGGACGACGCGACGCGCGCGCGCCGCGACCCGAGCGGCATGTTCCCGTCCACCGCCGCCGCGTCTCGCGCGTTCGGCGACATCCTGACGCAAAAACGCCGAGGTCAGGCGGTCGCGAGCGGCGCGCGATGGCGCGATGCGCGCGCGAGCGTCGGCAAAGAGAGGTGATTCACACTGGTCCCCATACGACCGCGTTGGCGTTGTGAACGCCGATCCTTAAGGACTTTGCCCGGTGTTTCTCTCCGCCCAACCCTCGCTTTCGATCCCCGCCCTCGACGCCTTTCAACTCCAAATGACGCCTTTGAACTCCACAGCGCGGTGATACACCTCTTTCGCCGCGCGTCCGAGGGCGAAGCCGCGGCGGCGCGGCGCCGGCGGTCCGAGCGCGAGGCGACGACGACCGCGGCCGCGCTCGAGGGCGCGTCGTTGGAGGGGTTCGCCGCCGCGAGAGCGCACGTCGCGGCGCTCAGCGCGAAGATACGCGGCGACGACGTCGGAGGTGGCGAGGGGGAGGACGAGGCGGGGGCGCGCGCGTCGTCGTCGTCGTCGTCGTCGTCGCGTCGAATCGAAAACGAAAACGAAACGCAACTCTACGGGACGTTACATCGCTCCGGGACGACGTGGACGACGTATTCGCGCGTCCCGGAGCACCTCGAGCGCGCGCTCGGGGAGCCGGAGCGGGAGACGTCGCGGTGCCCGCACCTCGTCGGCGCGGGGATGACTCGAAAGCCGTACGCGTTGATTTCAAAGCGCGAATCCGGAGACTCCGGCGAGGGCGGACGCGTGCGTCGCGGGCTACACTGCCGCGAGTGCTGGGACCGGCTCGAGACGAAGCGCCTCGCGGCCGCGATCGTGTGCGCGGACTGCGGCGACTGCTTCCCGCTGAGCAAGACGCGGACGTACCCGACGGTCGCGGGGGGTCGGGTGCGTCCTATTACCACGCTGGTCCCCGTACGACATCGTCAGCGCGGTGAACGCCGATCCTTAAGGACTTTCTCTCCCGGCGTACAGTATGTTTCTCCTCGCCCGCCCCTCGCTCACAATCCCGACACACCTCGACGCCTTTCAACTCCGCTTCTGACGCCTTTCAACTTCACCCCTCAGAACGGCGGCCCGGCCCGGTTGGACGGGCACCGGTGGGTCGACGTGTGTTTTTTGTGCGCGCCAAGACGACAAACCGCGGAGGACGGAGGGATGTGGATCAGACCGCCGCCCGCCGCCGCCCCCGGGGCGAAGAAACGCATCGACGAGGACGGCGGGAATAACTACTACGAGGGACTATCCAGGGCGCAGAGGATGGCGATCGTGAACGCGGCGATCGACGCGCGGACGACGGCGGCGGGGACGAAAACGAACGCGAAGGCGAACGTCAAGGCGAACGCGCCGTCGACGCGCATTCAGCCGTGGCAGATTGGGTACGCGGAACAAGAGACCGCCGGGGCGCGCGACGCGGACGGCACCGCCGCGCTCGCGATCGCGCGCGAGCACAACCCGGGCGCGGACCGCGGCGTCGACGGCGTCGTCGAGACGCGCTCCGAGGCGGCGGCGGCGATCGAAGCCATGGGACGAGAGGTGAGACGCGCGTTTGGTTTCAATTTACCCGCTACCCCGCGCCCGGCCCGGTTTCGACTACGTGTACGACAGACGCTCGCACGACCGCGAATCCCATCGGCTGAACGACCCGACCCGCGCCCCATCCATCGTCGAAGGCGGACGTCGAGTACGCGCGCGAGAAGGCGACGCGCCCGGGCGACCGGCACGGGCTGCTTCCGATGGAGACGTTCGTCGGGGACGAGCGCGGCGGCTCTCGACGCGCCGCGTTCGCGCGCGACGCGCTGATGCGGTCGGTCTCGGTCGGCGACCCCGCCGCGTTGCCGCCGGTGCCGGCGTCGCACCGGTCGCTCGTGGAGGAGATCGTTCGCGCCGCCGGCGGCGGCGGCGACGGCGGAAAAGTCCTTGAGGAACGGCGTTCACGACGCGAACGGGATCGTACGGGGACCAGCGTCGTCGCCGACCTTCCTCGTCGATTCGTGGACGAATCCGCCGCGCGAGAGGCGGTCGCGCTCGCGGAACGCGCGCTTCACTCCGCGGCTCTCGACGCGCGAAGGACTCTTGGCGACCGCGCGAGCGACGAGGAATGCATCCGGGAAGCGCTCGGGCGGTTGAACGACGACGCCGAGGGCGCGATCGCGGCGGCGATGGCCGCGGACGCGTCGCGGCGGATGGAAACGTTCGCTGGCGAGACGTTACACGGCTCCCAGGCTGCGCAAGAGGACGCCGCGGAAGCGGAGGCGCGCGCGATCGCGCGAGACCGCGCGCGGATAGACGACATCTTGGGCCGCGAGCGCCCCGCGCTGATGGAAGCGGAGCGACTGAAGCGAATCGAAGCGGAGGAGGGCGCGGCGGCGGCGGCGGCGGCGGCGGCGGCGGCGGCGGCGGCGGCGGCGCGAGGGTCCGACGACGACGACTTCTGGGGAGATTTAGACCTCGACGACGACGAGAACGTCGACGCGGAGGGGCTCCCGAAGCTCCGCCGCGGCAGCGCGGCGGACCTGCGCGCGCGCGAAGAAGAGATGGACGCGGCGCGGAGGGAGAGGGAGAGGCTGAGGGAGGAGGAGCGACGCGGCGCGCGCGCGAAGATCGAGGCGTGGGCGCGCGCGGGGGTCGATTTCGGCGCGTACGACGACGCGTCTCAGGCGCGTCCTATTACCACACTGGTTCCCATATGACCCCGTCGGCGTGGTGAACGCCGATCCTTAAGGACTTTACTTCCCGGCGCATCTCTCCGCCCAGGGTCCCTCGCTTTCAATCCCGACACACCGCGACGCCTTTCAACTCCACGCCTGACGCCTTTGAACTCCACCCCGACGTTCGCTCGTACAGAACGACCCTGACGCGCCCGGCGCCGCCGCGAGCGGCGAGACCGCGTCGTCCGCCGCCGTCGCGCGCGAGCTCGCGCGGTTGAAGGGCAGCGTCGCGGACGCGCTCAAGGAAGCCGCCGCGGCGAAGGCGAAGGCGGCGGCGAAGGCGAAGGCGGAGGCGGAGACCGCGTCGGAGGCCGCGGAGGCCGCGGAACCCGGAACTTCGATCGTCGCGACGACGACGACGACGACGACGACGACGACCGCGCCGTCGCCCGATCGAGGAAGCGACCTGTGGATGAAACGCCTCGCGATGTCGCTCACGACCGCGCTGTGCGAGTGCGACGAGGGCATCCTGCGCGCGGGCGCGGACCCGGACGCCGCGTGGGCGAGGAAGATGACGCTGCCGGCGCCGTGGAAAGTCACGGACACGCAGGCGCGTTCTATACACTGGTCCCCATGCGACCGCGTTGGCGTGGTGAACGCCATTCCTTAAGGACTTTGCCCGGCGTCTCTCTCCGCCCATCACCCCTCGGTTTCAATCCCGACACACCTCGATGCCTTTCAACTCCATCTCACGCCTTTCAACTCCACCCCGACGTCGCTTTGAATGATGGAACGACCCTCAGACGAGTAACTCTCCGGAGGCGATCAAGAGGCCGCCGACGCCGGAGCCGGAGCCGGAGCCCGCGGAGACGTTCGCGGTGGAAGTGCCCGTCGCGATCCCGGTCACGAGGGCGGGCGACGAAGCGCGGCGCTCGCCGACGAGAGAGGGGACGACGCGCGCGGGCGGGAAGAGGGGGAAAGGGGAACGCGTCGGCGTCGAAATCGACGCGGCGCCGCCCGCCGCGAAGACGGGTCTGCTCGGACGGCTCGTCGCCGCCGCGGCCGCGGAGAAGGAGGCTGAGACGAAAGCGGCGAATAAGAAGACGCGCGCGCCGCGGAAGCGCGCGACCGCGTCGATCGACCCCGCCGCGATCGCGTCGGCGCCGCCGCCGCCGCCGCACCCGCGGCGCGACAAAACCGCAGCCCTCGCCGCGGAAGCCTTCGCCGCGGAATCGCCGCCGCCGTTCGATGAGAAGAAACACCTCGACGAGACGATGGCGAAGCTCGAGGGACCGGAGGGTAAGGACGCCGCCGTGGAGGTGCCCCTGCGCGAGGACGTCGTCGAGGCTGCGAATATCGCGCCCGCGAGGGAAGACGAGGACAAGGGCGGGGGCAATAATCTCGCCGCCGCCGCCGCGGTTCTCGCGCGGCGGAAGGAACGACTCGCGAGCGGCGGCGGCGAAGGCGGCGGCGCCGAGGGGTTCGCGCGCGTCGCGTTCGAGGCTGCGATGCGACGACGGCAGAGTAAAGTTCGCGAGGCGCACGAGAAGCTGCGGGCGGACGCGCTGAGAGCCGTCAACGCCGCGGCGGACGACGAGACTGATCGCGAGGAGGAAGCCGCCGCCGCCGCCGCCGCCGCCGCCGCGAAGACGAAGAAGAAGACGTCGTTCAAGTCCGCGGTCGCGAAGCTCGGCCTCGCGAAGAAAGACGACGACGCGTCACTGCGCGACGTCGTCCTGGACGCGGCCGCCGCGCGGGCGGAGGAGAAGGAGAAGGAAGCGATCGCGGAGGCGGCGCGACTCGAGAAGAAGCGCGAGCGAACGATCGCGATGCACGGCGTCCTTCGATCGCGCGCGCGGTCGCGGCTCGGGCCGCGGTACGACGCGCTGCTCCTCGGTCCGCGCGGCGCGGATAACAACGCGAAGGAGGAAAAGCCGGAGGGGCGCTGGGCGAAGCGAGAGCGCGAATACTGGGAAGGACAGGACGACGACGACGACGGCGGCGGCGGCGGCGGCGACGAGACGACGACGACGCCGTCGCTCCTGGGGGAAAAACCGTCCGCGTTCGCGACGCGCGTCCGCGACCGCGTCGCGATCAACAAGGCGTCGGCGTCGCTCGAGGCGCTGCGCGGTGACGTCGTCGCGAAGCGCGAGCGCGAGGCGGCGGCGATCACCGCGGCGGCCAAGGCGGAAGCGGACGACGCCGCGCGCTCGGCGGACGCCGCCGCCGTTTCAAAAATGCGCGCGAAGGAGGACACCGACTCGGAGGACGAGAGAACCGCGTCCGACGCGAGCTCGCCGGAGCGGCGCGCCGGCGGCGACGGCGACGGCGACGGCGACGCTTCGTGTTCCGATGTCGATTCGTCTTCCGACGAGAGCGTCGATCCGTACGCCGCGTTCGCGCAGAGAGCGAACGTGAAGCGGCGCACGGAGGCGCAGGCGGCGGCGCGGATGTCGATGCGACCGATCGCCGCGGCTTTCGAGGACGCGCAGTGGGCGAAGAAGAAGCGCGCGGCGACGTGCGGAACGCAGACGGCGCAGGTGGACCCTTTCGTGGACGAGGTCGCGCTGTCGCTGTACCCGATCCGCGCGACGAAGGTGGACGTGAGCGATTGGGCCCCGCCGTTGGCACCGCTGGCCGCCGCCGCGCCGCCGCCGCCGCCGCCGCCGCCGCTCGCGCTCGGCGCGGGCGCGGGCTCGGGCACTTCTTCTTCCGTCGCGCCGCCGCCGGCGAACGCGGGGTTGACGCGGTCGTCGTCAACGCCCGCGCTCTTCGCGACGCACGACCTCGAGAAAGAGCTGCGCGCGGGCGCGGGAGCGAACGCGGGCGCGGGAGCGGACGGCGTCGCCGCCGCCGCCGCCGACGCCGCCGCGGATCCGCCGCCGTCGCCGTCTGAATCGTACTGGCGCGACCTCGACGCCGCGGAGAACGCGCGCGGGGTGGACGTGCAAGTCTGGGAGTCCGCGGACGAGGACGACGACGACGACGACGACGCCGACGACGACGCCGCCGACGACGACGCCGGCTCCGAGGCTGCGCCGGAGGAGGAGGAGGAGGACGACGACGACGACGCCGGCTCCGAGGCGTCGTTCATGTCCGAAAAGGTTCGAAAAATCGAGGCGAAGATTCGGCGTGTCAACGACGACGCCGCGGCGGCGCTCAAGCTCGAGACGGACGCGAAGGCTGCGGAGGAGGAGTACGAGATGAAACGCCGCGCGAGCGCGGCGATGCGCGCGGCGCTCGCCGCGGACCAGGCCCGCGCGCTCGCGGCGTCGTGGACGTTCCGCGGCGCCGCCTACGCGACCGTCGTCGGGCCCAAGGCGGATCGAAAACTGAAACGCGCGCTGACGGAGCGTTTCGTCTCCGCCATCGCGACCGAGGCGAGGATCGACAGCGCGCGCGTCAGGGTCGTGGGGTACGCGATGGAAGGGAACGCGCCCGCGGGCGGCGGGCCGCTCGTCGTGCACGTGGAGGTCGACATGAAACCCCGAGAAGGCTCTCGATTCGCCGCCGCCGCCGCCGACGAAGACGCGAACGAAGACGAAGACGAAGACTCGAAGGAGGCGGTCGAAGCGCGTCGCGCGAGAGCCGCGGCGCGATGGGACGACCTGAGAGACCTCCACGCGGCGTTGTACGCCGTCGCCGCGAACGGCGTCAGAGGGGACGCGGGCGAGAACCCGAAGACGGCGGTCGCCTACGACCTCGGCGTCGGCGAGCTCGTCGTCAAGGGCACGGGCGCGCGCGGAGAGTTCCCGCCGCCGCCGCCGCCGCCGCTCGTGGACATGATCGAGGACGAGCTCGACATGATCGAGATTCTGTCTCCGCCCGGGAGCGCGTCGCCGCCGCGGGCGCGGCGGCGGAGGACGTCCGCGGCGACGACGGAGTCGGCGAAGCCGCCGCGGCCGCGCGCGTCCGCGGCGTCTTCGCGTCCTTCGGTCGAACGGCGCGCGTCCATCGGCGCCGTCTCCGAAGTTCCAAGCGACGGCACGGAATACCAGCAGCTCATCCCGTCGGACGACGACGAAGAGAACGACGACGAAGAGAACGACGACGAAGAGAACGACGACGAAGAGAACGACGACGAAGAGAACGACGCCGGCGCCGGCGCCGCCGACGACGTCTCCGTCGCGGACTCGAGGGCGTCGGCGGCGTGGGAATACAAACCCATGTCCGCGCTCATCGGCGCCGTCGGCGGGCACTGGGGCCGCCAGCGCGCGTTCCCGCCCGGGGAGCGTCGGTACAAGGCCCCGACGTTAGAGCACGCGGTGAACAAGCTCGCGGAGGTGTCCGGCGCGCACGCGAAACACTTGCTGCGACGCCGCGACGAAAACGGAGACACCGCCAGCGAGGAGGACGAAGACGCCGACGCCGACGCGGGCGACGACGCGGGGCGGAGAGCGGAGAGAGCGCGCGCGGGGCTTCGCGAGCACGCCGCGGGGGACGTCGCGCGCGCGGCGTCGCGGAGACACGTCGCGGCGAGGCTCGCCGCCGGCGCGATGGGCGACGGCCTTCCGTCCGCGGGCGGCGACTCGCGTTTGAATTCGGGGTGCCGAAACCCGCGCGCGGAACGCCTCGCGGCGCGGCGCGCGACGATAGATAGATAGATAAATGATCGAGAATAAGACACGCGGTAGGTAGCGCATCAGCATCAGCATCGCGAGCGAGTGAACGAACGAACGAACGAACGCGTCGTCATAGTACAAAGCGAGGCGCGTCGCCTCGTCGCCGCTCAGAGGAGGTCCTCCGAGGCGTCAAACTTGCCGCCGCCGCCGCCGCCGCCCGCGGCGTCCCACGCCGCGGCGGCGTCGTCCCCTCCCCCCTCGCCGCCGCCGCCCTCCCTCCGCTCTGGCGGCGCGGTTCGCCGCCACGCGTCCGCGGGAGGCGGCGGCGGCGACGCCACCGGTCTCGGCGCGCCGCCGCCGCCGTAGTACCCGCCGGGTCCCCCCGGACCGTATCCCGCGGCGTTCGCGGCGCCTCGCGCGCGCTCGCGCCCCCCGCCGCCGCCGTCCATCTCGTACTCCATCTCCCGGCGCTCCTCGACGACCCAATCGTCGAACGCGCGCGACGATTGCGATTGCGATTGCGATTGCGATCGCGGCGGCGGCGCGCCGTAGCCGCCGTCCGCGTCCCTTCGCTCGAACGGTTCGTTCGGACGCATTAGCGGGATGCCCTCCCGCTCCCGTCGACGCGGCGGCGGCGGCGGCGGCGCGGAGTCGTACTGACTTTGATACCGCCCCGGAGCGCCCCACCGCTCCCGCTCCCGCTGTTGCCGCTCGTACTGCTGATACCGTCGCGCCTCCTCCTCCTGCCGGTACGCCTGCTCCTCCTCCCACCGCGCGCGCTGGAAGTCCTGCGCGTAGTAATCGCCGTACGTCGCGAGATCGTCTTCGGGTCGAGGGTCAAGCGAAGCGATATTTTCGGGGTGGAGTTGAAAGGCGTCAGATGGAGTTGAAAGGCGTCGAGGGCGGGTGTTGAAAGCGAGGGGTGGGCGGAGAGATGCGCCGGGAAAAGTCCTTAAGGATCGGCGTTCACCACGCCAACGCGGTCGTATGGGGACCAGTGTGATGACAGAACGCGCCTTCCCACGGCGGCGCCGTCAGCTGCAGCCGCTGCAGCAGCGACACCGACAGCTGCTCCACGCGCGCCTCCGCGCCCTCCGCGACGATGACGCGGTCCATCCCCGCGCTCAAAATCTCGCTCACGTCCAGCGCGTACGTGCTCACGACGCCCTCGGGCACGAGCGGCAGCCCGAGCGCGTCCACGACGACGCGTTGGACGAGTCCGTCGTCCGGGTCGAACTCGTAATCGCGCACGCGGCCGATGTACGTCCCGCGCTCCGTCACGACGTCGCACCCGACGACGGTGCTCAGCCCGTACGAGCTCCATCGCCGCTCGACCGCGCTCTCGTCGTGCACGAGGACGACGTCGCCGACCTGCCGGAGCGAGGACATGAGGACGTGGTCGACCGCGCCGCCGATGACGCCCGCGAGGAGCGCGCCTCCGGACGGGCGGACGTCGAGCGCGACCACCTCCCACGCGTCGGTGTCGACCCACAGGTCCGAGGTGACGCCGAGGCGCACGCCGGAGGTGCGCGTGACGACGTCCTTGCGCACGAGCTGCCCGCGCGTGAGCGTGACGCCGTTGTAGTCCGCGCTGTCGGGCGGCGGCGGCGGCGGCGTCGGCGCGCGTCGCGCGGAGGATTCATCATCGAAGCTCTCTTGGCGACCTTCCGCGACCGCGCGCGCGCGGGCGAGGCGCCGCGAGCGAGCGCGTGGCGCGTTGGAACGACCGGCGCGGCACGGCGCGGCGGCCGCCGCCGCCGCCGCCCTCGCCGAGGGAGCCCGCGCGGCGGAAGACGTCGCGGACATCGCGCTCTGCCAATTCATTCCGCGCGCCGGCTCTTTCACAAAGAAGAAAAAGCGACAGGACCGCGGACCCGCGATTATTCGAACGCTTTCGCAAGGCTCATCGGCCCGAGTTTCAACCCACCGCTCGATCGACCCCGCCGATCAACCGCGTTCGTTCGAAACCGGAAAACGATCCCCTCGACCGATCAACCGACCGACCCCCCGCGCGCGACAGTTCGATGACGTGGGCGCACGTGGCCGCTCGCCGACGCCGCACGCGAGCCACACGCGGTGGGCGCTATCCAACTTTTCTTTCGCTTCGCGTCGCGTCGCGCGTCGTCCTCGCTCACTCCGCGCTCGCGCAAGTCCACGACCTTCGCCGTCGTCGATCGCGCACCCTCGCACGCGACACCCCCGCAGCAGCGCCGCTCACCCCGCGCCGCACGCGAACGAACGCGCGCGCGTCCTCGCTTCCTCCGATCGTCATCACATCATGGCTTCTTCCGCCGCTTCGAGCCACGTGCAGCTTCTCACCGCGCGACGCGCCGTCGCGGTCTCTAAGTCGCTCTCCTCGACGAAGGCGACGCGCGTGGCGCGCGCGCCGCTGCGATGCGTCGCGGACGAGACCGCGGCCGCGTCCTCCGGCACGCCCGTGCGCAAGACGTCGATGCTCGTCATCGGCGCGACCGGCACGCTCGGCCGTCAGGTGGTGCGGAGAGCGCTCGACGAGGGCTACGACGTCCGATGCCTCGTCCGCCCGCGCATGAACCCCGCGGATTTTCTCCGCGACTGGGGCGCGACGACCGTCAGCGGCGACCTCTCCAAGCCCGAGACGCTCCCCGCGGCGTTCGTCGGCGTGCACGTCGTCGTCGACGCGTCCACCGCGCGGCCCGAGGAGGACACGTACGGCATCGACTGGAAAGCCAAGGTCTGACTGGTCCCCGTACGACCGCGTTCGCGTGGTGAACGCCGATCCTTAAGGACTTTACTTCCCGGCGTTCGTCTCTCTCCGCCCAGGGTCCCTCGCTCACAATCCCGACACACCTCGACGCCTTTCAACTCCGCTTCTGACGCCTTTCAACTCCACGACCCGACCCCAAGGTGGCCACCATCCAAACCGCGGCGTCCATGGGCATCCAACGCTACGTCTTCTACTCCATCGACAAGTGCGAGCAGCACAAGGAGGTGCCGCTGATGAACATGAAGTTCGCGGTGGAGGAGTACCTCAAGGCGAGCGGGATGAATTACACCGTGCTGCGTCTGTGCGGCTTCATGCAGCCGCTCATCTCCGGCTACGCCGTGCCCGTGCTCGAGGAGCAGACGGTGTGGGGCACGGACGACGACACGAAAACCGCGTATCTGGACACTCAGGACGTCGCGAAGATGACGCTCGCGGCGTGCCGGCGCGAGGAGGCGGCGAACAAGACGCTCACGCTCGCGGGACCCAAGGCGTACTCCGTGAACGAGGTGATCGCGATGTGCGAGCGCATGGGCGGCGCCGACGCGAATGTGAACAAAGTGCCTGTTTTGGTGTTGAAGGCGACGCGCGCGCTGACGCGGTTCTTTCAGTGGACGTCGCCGGCGGCGGACCGCCTCGCGTTCGCGGAGGTGCTCGCGTCCGGGATCAAGTTCGACGCGGACATGAAGGAGACGTACGAGATCTTGGGCATGGACGAGAGCGACACGACGACGTTGGAGGAGTACATGGAGGAGTACTTCTCGAAGATCTTGAAGAAACTCAAAGAGGTGGGCGGTCAGTCGCGACAGAAGGACTTCTACCTGTGATTGACGACGGGTGCGAGACGGATCGACGGACGGATCGGATCGGATCGACGACAGAGGTCGAGACGACGGACGCGACGGACGGGCGGTGTTTGGAGTTGGAGGGTGTGTTTCGTTTTTCATTCATTAATTAACACGACGGAAACGAAACGAACGGTACGGCGCGGCGGCGGGGGCGGCGATAGCGCCGTGTATTAAAGAAGCGAGCGAATTCTTATCTAATTCAACCGCCGCGGTCGCTCGCGCGCGCTTCACCGCGCGTCTCTCTCGTCTCCTTCGCCGACGAGCGCCGCGAGCGCGGCGCGCAAGGACGCCACCGCGGCGACGTGATCGCGCGAGTCCAACGCGGCCGCGGCGTCGCGCGCGCGCGTCGCCGCGGCGGCCATCGCCGTCTCGTCGGGACCGCCGTTCGTATTCACACCGGTCCCCGTACGACCGCGTTCGCGATGTGAATGAAGCCGATCCTCATCAAGGACTTCGCTAGGCGAAGCGCCGCCGTCGTCCCCCGCGGCTCCGGGACCCGTCGCCGCCGGCGCGAGCCTGCTCGCCTCCGTGCATCTCTCGACGCCGTTCACGTCGATCACGTACCCGCGCGGGTCGACGCTCGCGTCCACGTCCGTCACGATCGCCGCGAGCGGGGCGATCTCCGCGTCGTCGTCGCCGCCGCCGCCGCCGCCGCCGCGGTACAGCACGCGGTCGCCTTTTTTGAACGGACCGCCGGAGCCCCACGCGACGCCGCTCATCGACCGTCGTCTCGGCGGCGGCGGAGGCGGCGGCGACTCGCTCGCTATGTGCAGAGCGTCCAAGGACGGATGCGGCGGCGCCGCCGCCGCCGCCGCCGCCGGCGGCGGCTCCGGCGCGCGGAACGCCGGGCTCCCGCCCCCGCCCCCCTGGGCCCCTCCCCCCACGACGCTCGGCGCCCTCCCCGCTTGCATCGCCGTCGCGATGTCCCACGCGCGCCACTCCGCGTACGTCTGTCGCTCGCGCAGGTCGTCGTCGAGCGGCTCGCCGAAGCGCCGCAACACCTTGACGAGGGCCGTTCCGTACGAAGCGATGATATCGGGGCGGAGTTCAAAGGCGTCGGTTGAAGTTGAAAGGCGTCGAGGCGCGTCGGGGTCGAAAGTGAGGGACCCTAATGGGCGGAGAGAGACGACGGGAAGTAAAGTCCTTAAGGATCGGCGTTCACCACGCCGACGCGGTCGTATGGGGACCAGTGTGACGTAGGACGCGCCTTGAGAAACGTCGCGGCGGCGGAGAAGGCGTCCGCCAGCCTCGCGTCCGCCTTCCCCGCGCGGTCCGCTCTGTCCGCGCGCGCGTAGACTCTCAGCGCGAAGTCGCGGCACACCTTGAAGTCCTGAGGAGGGGGGTGGGGGTCGGGTCGGGGGGATCGAGGGGTAAGGTTAGGCATCGCGGCGTGGGGACGACGTCGGGTATCGGAGTGGTGGAGTTCAAAGGCGTCAGGTGGAGTTCAAAGGCATCGAGGGCGGGGATTGAAACCGAGGGGTGGGCGGAGAGAGACGCCGGCAAAAGTCCTTAAGGATCGGCGTTCACCACGCCAACGCGGTCGTATGGGGACCAGTGTGATGGCGGGCGACCGCGGCGGGAGGGACGGACGGATCGATCTCGCGGAGTCAACAACGCTACGCGACGCGACGCCGCGCGCACCACGTCCGCGTCGACGAGCCCAGCCTTGGGCTTCGCGCGCTCCAGCTTCTCGAGCGCGGACGCGAGCAGCTTCTGCGGGCGCGTCTCGCTCGGGAGCGCCATCCCGAGTTCGACCGCGCGCAGCCGGCCTGCGCGACGCGCGGCGAGCGAGGGGCGAAGATGAGCGAGAGACGATATGGCGACGGAGGGAGGGACGGAGCGATGATATGCGGCGAGGGAGGGACGGAGGACGCGCGAGCGAGCGCGCGCGCACAGTAGTACGCCATCAGCGGATGATGCGCGTCGATCTCGTCCGCGCGCTTCAGCATCGGCGTCAGCTCCCGCGTCGCCATCGCGCGCGACGGACGCGACGCGACGCGCGCGCGTGTGCGTTGGTAGCGAAGCTTTCGATACCTTTGCTTGCCACGCACGCGCGAGCGACGCGCGCCGCGTGCTCGGAATCACGCGCCGAAACTCTTGACCGTGACTGGCGCGATGAACGTCGATACCACGCCGATGAACTCGATACCACCGATCAACGTCGTCGATACCACCGATCAAACGCGAAAAGACCTGCCTGCGTCTTTGCGTCTTTTCGCGAAAAGGTGATCGTGTATGGCCTCTCTTTAATCCGAAACAGCGGTCTAATTCGTTCATTGGTTCAACTCTTTTTTTTTCAAAAAAAGAGTTAGGGACGCGCTTTTTCGTATGCGACGTAGTCTCCGAAAGTAAAATCACGATCTGAGTACACGCTGTACGATACGTCACGCGATTTCGGACTGTCAGCGCATAGCGGATCGTCCGCCGGTTCGGCGAAAAAGTATCCACGGTGTCCACAACCCGCCGGCTGCGATTCGCGGAACGCGAGGACCGCTCCGGGAACGCGCGCGCGCGGGTCACACCGACGCGCACCGGGGTCGCGCGCGCGCACGAACGCACCTTCGAGGAGTTCCTCGCGAGTTCGCCCCGCGCCGCCGCCGCGAAGAAGGACGAGGCGCCGCCGAGACGCGCGCGCGAGAGAGGAGGGCGAGATCGACTTCGTCGAAGTCGCCGCTCCCGCGACCGAGCGCGAATCCCGCGCCGCGACCGCCCGTCTCCGTCGCGCCCGCGCGCGCCGCGATCGACGCGAAAAGGCACGGACTCCCTGAAAACGTCGACATGACCACCTCCTTCAACGCCGTGGACTTCGGGTTCCGCCCGATACGCCCGGACGACGACGTCGCGGACGACGCCCCGGGGTGCAGCAGCGAGGACGCCACCGCGTGGTACCCGCTCGCGCGAGACGACGATTTCCCCGACGACGACGCCATGGACGCGGACGACGCGCTGTTCATCTCCGAGGACGAGACGCTCCCGGACGCGACCGGGTTCGGCGCGCGTCAGCGCGAGCTCGAGACGATCGCGGCCGCGAAGCGCGAGGAGGAGACGCGCGCGGCGCATCACGGCGGCCCGTTCCTCGGCAGCACGCTCGGCGAGCTCGTGGAGCGATTCCGCGCGGGGTCGTGGGCGACGCCCTCGGACGTGTGGGTCGAGGTGCTCGAGACGTTGCGCGAGCGCGAGAAGACCAAGAGCGGGGAAGTCCTGGACCCGTCCACGGCGCGGCACATGAAGTACCGGACGACGCTGATCGAGTGGATACTCGAGGTGTGCGCGGACCTCGGGTTCGGTCCGACGACCGCAGACCTCGCGGTTCGATACATGGTGCGTCTCGCTCGCGGGAAAAGGAGACGGAGAGGCTCTCGTGAACTTTTTTCTGTCTCGCGGGTCCCCGAAACGTCGCGCCGCGATTTTGTGCGCGCGGAATCGCGCGCGCGAGACGCGCGAATCCGCGCGAAATCCCCAGCCACCCCGCGCGATCGCTTCTTCGATGTCTCAACTCACATATCTCTGATTTTCGCCTCCGCAGGATCGCGTCCTGAGCAAGGTGAACGTCCCGAAGACGAGCCTGCAGCTCGTCGCGATGTGCTGCCTGGAGGTCGCAGGTGAGAAACACGCGCGCGCTTTTTTTTCACGCGAACCCTCTTCTCGGCTCACCCGCCGCCGCCCGCGTCCGCGTCGCGCGCGAACCCACGTGGCATTGGCGCCGAAACTCGCGCGATCGCGAGCGAACTCGCCGATCTCGCGATCGCGCGACGCGCCGGCGACGACGGCCGCGGCGTCGATCGCGTCACGACGCCCCCGCGTGCGCGCCGCGGCGACGGAAATATCCCCTCGAATCTTTGTTAAATATTTTCTCCTCCCCGCGTCGTCCCCGCCGCCTGCCGCAGTGAAATTCGAGGAGATCGAAAACGACGTCCCGTCGCTTCCGAAGCTCCGGAAGTGCGCGAGCAACGTGTACAGCGTGGAGATCATCAAGAAGATGGAGCTCGCGGGTGAGCGCGCGTCCCTCGACCCGCTCACCACCTCGCCGTGTAGACCTCGCGGCGACGCGGGCGGTTTCTTTTTTTGGATTTTTTCGCGCTCGTTTTCAAACGATGCCACTTGTCACGTTTGTTTTCCCGCCCCCCGCCGCCGACCGCCGCCGACGCCGACTGACCCCCCCCACCCCCCCTAAACCCACACCACCTCACAGTCCTCATCGAGCTCGACTGGGACCTCGCGACGATCGTCCCCGCGCACTTCCTCGAGGCTGTCCTCGCGGTCACCGGCGGCGGCACGTCGCCGCACGACGTCATCGGCGACCGCCCGTGGACCCCCGCGTGCGTCTCCCAGCTCCGCAAGCTGGCGTGCTACCTCCACTCCATCTGCCTCCAAGACTCGCACGTCGCGACAAACGCGTCGCCGTCGCTGCTCGCGGCGTCGATCATCGCGATGGCGCGCCTGCAGCTCAACATCTACCCGGTGTGGCCCGCGGAGTTGCGCGTCGCGACGGGGTATTCGTGCGACGCGTTGGGTCCGGTGATGTCGAAAATTTTGTCGCTCTACAAAGCCGCGCTGCCCGCCGGCGCCGCCGTCAACGCCGGGCCCGCGGCGGCGACGAACCCGAGCGCGCCGCTGGACGCGGTGATCACCGCGCTGGAGGAGGAGGGCGCTGTTGGCGCGTACGCGTATACGTACGGAGGGGATTACGAGGGCGGCGCCATTAAGGCGGGAGAGAGCAGGGAGACGCTCACGCCGTCGCCCACGGGGCCGCTCGACGGCGGATTCTTCGAGCTCATGGAGGACGACGTCGAGCTCGAGCGCGACGCGGTGTTCGCGTGAGAGGTGGACGCGATTAATCATCTGCGTCCGCGTCGCGGTCGCGTCGCGTCGCGTCGGCCGCGCGATAGAAGAGGAGGGTGGGGTGGCGTTTTTTTGGGGGATCGGAAGGAAGGAAGGAAGGAAGGAAGCAAGCGTCTGGAGTTCGGGGAGTTGAATTCACGCGCCGACGAACGAGGTCTGCGGGGTTGTACGAGAGGGGGGGCGGGGGGAGAGCCGTGAAAAAGTTTTCACGTCCTCTCCAACCAGGACGCGTGGACGACGCGCGAGGTTCATAATCGATCGCGCTTTGAGCGGCTGTCGCGGATATCATCGCGACAGCCGGCGGCGTTGATCGAAGGGTGACCTCTCGCGTCGCGCGTCGCTGTATCACCAAAGTAGTTTTTAATTTACGACGAAGTTATCGACTGACGGCGCCGCAGTCCGCGCGCGCTCTCCGCGCCACCGCCCGTCGTCGTCGTGTTCTGTGTTCTGTTCCTATTCGCTACGTTCGTCGTTTACGTCTACCGTTCCGCGCGGCGGGCGCACCGCTCGCTCACGCCGCCCTGCACTTGATCCCTTCGTCGCCGTCGACGTCGTACCTCGCGCGCGACCGCCCGCGAGGAAAGTCCCACCTCGCGACGAACGACACGCCACCGCCGTGTGGGCCCCCGCCGCGACTCTTCTCCACGTCCAGGACGAGCCGCTGCGTCACCGCGGACGTCCACGTCGGCGGGAGGAAGTCCTTGTGCGTCTGCGTCGCCCCCGCGCCGCCGCCGCCGACGGTGGCTTTGGTCACCACGATGGGCGCGCGGCACTTCCGACTGAGGGTAATTGTCCATACGAAGCGAACGTCGGGGTGGAGTTCAAAGGCGTCAGGGGTGGAGTTGAAAGGCGTCGAGGTGTGTCGGGATTATGAGCGAGGGACCCTGGGCGGAGAGAGACGAACGCCGGGAGAGAAAGTCCTTAAGGATCGGCGTTCACAACACGAACGCGGTCGTATGGGGACCAGTGTGAAATACATAGAACGCGCCTCAGCGCCAGCAGCTTCGCGGCGAACGCGTGGTGGACGGCGTGGAGGGATAACGGCGCGCCCTGCTCCCGCCGCGACGCGCGGTCGAGCCAGTAGAACGCCGCGATGTTGTCTATGAGCAGCAGCCGCCGCGTTTGCGTTTGCGCGCGCGCGCGCGTTCGCGCCGCCGACGCGTCCGCCGCATCATCCGCCGACGCGTCCGCGGCGTCGCGACGCTCGCGCTCCGCCTCCGCCTCCACGAACGCGCGCTCGACGACCGTCAGCGCCTTCAAGAAGTCCAGCGAGCCGTGGCATCGAAGCATATGGAACCTCCCGACGCACTCCGCGTACACGGCGTCGATCAGCGCCTCGGACTCGGCGTCCAGCGGCGGCGTTTTCCGCGGCTGCGACGGCGCGCCGGCTGCGGTTTCATTTTGTTTCATCGTCGCAGATCTCCCTCTGATCACCGCGTCCTTCACGCGCGACGTGAGGATCTTCAGGAAGCGCAGCGTGTCGAACTTCCCGTCCAGATCCAACAGGAGCACGCCGCCCTCGCACCCGCCGAAGCTCACCCCCCCGCGCGCCTTCGGCAGCGCGCAGTTCACCGCCGCCTGCATCAAGATCTCCGTCTTCCCGCTGCCGCCGACGCCGCACACCTCGAGCATCTGCCCCGCGCGCAGGCTCCCGTGCGCGTCCACGAACGGGATCCCGGTGAGCATGGGATCCGTGAGGTTCCTGGAGAGGAACGCCGCGCCTGCGCGCGCGGAGGAGGTTTGGGGGAGGACGTGAGGACGGGAGACGGGAGACGACGTGGCGACGACGCGGCGACGACGACGGCGACGCGTTTGAAACGAACGGGTCGCGCGAGATCCGCGGCGACGCGCGAGCGCGCGCGACGCGCGACGCGCGACGCGACGCGAGCGGCGCGCGGGAGCGCGCACCGGTCTCGTCCGGGGCGAGGAACGCGCGCGCGGCTGCCTCCGCGGCCTCCATGCGGTCGGCCGTCCGCGCGCTCTGGTTATGGGACGCGCGCCGAGCCGCGCGCTGCGCGTGCGGCGCGCGGAGGCGTTCGACGCATCGCGCGAAGGTTTCGTAAAAAGCTCCGAGTGGGGAAAAAGTTATCGGAAAAGAACCCCTCGAAACGCCCTTTAGCGCGCGCCGCTCGGGATAACTCCGAGACTTTCGACGACATTTTCGTTCATACTGTTTGCTCATACGCGGCGCGCGAGATTTTTTTTTTTTAATTATTCGATGCCAGATTGGTGCCAGCCTGTTGCCAGCTCATACGAAAAGTTTCGTCCGAAGAAAATATCTCGCGAGCTCCCGCGAGAATTATCCCTATTCCCTTTTTAACTTCCAACAAAGAGCCCAAAACCTGGTACGTTTTCAGGTTTTGGGTCGGTGGATCGGTGAACTCGATCAAATAATGGTCGGTCGTACAGGTTCAACGGAGAAAATCGCCGGTCGACGCTCGCGGTCGCATAGATCGATTGATAGGTGTTAAAACAGGACGCACGTCGAGACGAGTCGACGTCGACGGCGCCGCGATAGCGCGAGGTTCTTCTTCTTCCTTCTTCGTCGCGAGACGCGTTCGTCGCGTCGTCACTGCCGCGGACGCCGCGCCCTCCCTCCGAGCTGCGGGTCTCCTCGCGCGCGCTCGCCATCCGCCACACGCGAACGCCACCGCGAACGTCATGACGTCCACCTGCGTCGCCGCCGCCGGCGCGGCGCGCGCGCGCTGCCGCGCCCCCGCCCCGGGCGGGCGATCCTCAGCCTCCTCCTCCTCCTCCTCCTCCTCCTCCTCCTCGCGCCGCGTCGCCGTCGTCGCGCCGGCGCGCGCGATGCACGCGCACGGCGAATCATCCGGCGGCGGCGCGCCCGCGAAGGACGCGCCCGCCGGCGGCCACGGCCACGGCCACGGCGGCGCGTCGTCGCGCCCGCGCCCGGGCGAGAAGAAGGGATTCGTCGAAGAGATGCGATTCGTGGCGATGAAGCTCCACACGCGCGAGCAAGCGCCGAAAGAGGGCGAGGCGAAGCCGCCGCCGGAGTCGAAGCCCATGATGCAGTGGGAGCCGACGCGCGAGAAGTACCTCGCCTACCTCGTCGAGAGCAAGGCGATGTACGAGGCCATGGAAGAGATCGTCGCGTCGAAGGCGTCGCCAATCTACGAGGCGTTCTTAGGTGCGTTCTATCTCACACTGGTCCCCATACGACCCCGTTCGCGTGGTGAACGCCGATCCTTAAGGACTTTTGCCGTCGTCTCTCTCCGCCCACCCCACGCTTTCAATCTCCGCCCTCGACGCCTTTCAACTCCAACTGACGCCTTTCAACTCCACCCCCACGTTCGCTCGTATGGAATGGCCCTTAGACACAGGGCTCGAGCGCACTTCCCCGCTCGCGAAGGACATCGAGTGGTTCGAGAAGACGTACGGACTGACCGCGCCGGTCGCGGACGGCCCGGGGGTGGAGTACGGCAACTTTTTAAAGGAGCTCGCGAAGACGAGCCCGCCGGAGTTCATCTGCCACTTTTACAACGTCTACTTCGCGCACTCCGCGGGGGGGCGAATGATCGGACGCAAGGTGCGTTCTATTACCACACTGGTCCCCGTACGACCGCGTCGGCGTGGTGAACGCCGATCCTTAAGGACTTTACTTCCCGGCGTTTATCTCCGCCCACCCCTCGGTTTCAATCCCCGCCCGCGTTGCCTTTCAACTCCGCTTCTGACGCCTTTCAACTCCACCCCGACGCAAGGTGAGCGAGATGATCCTGAACGGGAAGGAGCTGGAGTTTTACAAGTGGGAGGAGAGCCGCGGCGGGTTGGAGCAGAGCCTCGCGGACGTCAAGTCGAAGCTGAACGACGCCGCGGAGGGGTGGAGCCGAGAGGAGAAGGATCGATGCCTGGAGGAGACGAGCAAGTCGTTCCAGATGTCGGGGCAGCTCCTCAGGCTCATCGCGTGACGCGAGAAAGTTGACGCGAGTCTTCTCGATGACGATGACGATCGTAGGTCTTCTCTTCGACGAAATTCGACGACGCCGGGTCGCGTGTTACAGTACCGACGACGTGAATGATGAATACACTACAGTACGCTCACTCACAATACATAGAACGTCGTCCGCGCGCGGTCGGTCTACATGCACAGGCGCGTCGACCGCGACCCGATCGGGGACGCGCCCCCCGGGACGAACTTCGACCGGCCGCCCTTCTTCCCGTTGGGCGACTTCCACGGCGCGTCGCCGCCGCCGCCGTCGTCGCCGTCGTCGTCCCCGTCGCCGCTATCTCCGCCGGCGCCGTCGCTCCCGAACCCCCCCGACGTCCCTTCGTTCCACGCGAACGCGTCGTCGCCGTCCGCGCCGTTCGTCGTCGTCGTCGCGCCGTCGTCGTCCTCTCCGGGCCCCGCCTCCTTGTCCACGTTGGAAGGCGTCAGTTGAAAGGCGTCAGTTGAAGTTGAAAGGCGGCGAGGGCGGGGATTGAAAGCGGGGGGTGGGCGGAGAGAGACGACGGCGAAAGTCCTTAAGGATCGGCGTTCACAACGCCGACGGGGTCGTATGGGAACCAATGTGAAGAAGAACGCACCTTCTTCGCGCCCTTCGCTTTCGCCGCCGCCGCCGCCGCCTTCGCGCGCCGCCGACTCTCCGCCGCTTCCCTCCGCCGCGCCTCGATCAGCGCGTCCGCGTCCGCTTTCGAGTGCTCCGCGCGCGGGAGCGGGTCCGGCAACGGCGGGAGCTTCCGCCCCTCGTGTCCCGCCACGAACTTCTCCACCGGCCTCAGGGTCGTTCCATACAAAGCGATGTCGGGGTGGAGTTGAAAGGCGTCAGGTGGAGTTGAAAGGCGTCGAGGGCGGGCGTTGAAAGCGAGGGACCCTGGGCGGAGAGATGCGCCGGGCAAAGTCCTTAAGGATCGGCGTTCACCACGCCAACGCGGTCGTATGGGAACCAGTGTATAGAACGCACCTCAGGTAGTCGCGGTAGTAGCTGAAGTAATTGTGCGTCCCTTGCGTCGGGAAAAACATGCAGTGCAGGTTGTTCTCCTTTCGAACGTTCCGAAGCGTCTCCGCGTGGTGAAACGGAATCACCTCGTCGCTCGCGCCGTGCACGATCAGAAGCCGACACCGCAGCTCCGCGAGCGGTATCCGGTTGTCCCACCGCTCGCTCATCATCCTCGCGACGCCGCCGAGGAGCGATATCCCCGCCTCTCGAACGCTGCGGGGTTTCGGTACGTACAAAAAACGTTCATTCATCGGTCAGACAGTTGAAAGGGACCCACGCGATCAAATGTTGAAACCGAGCGGTGGGTGAAACCAAACGCGCGCGCGAAGCTTCCTTCCGCGCACCTGACGAAGGGCGAATGCAACACGACGCCGCCGACGGGACGCCAACGCAGCGTCTGCAGCCTGTGCGCGAGCCTGCACACCGGGCCGCTGCCTAACGATCGCCCGAACAAGATGACGCTCTCTGGGTCGTACCCCAGGTCCTCGATCAGGTACAGGTACGCGCACACGACGTGTCGGTCGACGTTTCGCTCGTAGCACGCGCCGGGGGACGCGCCGTATCCGGGGTACTCGACGAGGAGCACTGATTGGTCGAGGGTGACGTGGAAGGCAGGAGGCGCGATGCGATTGGTCAGCACGTGATGACGTGGAAGGAATTCATTCACATCGATATCGATGCGATCGGTCAGCGCGTGATGGATGACGCGGAAGATCGTGATGACGCGGGCGGGAGTCGTCGCGCGCGCGCACCGTTCGCCTGCCAACACTCCGCGTCTCGCTGACACAGCTCGTAGACGTGTCCGACGTCGCACGCGTTCGCGTGGCAGTGAATCACCGCTCGCGTCGCGGGCGCGCGCTTGCACTTGATCATCACCGCGGGGAAGTGGTACCCTAAACGCGTGTCGAGCATGACCGCGTCCGCGGGGGACCACGGGTGATTCGACGCCGAGTACGACGGCTCAGGCGCTTGGAAGATCGCGCGGTTGACGAGAGACATGCGCTCGAGCGTCGCGTTGTCGCCCCAGTCGTCGTCGCCGAGGAGCTGATCGAGCGTGCTCTTCTTCGCGTCGGCGGTCTTGCGGCACGACCCGGTGGTGCACGAGGCGAACATCGTTCAAGTCGTCGCGAGGCGAGCCGCGTCGGATCCGACGAGGACGATGAGCGCGATTAGTCTCAAATTCTCCGATGAATGAATGAACGAAACGGGCGCGCGCGGCGAGCGATCTCGATCGCGATCGCGGGCGCCCCCGTCCGCGCCGCCGCCGCGAGCGCTCGCGCGGTCTCGAGCGCCACGACGCGCGAGGACGGGAGCGGAAGGTCGCGCGCGCGCCGACTCGCGCGCGTGATGTCTGCGAGGACTACAGGACGCCGACGATGAGTTCGGGGAACGCCCCTCGGCCTGACGACGACGAAAAGAGATATTATATTTTCCGACAGGTTGGACTGAGATATTTTCCGACAGGTTGGACCGCGGCGCGCGTCCGCGCAGACGCCGCGGTTGTATAAAGTATCATCAGTCGATCAAGCAATCGATCGCTCACTCCGCGACGCGCACGAAGTTTCCGTTGGCGTCCTTCTTCAGCCGACCCGCCTTTCTCGGCGCGACGCCGAAACCTCTCCGAGACGCGTCCCCGAACCCGGCCCTCCCCGCGGGCCCGCCTCCGTACGACGACGACGACGACGACCCGTACGACGACGCGCCCTCCGACCTCGCGAGCTTCTGTAACGCCGCGTCGTTCCTCGCGTCGACGATGTGCAACGTCGCCGCGATGGCGTCCACGATCTCCGCGTACTCTTGCGACAACGCGCGGCGCGGCGCCATCACCTTGTGCGCGAGCGCGGCGTCCAGCTCGCCGCGGACGTCCGTCAGCAGCTCCGACGTGTCCGGGCACGACGACGACGTCAAGATCCAGTCGTCGATCAGCCCGTGACCGGGCTTCCACGCGTCGTCGTCGACGACGGCGGGCGGGAGGACGTCGATGGGGATCACCGGGAGTCCGTCCGCGCCGAGCAAGGGCGGGGGTTCCGATCGGTCGCTCAGATCGGTCGCGACGTCGTCGTCCAGCTCCGTCGTCGTTCCCCCTCGTGAAGCGCGCCGCCCGCTTCGAATTTCCGCGTCGGTTGGCTTGAACCGCGTCAGATCCGTCATCTTCGACCCGCCGAACAGCGCGAGCTGCTCCGGCGTCACCGCGCTGCAGTCCCTCAAGAACACCTGCGACGACAGCACCATCTCCTTGTACATGAACCAGTCCGGGAGCTGCGCCTGACCGTACCGACCCCTCGGCGGCGAGCGGTGGAACGACACCGACGCGGGGTGAAGCCCCGCGGTGGCCTCGAGGCGCGTGCGCATCACGCCGAAGTGCGACTGCCGCCGCCGCGACGCGAGGTTTCCGGGCACGCCCGTGGTGAGCACCGCCGTCGTCAGCGCCTCGTTGCCGGCGTGGCGATTCACGACCGCGTCCGCCTTGAGCTCTTTCTTCGCGCCGTACCCCAAGTCGCCCGCGTGCACGAGCCCGGTGCGGACGAGCTCGTTCAGGAGCTGCGAGCGCAGCGACGTGATGGTCTGCAAGCCTTGGATGCTGAGGGTCGAGCGAGGGTCCGTACGAAGCGACAGACAGACGTCGGGGTGGAGTTGAAAGGCGTCAGGGGTGGAGTCGAAAGGCGTCGAGGCGTGTCTTCTGGATTGAAACCAGCGCGGGGTGGGCGGAGAGAGACGCCGGGAGAGAAAGTCCTTAAGGATCGGCGTTCACAACGCGAACGCGGTCGTACGGGGACCAGTGCGGTAATAGAACGCGCCTGAGAAAGTTGTCTCGCGCCCACCCGCACGCGCGGTTGAACCCCTCCTCGGCGTTGACCGCGCGCCACTCCGCGTACGCGCGGAGGACCGCGTGGTGGTCCGACGTCTCGCAGAACCGTCGGCGCGCGCGCTGGGCTTCGTCGCGCATGCCGGTCGGGGTGATGAACGGATCCCTCGAGCTCATGCACGCCGCCGCGGTGAGCACCGGGTCTAAGCACTGCGTCACGACGCCCATGATGAGCATCCGCCCCGTCGCGGGATCGAGCGGCAGCTGCGACAGGAGCTTCCCGAGCGGCGTCAGAAGCTCCCGGCGGCGCGGCACCGAGCTCGGATCCGCCGGGTTTGACGGCCCATCGACGTCCGCGATCGCGTTGAGGGACTTGAGGCGGTCCATCGCGAGCGATACCGTCTCCTCCGCGGGCGGATCCAACGCTTGCGATAAAAACTTTTGCACCCCCGCGTTGGTCATCGAACACGTCTGCAGACACGTCGCCTCGAGCGCGGTCCTCTGAATTTCCGGCGTCGGCCGCTCCGGCATCGCCTCCAGCATCGCCTTGCTGTACAGGCGGTAGCACACGCCCGGGGCGACGCGACCGGCGCGGCCGGTGCGCTGCGTCGCGGACGCGCGCGACGTCGGCACCGTCGCCATCGTGCTCATGTTGCTCTCCGCGTTGAAGTTCATCTCTCGCACCAAGCCGCTGTCGACGACGGCGAGTACGTCGTCGATCGTGACCGACGACTCCGCGATCGTCGTGGACAGGATGATCTTCATCTTCCCTTCCGGCGCGGGCGTGAACACCTGCTGCTGCTCCTCTTGCGGCACTTGCGAGTGTAACGGCAGGATGATGAGCGTTTCGCGCTGGGCGGCGGGAAGCGCCTCGAGGACTTTCATCGTCTCCTTGATCTCGTCCCAACCCGGGAGGAAAACCAAAACGCTTCCCTTTCGACCGTTACTCACTTCTTCCGCGGCGACGTCGCGCGCCACCTCGGCCGCGAGCGCGACGACGAGCTCCTCGCGCTCGCGCTTGTCGCCCATCTTCCCGCCGCCGCCGCCGGCGGCTTTCTCCCCGCGCGCGCGTCTCAGGGTCGTTCCATTCAAAGCGACGTCGGGGTGGAGTTGAAAGGCGTCAGTTGGAGTTGAAAGGCGCCGAGGGCGGGTATTGAAAGCGAGGGGTGGGCGGAGAGATGCGCCGGAAAAAGTCCTTAAGGATCGGCGTTCACCACGCCAACGCGGTCATATGGGGACCAGTGTGTAGAACGCACCTCACCGCCTGCCTCGCCGCCCTCGAGACGACGACGTTCCTCCCGACGCCGCCGTCGCCGACGCCGTCCGCGCGTCGCATCTCGACCGCTCGGCGCAGCGTCCGCACGCGGTTCGCGATCCGCTTGTTCTTCCTGCCCTTCGCGCCCTCCTCGACCTCGACCTCGAGGTCTTCCCACTCTTCGGAGTCGTCGTCGTCGTCGTCTTCGTCGTCGTCGTCGTCGTCGTCGCCCTCGTCCCCCGCCTCGAGCGCGTCCGACGCCCTCTCCTCCGCCTCCGCGTCCTGAAGCTCTCGCTCGAGCATCTCGTCCTGGGCTTCCAGGAGCGCGAGCGACAGCTTCGCGCCCATGCCGTCGAGCGCCACCTCTTTATCCTCCCCGTCCTCGGACGCTTCGCCCGCGAGATCTTCGAGGTAAAACATCTCCACGGGGTGCCGCGGCTTCGTCGGGACGCTGAGCAGCGGCGCGCGCGGCGGCGGCGGCGCGTCGACGCCAGCGCCGACGCCGACGCCGCTGACGTCGCACTCGGCGGCGGCGTCCGCGCCGCACCAGTCCAGGTCGCCCGAGGTTGAAAAATACTCCGCGAAGGACTCCGCGTCGAGCGTCGCTGAGGGTCGTTCCATCATTCAAAGCGACGTCGGGGTGGAGTTGAAAGGCGTCAGTTGGAGTCGAAAGGCGTCGAGGTCGGGCGTTGAAAGCGAGGGACCCTGGGCGGAGAGAGACGACGGCGAGTGTCCTTTAGGATCGGCGTTCACCACGCGAACGCGGTCGTATGGGAACCAGTGTATAGAACGCACCCGACATCAACACCACCCGGAGCTCTGGCCTGCGCTTCAGCAGCGATCGCAACAGCACGAGCAAAAAGTCCGTGTTGATGTCTCGCTCGTGCACCTCGTCGATCATCACGTGCGAGATCCCCTCCAGACTCGGGTCGCGCATCAATCGCCGGAGGAGGACGCCGGTGGTGACGAACTCGCACGACGCGCCGTCGGGTCTCGGGGACGTCCCGTGCAGTCGGACGCTGAGGGTCGTTCCATACAAAGCGATGTCGGGGTGGAGTTGAAAGGCGTCAGTTGAAGTTGAAAGGCGTCGATGGCGGGGATCGAAAGCGAGGGGTGGGCGGAGAGATGCGCCGGGCAAAGTCCTTAAGGATCGGCGTTCACCACGCGAACGCGGTCGTATGGGGACCAGTGTATAGAACGCGCCTGAATCCTATCGAGTTCCCAGCCTTCTCGCCGCGCTCCGCGGCGACGCGCTCCGCCACGGACACCGCGGCGATGCGTCTCGGTTGCGTGACGATGATGCGCGTGTCGGGCCCGGCGCCGGTCGCGATGGCGTGCTCGAGGATGTATTGCGGGCACTGCGTCGATTTACCGCTGCCCGTGCCGCCGGACACGACGACGACGGGGTTCGTCTTCAGCGCCTCGACGAGCGACTCTCTGATCTTCAAAATCGGCAGCTTGTCCCTCACCGCTTTCATCTTCCCCTCGGGGGAGTCCGCGTCCGCCGCCGCGGCTGCAGCGCGCGCCGCCTCCTCAGCCTTAAACCTGGCGGATATCTCTTCTCTCCGCGCGTTGAACAGGAACGGGTCCTCCGAGAGGTCCTCGCCGTCCGCGAGCTCGCTCACCGCGCGCGCGGCGGCGTTCGCGGCAGCGTCCGCGTGCTTCGTGTTCTCAACCTTGGCGCGTCGGTACCCGCCGTCCGTCCCGGCGCCCGCGTCGCTCAGAATTTGCGCCTGGATGCGATCGATCGCGATCTGTTCCGCGCGCTTCCACGCCGCCATCCGTCTGTCGTGATCCTCGGGCGTCCCCATCGCCGCGATGAGGCAGTCCATCGCGTCGTCCGGCAGCGGCGGGACCCGCAGCGACGCGACGGATCCGCCGGGGCTGTTGTCCACGATCTTCTGGAGCGTCGAGTGTCGGAGAACGCCCATGGTGTCGGCTAAACTGTCGGAGATGTTGGCGTACGCGATGTCCTCCGCGTCGGATTTCCCCTTCCCGACGCCGACGCTCTCCACCTTCTTCCCGCCGTCCACGTACGCCGTGACCGTCGCCGTCCACCCGCCCTTCGAGGACTTGTGCTCCGCGTTCGGCCTCGACGAGTTCGCGAGCTCGAGCATTAAACGCCCCATCTCCGACCGTTTCTTTTGCTGCGCCTTGCGCTGCTCGTTCAATATCTTCGCCACGTTCGGCGGCGCGCTCGGGTCGATCAGCCCGCCCGTCGCGGCGACGATGCCGTCGAACAGCGACGCGATCGCGAGCCGTTGCGACTCCGCCTTCGCGAAGGCCATCCCGACGCCGTGGACCTCGTATGTCGGCGGCGCGGCGGCGGCGGCGGCGGAAGACGAAACGTCAACCGTCGCGGCGGAGGTAGCGTCGTGCCCCCGTCGTCCTCGAGGGCCCCGCTCGTCGACGTTGTTCTTAATCGTCACCGCGCCGACGCCGATCTCGCCCGCCGCGGCGGCGTTGGCGATCGCGTCGCCGTCGCGCGCGACGAGCCCGAGGTCCTATACGAGCGAACATCGGGGTGGAGTTGAAAGGCGTCAGAAACGGAGTTGAAAGGGGTCGAGGGCGGGGATTGAAAGCGAGGGACCCTGGGCGGAGAGATACGCCGGGCAAAGTCCTTAAGGATCGGCGTTCACCACGGCGACGAGGTCGTATGGGAACCAGTGTGATGATAGAACGCGCCTTCCACGCCGCCGGCATCGCGAGCGTCATCTCGCACGCGAACATCCGCTTGTGCGGCGGGCCGTGCCCGGAGAACGCGACGTGATGCCTCGAGACTTTCGCCACCTGCAGCATGGTCTGAAACTGATTCTTGATCTTCGCGGTGTCCCATCGGCGCCCGCCGCTCGCCGCCTTCGCGTCGTCTCCCGCTCGTTTCTTCATCGTGTACCGGTGGAGTTGAAAGGCGTCAGTTGAAGTTGAAAGGCGCCGAGGGCGGGTATTGAAAGCGAGGGACCCTGGGCGGAGAGACACGCCGGGCAAAGTCCTTAAGGATCGGCGTTCACCACGCGAACGCGGTCGTATGGGAACCAGTGTATAGAACGCACCTTCATCGTGTACGGTCGACCGGTGGGACCGAGCTTGGGAATCTCCGCGGTCTCGCGCTTGAGCTTGTCGTTCGCGCCGCCGCCGCCGCCGCTGTTGTTGTTGTTGTTGTTCGCGCGACGGCCGCGGTATCCGCCTCGGCCGCCTCGGCCGCCGCGGCCGCCGCGGCCGCCTCGCGAGCCGCCGCGGCCGCCGCCGCCGCCGCCGCCGCCCGCCTCGCCCGAGTTGGCCCGACGCTGCGCGCGGTTCCCTCCTCCGCCGCCGCCGCCGCCGCCGCCCGTCTTAGGAGGTCCCTTCTTTTGCGCGCTCGCGGTGTTCCCCTGCGCGGCGGCGTCGACGCGGTGGCGCGCGGCGCCGCTCGCGAACCCGCGGCGCGCGCCGTACGCGCGGCGCGTCGTCGACAGCGGCGACGGCGCGAGCCATCCGGAGCGCGAGAAGCCGCCGAAGAGGGCGCCTCGCCACGCGATCGCGTCCGGCGCGCGCATCGCGGCGACGCCGTCGCGCGCGACCGCTCTCGCCGCCGGGACGCGCGCGAACGCGAACGCGGACGCGGACGCGGACGCGGACGCGAACCGAACCGCGCGCGTCGACCCCGCGGGCGTCGTCGCGGCGTGCCACGACGACGACGACGACGAGATGGACATCGTTCGCCGCGTCGCCGCCGCGACGACGCGCCGCGCGACTGCGACGACGCGATCGCCGGCGCCGCTCATGTTCCTCGCGCGGCCGCCGCGGGAGTGGAGCGACGACGGCGCGGGGGCGGGCGTGAGCGCAATGGTGGGCGCTTAAGGCGGCGGCGGGGTGATGATGATGATGTGCGAGTCGGCGCCGGACTCTTCTTCTTCCCGGAGAGCGAGAGCGCGTCGACGTGTCGCCGTCGCGCGATGGCGTCTCGACGCGCGGGGTATCGGACGCGCGCGCGGTCCTCGCTCGCTCGGTGCGCGCTCGACGACGCGGGTGCGATGCGCGGCTCGACGACGATTCGCGCGCGGCGCGGCGCGGTGCGTGTCGTGCGTGCGCGTCGTTCCGTCGCGCGGGGCGGCGTGCGCGCTGGCGACGCGCCGATTCTCTCCTCGCGTGTTTTATCCGGCAGTCCGGGGTTTTCGTCGATCCGGTTTCAAACCACAGAAAACAAACTACAACTACGTTGTACCGATGAGCTCTCCTTTCAATCACTGCCAGGACGCGGACGCGTCGAGTCGAGTCGCAGTCGATGCGACGCGATGTCGCCTTCTTTTCGCCAGGCTTTCGCTTCGTCTGTCGTCACTCCGTCCGACGCCGCGCCGTCCGAAGCCACGATGCCGCTCCCCGCGCTCCCGCCGCGATGGCGGGACGACGTCGTGACGCACATGCTCTTCGACTTCCTCGAGGACGCCGGTCTGGCGTCGACGCTGCGCGCGCTCGAGAAGGAGACCGGGTGCGCGCGGTCTCGCCTCGCCTCGCCTCGGAGGAGCCGCGGCGTCCGTCGTCGTGGTTTTCGAATTTCGTTGACTCCTCCGCCGCGTCCGTCTCATCGTACTCCGTCGCTCTTCTCGTCCCTCTTCCCGACAGGCGAACGAACCCGCGAGACGACGCGAGATGCGACGAGCTCCGGTTCCTCCGCGCGCTCGTCCTCGACGGCGACTTCGACGCCGCGGCGTCGTTCCTCGAGCCCCTACGCGACGCCGACGACGACGACGCGAAGAATCAGAATCATCAGAATCGTCGTCGCCACGCGTCCGCGCGCGCCGCGCTCGGACGCCAGGCGTTCTTGGAGCTCCTCGACGCCCCGGACGCGTCCGCGTCGGACCTCGCGCGATCCCTCGCGGAGCTCGAGCCTCTGCTCGAGAGGCGCGACTTCGAGACGCTGTGCTACGCGATGACGCTGCCGTCCGTCGCCGCGCACGACGACTTCGCGGGGTGGTCCGTCGCGCGCGGACGCCTCGTGGCGTTCAGGCGCGTTGTCCTTACACTGGTCCCCATACGACCCCGTCGCCGTGGTGAACGCCGATCCTTACGGACTTTTCCCGGCGTGTCTCTCCGCCCATCACCCCTCGGTTTCAATCCCGACACACCTCGACGCCTTTCAACTCCATCTGACGCCTTTCAACTCCACCCCGACGTCGCTTTGAATGATGGAACGACCCTCAGAGCGCTGGAGGACGCGCTCGCGGACGTGTACCCGCGCGAGGAGGAGGAGGAGGAGGAGGAGGAGGGGGGGGCGTCATCGGCGTCGTCGTCGTCGTCCGCGATGGAGGTGGCGATGCGGCACGCGCTCGCGCACGTGAACCTCGTGAACGGGACGTTCGGCGGCGGCGCGCCGGCGACGTCGCTGTTCGAGTCGGTACGAACCGCGGAGAGGAGGAGGAACGCGAACGAGAAGGCGGCGCCGGTCCGTCGCGCGTCGCCGTCCGGCGGGAAACAGCGACGGCTGCCCGTGTTTGGCGTCCGCGCGAGCGTCGCGGTCGCGACGCCGAGGGAGCGGGAGCGGGAGGAGGAGGAGGAGGAAGTTTTAACGTCGGCGCGCGCGCGCGCGGCGACGATGACGCCGTCGCGCGCCGTAGTCTTCTCGTCATCCGCGGTGGTGGAGAAGAGGACGATTATTGACGTCGACGTCGAGACGACGACGACGACGACGACGACCGCGGCGGAAGATGGAGCGTCGATCGACGCGCCATCCGCGAAGACGAAGACGACGGAGAGAAAGTCCTTAAGGATCGGCGTTCACAACGCCAACGCGGTCGTATGGGAACCAGCGCCGCCGCCCGCGTCGCCGTCCTCGGACGAGGCGGAGCGCATGTCGGAGACGTCCGACGGCGAGCCGCCGGTCGTCGTCGTCGACGACGACGACGACGACGACGACGACGAAGCGCGGACGGGGGAAGCCGCCGCCGAAGGAGCCGCCGAAAGAGCCGCCGAAGCCGAAGCCGAAGCCGAAGCGACGGCGGCGACGCCGCCGGCGCCGGTCGGCTGGCGCCCGCCCTCCGCGCGTCCGTCCGCGCTCGCCGCGGGGCCGTACGCGTCGGCGGCGGCGGCGACGACGACTACGACGACGAACCCGGCGGGCCCTCCCCGGGATTATCGGGGAAATCTCCCGCCGACGTTCGCGTCGCGCGGCGTCCTCCACGCCGACGCCAACGCGCTGCGGGTCCTCGCGCACTGCCCCGAGGGATTCGTCAGAGACGGCGTCGACGCGCGCCGCGTCGTCGTCGCGTGCGCGTCGTCCGCGCGCGCGCTGACGATCGTCGCGACGCCGCCGTTTCCGTTTCCGCCGCATCGCGACGGTTCATATCTCGAAGACGACGATTGGGACGACGATGACAGAGATATGAACGGACGCGCCCCGCGCGGCGACGTCCTCCTTCGCGTGGAGAATCTCCATCCCGCGCCGTGTTCCATATACGCGTTGGCGTGGGGCGGGTTCGACGGGCACGTAATCGCGACCGGCGCGAACGACGGCGGCGTGTGCGTCGTGCGGCTCAAGTGGGACGACGACGGAGATGGATACGGATACGAGGGATACGGAACGTCAACCGGCGCGGAGGACGACGACGACGTTCTCGGCGCGTCGGAGTACGGGGACGCGTTTTTGTACGGGCGCTCGCGCTCGCGCTCGCGCTCGCGTCGGCTCGCCGTCGTCGGCGCGCCCGCGGCGGCGCGAGGCGGAGGCTACCGCGGCGGGCACGACGGCGCGGTTCGATCGATCGCCTTCTTCGGCGCGCGCGACGGCGCGTTCATCAGCGGCGGCGGCGGCGACTTCGCGCCGAGGGTGTGGTCGGTGGGCGGCGACGCCGCGTGGACGCGCGGCGACGCGCCGCCGCCGGCGCTGACGCTCGCGCCGCACCGCGACGAGATCGTCGCCGTCGCCACGGACTGGGACCAACGCGATTGGTTCTCACGGTCCGCGTGCGACGTCGCCGCGACCGCGTCGAGGGACGGGGACGTGCGCGTGTACGACGTGCGCGACGGCGCGTGCGCGCGACGCGCGAGCCTGCGCGTCGACGCGAGCGGCGACGTCGTCGGCGGCGGCGCAAGCCGTCGACTCACCGCGATGAGCGTTCGGCGGTTTCTGGTCGCGACGGGCTACAGCGACGGCGGCGTCGCCGTGTGCGACATCCGAAAGGCGACAAGCACCGGGAGTAGTAACGGCAGTGGGAGTGGCGTTACGTCGAGGACCGCGGTGCTGTGGTCGGAGGCGCTGCACGCGGGGAGCGAGGTGCGCAGCGTGGAGGTGGACCCCTCGGGGACGATGGTGCTCACCGGGGGGTTCGACGGGCGGTGCCGGGTCGTGCGCGCGGACGACGGTTCATATCACGACGTAACGCACGGCGTAACGCACGACGGGCACGACGATAAGGTTGTCTGCGCGAGGTGGAGGCCGGTCACGGGGAAGGGCGAGTACCCGTACGGACCGAGTTTCGCGTCGTGCGGCGTGGACAGGACGGTGAGGGAGTGGACGCAGAAAGTATCGTCTCATAGCGCGTAGACTCGTCTAAATAAAATAATAGTATTCATCGACTGTATACTGCACGTCGTCACGCCACGGCGAGGGTCGCGGGCGGCGGCGGCTCGAGCGCCTTCGCCTCGCGTCGTTTCCGTCGCTTCTTCGCGGCTTTGCTCTCTTTCTTCTTTCCGCCGGCTGTTTTCTTCTTCTTCCCGTCGCCGTCGTCCCCCTCCTCGTCCTCCTCCTCGTCGCTCTTCGCCTTCCTCTTCTTCGCGGCGCCTCCTCCCCCCTCCTTCTCCTTCTCCTTCGCCGCCGCCTCCCCCGCCCTGACGCGCTCGCTCGCCGCGCGCGCCGCCGCCGCCGCGTCCGCTCTCTCTTTCCCCGCCGCCATCGCGCGTCGAATCTCATTCTCCGTTCGCTTCCCCCCCTCCGCGGCGACGCGCTTCCCGACGTCCGACGCCGCCGCCTTCTCGGACTGCAAGATGAACACCCCGGAGTCGTACACGCTCCCTCGATGCGCGTCCTTCGCGCTCTTTTGGTGCGCGGCGCCGTCGCGGTACGCGTGCTCGCTCGCGGCGACGACGAATCGGCACCGAGTGAACGTCGACGACGTCAGCTGAGGGTAATTGTCCATACAAGCAAACGTCGGGGTGGAGTTGAAAGGCGTCAGAAGCGGAGTTGAAAGGCGTCGAGGCGCGTCGGGATTGTCAGCGAGGGGTGGGCGGAGAGTGACGAACGCCGGGAGAGAAAGTCCTTAAGGATCGGCGTTCACAACGCCAACGCGGTCGTATGGGAACCGGCGCGACGTAGGACGCGCCTTCGCCCAGCACGGCTCGTCGCTCCATCCGGGAACGAAGACCGCGAAGGTCAGCGGCTGCGCGTCCGCGTCCGCGCGCGTCAGCGCGAGCTCCATCGCGTCCACCATGGCGTCCATGACCCCGGAGACGAACGGCGGGTTCGCCTCGTACGCGCCGCGTCTGAACCCGCCTCGGTCGGCGACGGCGAAAAAATCGCCGGCGCTGCCGAAGGGCGCGTCGACGTCCAAGAAGGCGCCGTTGAAGGCGCCGTAGTGCGCGTTCATCGGGCTCGCGAAGCACTCGTGCGCGACCCCGAGCTTCGCGCCCAAGGCTCGAAACACCTCCTCGCCCACGGAGGCTTGGAACCCGTACCCGTGGATGCTTTTGTATCGAAGAAGCAACGCGAAGAGTCGGCGGTGGAACGCTTTCTCCGCCAGCGAAGAGAACCGATCGCGATCGTCTCCTTCGTCGTCCTCCTCCGAGTCCTCCGAGATCGCCGGCCCGTCGCATGGCGGCGCGTGCTCGCGGTACAGCGCGCGCAGCCTCGCGTACGCCGCGCGCGACGTCACGACGAATTTGCCGCGCGACGTGAGCTCCACGGAGTGTTTCCTTCGCCTGGCGACGACGTCGTCGTTCGTCGCGGGCGCCGACGCGTCCGACGACGACGTCGCCCGCGCGCCGCCTTTCCCCGCGGCGAGCCTCAGCTCGAGCTTCGCGAGCGCCCTCGCCTCGCGCGCCGCCGCGTCCGCGACGTCGCGCGCGATGGACGCCGCTTTATCGGCGTCCTTCACTCCCGCGCGCGTCAGGTCCGCGACGAGGACGTCGAGCGCGAGCGCGGCGGCGTCCGACGACGGCAGCGCGGGGTCGAGCCGCGCGCCGCCGCCGCCGCCGCCCTCGCCGCCGCCGCATCGCCGCGCGGCGCGATCTTCCGCGGCTTTCGCGGCGAAGCGCCATCGCTCGAAGCCCTGCGGCGGCGCCGCGCCCGCGCCCGCGTTCGTCGCCATCTTTTCGTACTTTTTCCGGCACCGGTCGAGCGCGCTCGCGCGCGCGCACTCCAGCTCGACCGCGCGCCTCGCGTCCTTCGTCACCGCGCGGTTCCCCTCGCGCGTGCGCATCGCGGGTAGCGGCGCCCATTTCGGTCGCGATGGCGTCGACGCCGACGACGGCGGCGGCGCGGCGGCGGCGGCGGCGGCGGCGGCGGCGGCGGCGGCGGGCTTCTTCTGCTTCGTCGCATCCTTCTTCTTATTCGACGACGACGCGCTCTTCTTCTTCGCCTTCTTCGACGCGGACGCGCTCGTCGATTTCGCGAGCACCTCCGGCGCGTCCGTGGTCTTGTGCGCCGGGCGCGTCGTCGTCGCCGAGCGCTTCTTTCCTCCGGGCGGCGCCATGACGTCGAGCCGCGCGACGACGAATGCTGACTACTCTCGGAACGATCCGGCATCTGCAGCCGTTTGCTTCTCATCAGGTGCGTTCCAATCAAAAAAAGTCCATCGGTCAGTTGATTGGAGACGCGATCAAGTGTTGAAACCGAGCTATGGGTGAAAAACTTTTGTATAGAACGCGCCTCATCAGAAGCTCGGAGTCGACGGATAATTTTTGAAAGCGACGCGACGGAGGACGCCGGCGCGCGCTCACTCGTCGCGCGCCGATTAGCGGCCCGACGAGGCGGCGAGGAGGCTCGGCGAGAAGATGATACCCCCGGCGTGGTCGGAGGCGAGGACCCTGGTGCGTCGTCGCTCGCGTGTCGCCCCCGGCGGCGGCAGCCTCTCTCAGCGTCGACCATTCATTCATTCATTCATTCATTCCCTCGGAGAGTGCCGTTTCATCCATCCTCGCCGCATCTCGACGCATCTCATCGCCGCCCCCCCTCCATCCTCCCCTCCCTCCGCGCCATCTCATCGCTCCTCCTCCTCCTTCCTCCCGCAGGTCCCGCGCGTCGCGGACGGCCTCGAGGAGGACCCCAGGGGCGTCCCGTGCCTGTCCTGGCATCCCACGTCCGCGCTCCTCGCCGCGTCGTGTAACAAACGCGTCTTTCTTCTCGACGGCGCGACCGGCGCGGTGACCGACGTCTTGCGCCTCCCCGCGCCCGCTACCGCGCTCGCGCACGCGCCCGCGCGCTTGAACGGCGTCCTCGTCGTCATGCTTCACGACGGGAGCGTGCACGCGGTGGACAGGGTGGACGGCGCGGCGCCGCCGGCGCTTCGACGGCTGCATCACGCGACGTTGATGAACGCGCCGCCGCTCGGGGGGAGCGCCGATCAACGACGCGGGCATCTCGCGTTCAGCGAGAGGGCGGCGGCGCCGTGGGTCGTGTTCGCGGCGGCGGGAGATAAAACGCTTCGCGCGGCGCCGTTACGCGCCGGAAACCCTGGCTACGGCGGCGGGGATCTTCTGCGACTGAAGAACGAGCACAAGAGACCGATAGCGTGTCTCGCGGGGCTCCCTTCCCAGGGCGTCGTCGTGGCCGGGTACGTCGACGGTCAAGTCCGCGCGTACGACGTCGTGAACGCGGTCGTGAAGTGCGCGTTCCGTCTGAACCCGATCCTTCGCGCGGTGAGTGGACACGGCGGGAAAGGAGGGAAGAAGGGCTTCGGGTGGGGTAAGACGAGTAAGAAGGGATCGAGTAAGTCGGGCGGAACCGGGGGCGGCGTCCCCGCGCCGACGTCCGTCTGCGCGTTCGCGAAGCCCGGCCGCGGGGAAGACCGACCCGGCGCGTGCGTCGTCGTCGTCGGCGACGCAGGCGGGCGTCTCTCGCTCTGGCCGATCGACGAGCCGACGACGACGATGAGCGGGTTCGGAAGCGGCGGCGGCGGCGGCGCTGAGGTGCGTTCTATCTCACACTGGTTCCCATACGACCGCGTTGGCGTGGTGAACGCCGATCCTCAAGGACTTTATCTCCCGGCGCATCTCTCCGCCCACCCCTCGCCGCTTTCAATCCCGACACACCTCGACGCCTTTCAACTCCGCTTCTGACGCCTTTCAACTCCACCCCGATATCATCGCTCGTACGGAACGACCCGCAACAGAGCGCCGCCGCATCCGCGTCGCGGGAACCTCGCGTCGAGTCCCTCGACGAGTGCTTCGTCGGCGACGGCTCCGTCCTCTCCGTCTCCCCGCTCCCAAACAACGCGGGCGTCCTCGCGCTCGTCGGCAGCGCGATGGGGATGCACGGCTCCGGCCACGGCCCGCCCGCGAGCGCGCTGCAGACGCGCGCGTTTGTGGACGCGAGACGCGTCGACCGCTTCGCGCGCCGACGCGGCGCCGCGCCGTCGACGCCCGCGCTGCCGCCGTCCGCTTCGCGCGCTCACGCGCGATCGCACCCCGCGCAGGCGCGCTGCGCGGCCGCCGCGGTCGGCGGGCACGGCGTCGGCCACGGGCTCGGCGCGCCGTTCACCGTGTGGCTCGCGGAGAGCGCGGGCGGCGCGGCGCCGGGACGAAGCCTCTGCGAGCTCGCCGCGGCGGACGACGTCTCCGTCGCCGCCGCGAGCGCGGCGTCGCCGCCGGCGCGCGCGGGAGAGACGTATCTCCTCGGCGACGGCGCGGTGTGGGCCGTGGACCTCGCGCGCGGGCCGGAGGCGATCTTCAAGGCGTCCGTGCCGCCGCCGCCGCCGTCGGAGCCGAGCGCGGTGCCCGCGCGAATCGCGTCTTCGCGCTCGGGGCCGTTCCGCGCGTTTTTGGTCGCGATGCAGGTGCGTTCTATCTCACACTGGTCCCCATACGACCGCGTTCGCGTGGTGAACGCCGATCCTTAAGGACTTTTCCCGGCGCATCTCTCCGCCCAGGGTCCCTCGCTTTCAATCCCGACACACCTCGGCGCCTTTCAACGCCAACTGACGCCTTTCAACTCCACCCCGACGTTCCGCGCGTTTTTGGTCGCGATGCAGAGCCCCGCGACGGACGCGCCGCCGCACGCGATCGTGCTCCTGCGCGAGACGCTGACGCCGGTGAAGCGGACGACGCCGCCGCCCGGGGCCTCAGGGTCCGCGAGATCCAACCAGCGCGCGGACGCGGGCGCGAGCGCGGTCGCCGCGCCGCCAGCTGTGCGTTCGCCGCCAGACGCGCCGCCGCCGCCGCCGGAGATGCAAAAGACAACGCGAGCGACCGTCGTCGCGGGCGCGGACGCGTGCTTCGTCGGTGACGGCGACGCCGCGTACGCGGTGTTAGAACGCGGCGGAAACGCGGTGACCGTCTACCCGTGCGGCGGCGACGCGACGAAGGCGAGCGCGAGGTACGCGCTGGCGGACGCGCCCAGGTGAGGAGACCGCGAAAGTCGTTTCAGACTGGTTCCCGTACGACCGCGTTCGCGTGATGCACGCCGTTTCTTGAGGACTTTCCCCCGTCGTCGCGTCGCTCTTCACCCGCGCTTCCCTTTTAACGCTCGACCGGCGAGACGCGCGACTGACCGACGCGTTCGCCCGCGATCGATCGATCGCTTGGTTTCAACTTCCAGAGGCCCCGGCGCGGCGAACAGGGTGTTTCGCGGGCCCGGACCCGCCGCGCTCGCCGGCGCGGTCGGCGGGCGGTTCGGCGTCCTGAAGACGTCGAACGACGGCGTCCCCGGCGGCGAAGGGCCGAAGATGACGATGTCCCCGGGGAGCGTGGGGTTAGCCCCGGGGGAGATCGTCGTCCGCGCGGCGTTTCAGGTGCGTTCTATACAAAAGTTTTTCACCCATCGCCCGGTTTCAACATTTGATCGCGTGGGTCCCTTTCAAGTGACCGGTGAACTTTTTTTGTATGGAACGACCCTCAGGTTCTCGAGGTTGGCCGCGGAGGGAGGAAGCGGCCGGCGGCGGATCCGAACGATCCGTTCGCGGCGGGCGTGGATAACGCACTATCCACGGGCGTTACGAACCCAAGTAACAACACCGCCGCCGACGACTACACGTGGGGCGGGTGTGCGATCTTGACGAACCGCCGCCTGCTCCTGTGCCAGTTCGACGGCGACGGCTCCGCGGCGCAGGACTACGCGTGCGCGCTGACGATTCGATGCGAACGCGTCGTCAGGGACGGCGACGGCGAGAACCAAATCGGCTCCATCCTGTGGGTCGGCCCGTCGCTGCTCTTCACGCACCGCGACGGGATCTCGTGTCTTGGCTGGGACGGCGACGTGTGCGCGCTCGCCAGCACGGGCGTCGGCGGCGGCGACGGCGCGCTCTTGACCGTCACGGAAGACGCGGCGTTGGCGTTGCACGTCACCGGCGGCGGCGGCGGCGTCGCCGCCGCCGCGCCCGCGGTGGTCTCTCGCCCCATCGCGCTCTTCGACGCGATCGCCTTCGGGTGGGGCACGCTGTGCGCGGCGCGCAGAGACGCGGGGCTGCCCCCGCCGGTCGACGCGCGAGAGGCGGTGGCGCGCGCGGCGGGGCGGCACGACGCGAGCCGCGCGTCCGCGAAGACGTTGGAGCGCATCGCGAGCGCGAGACGAGGCGCGGGGCTTCCCGGGCTCGCCGCCGACGTCGCCGCGCGCGCGACGCACGTCCCCGCGCACTCGCGCGCGGCGTACGCGTCGCGAGCGTTTCGCGTGACCGCCGGCGTGGAGACATTGCGGCACCGATTGAACGCCGCCGCGGGCGGCGAGGAGTCGCACGCGAGGGCGCCCGCGGCGGTCGTCGACCCGGTGCGTTCTATCTCACACTGGTCCCCATACGACCGCGGTTGCGTGGTGAACGCCGCTCCTTAAGGACTTTTCCCGGCGTCTCTCTCCGCTCATCCCTCGCTTTCAATCCCCGCCCTCGATGCCTTTCAACTTCAACTGACGCCTTTGAAATTCACCCCAGGACGTCGCCGCGGCGACGCGCGAGGCGGCGAAAGCCGCCGCGGAGATTGGCGACGCCGCGGGCGCGTTCGCCGCCGCCGCGATGGCCGTCGGCGCGACCGGCGGGAAGGACCACGGGCCGCTGACGAGCTTGTGTCGCAAGGGCGTCGCGTCGCGCGCGGGCGACGGCGGGTTTCCGATCATCGAGCGGGAGGTGCAGCGCGTGCTCGCGCCGGGGCCGGTGAAAGACGCGTGCCTTCGGTGCGTTCTATACAAAAGTTTTTCACCCACCGCTCGGTTTCAACATTTGATCGCATCCCCTTTCAACTGACCGGTGAACTATATTTGTATGGAATGGCCCTTAGAGCGCTCGCGCGGCGGAAGCCGCCGAGGCGGTTCACGCCGCCTGATCCGCCGCCGGGCGAGGGGCGCGCGCTCGGATGGATGGCGATCACGCCGACGATATTGACCGACGCGACGAACAAGAACGCGGACGACAACGCGAACGCGAACGCGAACGCGATCGCGGCGGGGAGAGAGGTGAGCCGAGCGCCGACGTTGTCGCACCTCGACTGGTTGGGACGGAGGGTGAAGGGCAGCGGCGTCGGGATCGGCGGCGTCGAGGGCGACGGCAGCGAGCTCTCGGGCGCGCCGCGGGGAGGGGGAGGGGGAGGAGGAGGAGGAGGGCGCGGGGACGGAAGACCGCCCGCGCGGTCGGACATGGGCTCGTCCGTCGTTCCCGGCGGCGGCGGCGGGGGATCGCCCGCGGGCGTCGTCGCCGGCGCCGGGTCGCCGGTCACGTCCTTCGCCGCGCGCGCGGCGGAGCAGCAGCGGCAGCGCGAGCGCGCGCAGCAGTACGCGGTGCAGCACCCGGGGGACGATGATGACGACGACGACGACAGCGACGATAGTGACGAAGAAACGCGCGGGGCGCGGCGGTTACACTTTAGCGAAGGGCACCGAGGCGGCGTCGGCGAAGAAAATCAGGCGCCGCCGCCCGGCGCGGTCGCGGGCGGCGCCGCGCTCGCGCTCCCGCCGCCCGCGGGAAGCCAGGGAAGTCAGGGAGGACAACAGCTGTCGCCGTTCGGCGCCGCGCCCGCGTCGGCGACCGCGGGTCCCGGCGCTATGGTGCCGTACGATCCGTTCGCGGACGACGATCCGTTCGGCGCGGCGGCGGCGGCGCTCGGCGGCGGCGGAGGCGGCGGCGGCGCGATGGCGCTTCCCGCGCCGCCGGGGCTGGGGAACGATCCGTTCGGGGACCCGGTCCCTGTCCCGGGCGGGTTCGGAGGTGGCGGCGGCGGCGCGATGGCGCTTCCCGCGCCGCCGGGGCTGGGAGATGACCCGTTCGGCGATCCGTTCGGCGGCGGCGGCGGCGGCGGCGGCGGCGGCGGGTTCGAGGCGAACTTTGGCCAGCTCGCGCTGCCGCCGCCTCCTCCTCCTCCTCCGCCGGCGGCGGCGGCGTCGTCCGCGATGAACGACGACGATCCGTTCTCGCGACCGATCGAGAACGCGGACTTCTTCAGCCAGGCACCCGCGCCGGTGCCGACGTCGATGCCCGCGTTCGAAACGCATCCACGACCGCCGTTAACGCCGCTGGCGCCGCCGCCGGCGAACGAGCTCGACGCGTACGGCACGCCCGCGACGTCGCCCGCGGCCGCGACGGGGTCGTTCACCGCGTTCGAACCGGCCGCGTCGGTCGTTCAAGCGCCGCCGCCGCCGATGACGATGCATCCGCTGCCACCGATGGAACCGCCGCCGGCGCCTCCGCCGCCGGCGCCTCCGTCGGACGACGCGTACGCCGGGTTCGCGCCGCCGCCCGGGGCTTTTCAGCTGCCGCCGGCGCCGCCGGCGCCGCCGCCGGCGGTGGCGCCGGCGCCGACGGACCCCGCGCACGAGCCGACGCTGCGGATGATCGCGAGCGGGATGCGCGCGCTGGAATCCAACGCGTTCGAGGCTGCGGAGGCGTCGTTCATCGCCGCGGTGAAGCTCGCGGTGGGCGGAGGAGGCGGCGCCCCGCGCGGCGGCGCCGCCGGCGAAAAAATCTTGAAAAAACTCGTCGCGTACGCGTTCGCGTCGCGGCTCCTCCGGAAGTGCTCTCTGATCGCCGCCGCTGTCGCGTCGTCGCCGACGTTCTACGACGGCGTTCCTCCTACCACGTCGTCCGGAGACGACAAGAGCAAGAGGCGGGCGGCGTGGGCGGCGCCGAAGACGGCTGAACGCGCCGCCGTCGCCGCGGAGGTGCGTTCGCATTTACACTGGTTCCCATACGACCCCGTTCGCGTGGTGAACGCGATTCCTTAAGGACTTCGCCCGGCGTGTCTCTCCGCCCATCCCTCGCTTTCAATCCCGACACCTCGATGCCTTTCAACTCCGCTTCTGACGCCTTTCAACTCCACCCCGACATTCGCTCGTACGGAACGACCCTGAGATGTCCCGCCTGACGCGGCATCTCGCCGCGCTCGCGTTGGATCGAGGTCACCGCGTCGTGGTCCTTCGGTTCGCCGCGGTTTGGAACGCGCGGGCTGGGTGCGCGATCGCCGCGTCGAGGATGCTCGCGAGCGCGAGCGAGGGGGCTCGCGCGCGCGGCGACGTCGACGCGGCTGCGGCGTTGACGAAGTTGTCGGCGGGGGCGCGGCGCGGCGGCGGCGGAGGCGGGAGGGAGCGGGACGCCGGCGTCCCGCTCGACGAGATCCCCGGGGTGTTGTGCGCGGCGACGCTGCGATCGTTGCCCGCGGCGGGGAGCGCGGGGTGCGCGACGTGCGCGCGGTGCGCGGCGACGCACTGGGGCGGGGAAGGGAAGGCTGTCGCGTGCGCGTTTTGCGACGCTTCGTTGAGGTGAGTTTACGACTATTTAACCAGAGGCCAATCCGTACACGTGTCCACGTACAGTTCATCGGTTAGTTGAAAGGGGGCGCGATCAAATGTTGAACCCGAGCGATGGGTGAAGAACGTTCGCCCTGATCGCACCTCCGCATCAGTCGCGCTCCAGTCTATCATATCCAATCGGTCGCGCGGATCTCTGCTCTCTCGTTCTCCGCCCCGCGCGGCGCCGACGCCGCCCCAATCGCGCTCGCGCCGGACGACGGCACGAGGCAACGCGCATCTCGCGTCCGACGAGCACGGACACGATGCACGCGACGACCGTCTCCGCGAGCGCGGCGACGCGCGTCGTCGTCGCGCGCGGCCGCGCGAGCGACGCGCGCGCGGCGTCGCGCGCGATGGGCGCGCCGTCGAGACGGCGCGCGACGACGACGACGACGTCTCCGTCGTCGCCGTCGTTCGTCCTCGGCGGCCGCGGCGCGCGGCGCGTCGTGCGCACGGCGGCGACCGAAGGTTCGTCCCGTCGATCGCGCGCGCGTCGCGTCGCGCGCTCGCGTCGTCGTCGTCGTCGTCGTCGTCGTCGTCGTCGTCGTCGCGCCGCGCCCGCGGGCGTCGTCGACGCGCGCGTCGAGTGCTCGGATCCCGTCGCCGCAACCCTCGAACCCTGAAAAATGATTATCGTTCGCCTCGTCCCCGTCCTCTCTCGAATCCCCGTCGCCGACTGACGCGCCACGTGGACGCCACCCCGCACCCCGCATCCCCGCATCCCCGCGCCTGCCTCAGGCGAGATGACCCCCGAGGAACAGTTCGCCGCGGCGTCGGTCGGCATCCCGGATTACGACCCGGATGCCATCTTCCCGAGGACGAAGGAACGCGACCCGTACCGCCGACTCGGCATATCGGACGAGTCGACGTTCGAGGAGGTTCAAGACGCGAGAAACTACCTCGTGGAGACGTACCGCGCGCACGTCGCGGGCGTCGAGGCGATCGAGCAGGCGTTCGATAAGATCATCAACGACCGCCTCTCGACTCGTAAAAAAGCGAAAGGGATGAAGAAGGCGTTGCGGAAGCAGAAGAAGGGGGAGAACTACGTGCCGCCGTTCATGGAGCGACTGAAGGCGCAGTTCGAGAAGCCGGACCAGACGACGATCATGCGCAGAGCGCTGATGTACGCCATCATGATGGGGTGGGCGATCGTCTCCGCCGGGAACGCCCCGAGCGGGCCCGCGTTCCAGATGGCCATCTCGTTCGGTCTTTGCGTCTACTTTCTCCACGACAAACGCGGCGGCGCCGCCGCGGGCGCGCCTCTGGGAAAGAGCTTCATCAACGGTGCGCGCGCGTCCGCCTTCTCTTCAAGTCTTCAACTTCTCTTCTCTTCTCTTCTATTCGATCGCCGCCGCGCGATGCGCCCGCCACGTCATCACTCGCGACTGACCAATCAAATCGTTTCCCTCCCTCCGTCCAGCCTTCGCCGCGTTGTCGCTCGGGTTCGTCGTCGGGTCGCTGTTCCCGTTGTACATTCCGATCTTCCCTCCCGCGTGGGGGCCGGAGCTGATCCTCTCGCTGTTCTCCATGGTGTCGTTCTTCATCTTCGCGACGTTCTTGAAGTGATTGAAGTGAGAGGAGGGCGAGAGGAGGGCGCGGAGCGAGGGAGAGAGCGCGCGGGGCGAAGCCGGCGAGATGCGACGAGGCGACGCGAGCGTATTTTTTACAGCGACGAGCCACACAAATATTACTCCAGTTTGCACAGTTAACAGTAGTACCGGACGGAAATGATACTGCCTCGTCGTAGAGCGAAAACGCGCGCGCGTACTACGCGAATATAACACTCTTCTGCGATCACGTTTGATCGCGGGTTTCTGCGATGAACCGATTTTCACCGAGACGACGTCGATCACGCGATTCCTTTCAAGCGAACGCGCTGATTGGCCGACGCCGATACGGCGACGAGCGGAAACGATGCCGGGAACGCGCGACCCGGCGCGCGGACGCCTCATACCTGCACACACATCGCCGTCGCAATGGCCGCCATGACCGTTTCCATGACCTCCGCGTTCACCCGCGGCGCCGCGCGCGTCACCGCGTCCGCGCCGAAGGCTCGCAAGCTTCGCTCCTTCGTCGTCCGCGCCGAGGTGCGTCTCCCGCGACTTCGATGCGGAGAAAATAGCGCTCCGCGCAAGTAAAACACGATGGTGGCGAAGACGCGCGTCCGCCGGGAACGCGCGCGTCGCCGCTCGCGCGACGCGCGCGCGTCGTCCTCCGCGCGACGATGCGATGTCGACATCCTCGCGGCGTCGATCGCGTCGCGCGCGCTCGCGGCGACGCATCGCGTCCGCGCCGTCGCGCGGCGCATCGACCGCGCGTCCGCGATGCGGTTTTTTTTTTCTGAGGGCAGGATAGGGAGCGCGGAGCAGCGCGTCCGCGTCGCGATCGGCTCGGCGGCGCGGCGCGCGGACGCGCGCCGCGCGATTGCGCCGCGGCCGATCGCGACGCGGACGCGCGCGCCTCACCGCGGACGCCGCGCTCGATCGATCGCGCGGACGTCCCCCGCCCGCGCGATCGGTCCACAGCCTCCCTATCCCCCCCGCGCTGGCGCGAGTCGGTGCACAGCTGTGTCCTCGATTTTTTCGCGATCGATCCGATCGATTCGAACCGCGCGGATGGATCCCGCCTGACCGCGTCCATCCCATCGCCCCCCCTTCTCTTCCTTTCACAGGGTGAGGAAGCGCCCGCCGCCGAGGAGGCCCCCAAGGCGGTCGTCAAGGCGCAGCCGCGCTCCAAGGACGACCTCTACCTCATGGGCGTCTCCGACCAGAACATGGCGTACCTCGACGGCACGCTCCCGGGCGACTTCGGCTTCGACCCGCTCGGCATGTCCGACCCCGAGGGCGCGGGCGGGTTCGTCAACCCGCAGTGGCTCGCGTACTCCGAGGTGATCCACGGCCGCTGGGCGATGCTCGGCGTCGCCGGCATCGTCGCGCCCGAGATTCTCGGTCAGGCTGGGCTCATCCCGGAGTCCACGGGCCTCGTGTGGTTCACGTCGGGCGCCATCCCGCCGCAGGGCACGTTCGATTACTGGGCGAACCCGATGACGATCTTCTGGGTGAACATGTGCATGATGAACTTCGCGGAGATCAAGCGCGGGCAGGACTACTGGTACCCCGGCTCCCAGGCGGAGCAGCCGCTCATGGGTTGGGAGAAGGGCTTCGCCGGGTCCGGCAACCCGGCGTACCCGGGCGGCAAATACTTCAACTTCGCCGGCCTCGGCAAGGACGACATGGCGAAGATGCAGAAGAAGGAGATCAAGAACGGCCGTCTGGCGATGATGGCGTTCCTCGGTTGCATGGTCCAGGCGGTCGTCACCGGCGAAGGGCCGTGGAAGAACATCTGCGATCACGTCGCGGATCCGTTCGGGGCGAACATGCTCGCCAACTTTGGCGCCATCGGCGGCGCGTCTCCGTTCTAAATTAACGCCCGTCTCGCGTGCGTTTAATGGATGGATGGCGAAGAACAAAGTAGGATGATGTTAAAGAAGGAAGGCGAGATGAGATGCCGCGGCGGCGGGTAGTGTACACCGAGAAGAGAAGAGTCGATAGAAGGAGGGAAAGAAGCGCTTCGGTTCGTAGTGTAAGAGGAGATCGATTCGATTCGATTCGAAAACGCTAAACGAAATCAATCGCGCGCGACGCCGTAGGACGCTCGCACGTCATCCACGCCGTGCCCTTCCCTCTCCAACGCGTCCAGAAGCTCCCTCACGCCGCTCTTCGCTCTCGCGCTCGCGAGCTTCACCGCGAGGGAGAACCGCCCCGCGACCGCGAGCGCCCTCAACGCGTCGATCACGCGCGACGCGCACGACGCCGCCCCGCCGCCGCCGCCTGCGTGGGTGAAGCGATCGGTCAGTCGAACATCTTACCGGTCAAACGTTGAAAGGGAAGCGCGGGTGAAGAGTGACGACGGGAAAAGTCCTTAAGGAACGGCGTGCACCACGCGAACGGGGTCGTATGGAAAGCAGTCTCACCTCCGCCGCCGCCGCCGCCGCCGCCGCCGCCATTTCCGCCGCCTCCGTCCTCTTCCTCCCCCCAAGGCGCGCACGCGCCGCCGCCCTTCGCGCTCTCCGCGTACCCCTCGCTCAGCGCGACGAGGACGTCCCCCAGCGTGACCCCCGTGATCTCCACCTTGAAGATCTCCCTGAGCTTCGCCGCGTCGACGCCGCCGAGGTACCGCCACCTCTGCTCGATCGTCTTGCACTCCCTTCGCCACGTCTTGTCGAACGCGAGCGCGTTCGTCGGCGGCGTGAACGCGACCGCGCCACCGCCGCCGCCGCCTCCTCCTCCTCCTCCGCTCAACGACGCGGCGCCGCCGCTCCCCGGCGTCGGCGGCGGCCCCGCGTGCTTCCCGTCCGCGTCGAACGCGAACGCGGGCGGGACGCCGCCTCCGTGATCTCTCAAGTTCTCCGCGTGATACGGGCGGAGGTGCGCGACGCTGACCATGTTCTTGAAGACGTCGTACCCCTCCATCTGCCTCACCGCGCGGTGCTTCGCGTCGTCCTGGACTTGGCGTCGCCAGTCGTCCTGGACCGCGTTCGCGAGGTCCTTCGAGACCTTCGGCGGCGGCGCGTCGAACGACGACGACGACGAGAGAGGAGGAGGAGGAGGAGGAGGAGGATCGGAGGACATGACCGACGACGCGCGTTGACCGACGCGAGGACCGGGAGGGGTGGTCTCCTCGAGGACGGCCCGCGACGCCCGCCCGCGCGGCGACGAAGAAGGCGGGAAGACCGCCGCGACGACCGACGCGCGCGAGAGACGGTCGGTCTCGAGACGCGCGCGCGGCGACGAGTGATGAGCGCGCGCGCGAGCCCTCGATGGAGAAATAAATATCCAGTCTCGCAGTAGTCGCGACGCCGACTCGCGACGACGTCCGGGGAAATTTTCGATGCGGTAGAGCGGGGCCCGACTGCGAAGGCTCCCGTCAGCCGCGAGCGCGAGAGAGCGTTCGTTCGTTCGCACGCACGCGCGCTGGTTCACGAGTACGGTCGTGAGTGATATTAAACAATCATCGCGTCAAGCAGAGAAAAGACGCGACGCTCGGCGCGACGGAGGGAAAAGTCAAGTGCGTCGTCGTCTTCGACGCAAAAAACGCTCGCGCCGAAATCATCAGACGCCGCTTAGTACACCTCGACGTGCCACTGCCCCTTCTTCTTGAGCCCCTCGAGCCACTCCTCGTAGTCGATGCCCTTCTCCTTGCACACGCCCTCGAGCATCTCGAGGATGCCCGGCATCATCCCCTTGAGGCCGCAGAAGTACATGTGCGCGCCGCCGTCGAGGAGCTGGAACACCTGGTCCTTGTACTCCTCGACCTTGTCTTGGATGTACATCTTGCCGCCCTTGCGGTTCTGAGACTCGCGCGAGAGCGCGTAGTCGACGCGGAACTGACCGGGGAACCGCTTGATGCACTCAGAGAACTCGTCGTCGTACAGCTTCGCGTCCGAGTTGGCGACGCCCATGAAGAGCCACGCCAAACCCTTGAACTCCCAGTTCTTGACGTCCTCGACGAAAAAGCGGCGAATGTACGACCGCATCGGCGCGATGCCCGTGCCCGTCGCCACCATGATCACCGGCGTCGCGGGGTCCTCGGGGAGGAGCATCACCTGCCCGGTCGGGCCGGTCATCATCACCTCGGCGCCGGGCTTGGCGTCGCAGAGGAAGTTGGAGCAGATGCCCTTCTTCGCCGGGTCCTCGGCGTTCTTCTCGGAGTCCCAGTACGTGGCGCGGCGGACGCACAGCGTCGCCGTGTTCCCGTCAAACTCGTCGCCGTAGCGCGTGGACGCGATGGAGTACAGGCGGACGCCGTGGGGGACCTCCTTGCCCTTGGAGTTGACCTTCGTGCCGGGCGGGATGACGCCGTAGGACTGGCCCTCCCAGAACGGCATCTTTCCGCCGTGCTCGATGATGATGTGGCACGTCTCGCCCGTGGCGTTGGGGCCGACGATGCGCTCGACGGACTTGATCTTGCCGGTGAACGGCGCCTTGTTCTTGAACGTGTTGAGCGGGAGCGGCATCTGTTTATCGGGGGTGATGGGAGAGCGTCAGCGGACGCGGCGAGGAAGGGACGGACGGACGGCGCCGGGAAGAGACCCCGACTGGAAAAGGGAAGAGACGACTCTCTGGAAAAAACGCCATCCGCGCCCGTCGTCGCGGTCGCGACCGAGGATCGATCGATCGATCGATCGGGGGCGACGCGCGCCGCGGCGATTCGTCGCGCGACGATCGCGCCGCGCGACGAGGGAGCGCGCGCGAACGCGAGGACGCGCGACCGCGGGGGATCTCGAGGACGGGCGGGAGCCTTGACTCGCCTTCTCGAGCTCGAGGGGCACCGGCGCGCGGCCGCCCTTCGCGATGGACTTCTGCGCGGTGGTTTTCATCTCCAGGCCGAGGCCGTAGTCCGTGCCATTCGCGCGGACGACGGTGGCGACGCGCGCGACGGGCGCGCGCGCGGAGGACTTGAGGCCCGCGTTGGAGCCCTTGAAGGCGCTCTGAATGAGGATCGGGAGGAGGGAACGACGGGGGAGGGCGTCAGCGCGTCGTCTCGACGCGCGCGCGATCGCGCGTGCTCCGGCGAGCGCGACGCGAGCGCGGGGTCTATCCGATCCGAGCGAGCGAGCGGGTCGACGACGACGGACGACGACGAAGTTCCGGCGCGCGCGCGCGACGCGCGACGCGAGCGGCGCGATCGGACGCGCGCGGGCGCGCGCGCACCTTCGCCAGGCCGGCGTTGAAAGCAGCGATGGCAGCCATGATGCTGTGGTGTGCGTTGAGGAGTGACGCGTCGGGAGACGACGTCGCGCGCGATGCCGGCGTTCCGAGCGGGTCACGTGAAGCGTGATGCGCGCGACGAGAGGCAGCGCTTCGAGAGGCGGCAGCTGGCAGGCGGGAGAAGAGACGTGATTGGCTGTCGCGGGCGCTATGGGCAATCATTCAGAATACGAACGTTCCGAGTACCGTATCAAAAAAGGTTAAAAATCCCTCGAAAGTCGAACAGTAGTGCGGGTACAATCGGACAAAGCTTTCATTGGAGGGTCACGCGCCGCGACGCCGCTCGCTCGACGGCCGCGATGGACACCACGCCGTCGGCGAAGACGCGACAGGTCACCCTCTCGCTCCCTCCCAATTTCTCCGCCGCCGCCGCCCGGCGACGCCGGCGCGCGAGGAAGCGGCGCGCGACGCGACTCGTCACGCTGTTCGTCGCGATCGTAGCCTCGCTCGCGATCCGACGCCTGTGTCGATCGTTCGAGGGCGACGGCGAGCTCGCCGCGTTCCTCAGCGAGAAGATCGTGGGGCTCGCGTGCGCGCTGCTCGAGGTCGCGCTCCTCGGGCCCGCGGGGCCGTTCCTCGCGCGCTGCTGGCGCGCGCTCGCCGCGGCCATCGCGGCGTTGAAGCTCGCGCTGCCTCGCGTCGGTAATGCGGCTGCGGCAGCGTCCGCGTCATCCGTCTCAGAATCGCCGGGCGGCGCGCTCGGGGTCGTCGACTGGCGCGCGCTGTCGCGCGACCCGCGCGTCTTCGCGTCCGTCGCGCGGACGTGCGTCGTCGCCGCGCACGACGCCCTCGGTGCGCCCCTCTCGTTCGTCGTGATCGTCCTCCTCGTGACGCTGTGGAACGGCCGGCGTCTGTCTGCGATCCGCGCGCGGCGATGTGCCTCCAACGTGAGCACGCGAAAGATTAAGGCGCGTTCTATACACTGGTCCCCATACGACCCCGTTCGCGAGGTGGACGCCGATCCTTAAGGACTTTTGCCGGAGCATCTCTCCGCCCACCCCTCCCTTTCAATCCCCGCCCTCGACGCCTTTCAACTCCAACTGACGCCTTTGAACTCCACCCCGACATCGCTTCGTATGGAACGACCCTAAGGCCGAGGGGTCCAGGCGTCTCATCATGAACATCAAGTCCAAGAAGACCGCGGAGTGGGTCGGGCTCCCGGCCTGGGTCGTCGACGGCGACGTGGAGAACGTGGAGTGGTTCAACGAGGTCGTGCGCACGGTGTGGCCGCACGTCGGCGCCGCCGCGGCGCAGAAGATCAGGTCGTACATCGAGCCGCTGCTCGATCACGACAAGCCCAAGGCGCGTTCTGTTGTACACTGGTCCCCGTACGACCGCGTTCGCGTGGTGAACGCCGATCCTTAAGGACTTCACTTCCCGGCGTTCGTCTCTCTCCGCCCACCCCTCGCTTTCAATCCCGACACACCTCGCTCGACGCCTTTCAACTCCGTCGTCTGACGCCTTTCAACTCCGCGACTCCACTCCAAGGGCATCTCGTCGATGACGTTCGACGAGTTCGAGCTCGGCTCGAACGCGCCGCGGGTCGACCACGTGCAGATGATTCCCCCGGACGAGCCGCACGAGCTCCAAGCGCAGGCGAAGATCACGTGGAAGGGGAACCCGAACGTCGTGTTCAAGGTGGAAGGGCCGAGGATCTACGGCGGGCTGTCTCCGGTGAAGCTCGTCGTCACCGACCTCGTCATCGTGTGCACGGTGAAAGTGACGCTGTCGCACTTGATGAAAGAGATTCCGCTCGTGGGAGGCGTGCAGATCACGATGACGGACGACCCGAGCATCCAGTACGGCATCCGCGCCAAGGCGGCGCCGGGGATGGGCGAGATGAATCTGGACAGCATCCCGTGGTTGAAGAAAGGGCTGACGTCGTTTCTGATGAAGATGCTGAGGAATTCGCTCGTGTTTCCGCAGGCGATCAAGAAAGTAATCGCGAAGGACCACACGCCGCAGACGGTTCGCGCGATCGAGGACGCGCTCGAGGTGTCGCCGGTCGGGAAGCTTCACGTGACCGTCCGAGGCGCGAAGGGTTTGAAAAACACGGAGTTCATGGGCACGAGCGATCCGTACGCGAGCGTCGGCTTGGGAACGCGGCGGACGCCGCCGGAGGATAAAAAGTGCCAAAAGACGCACACGATCATGAACACGCTCAGGCGCGTTCTATCTCACACCGGTCCCCATACGACCCCGTCGGCGTGGTGAACGCCGATCCTTAAGGACTTTGTCTCCCGGCGTGTCTCTCCGCCTACCCCTCGCTTTCAATCCCGACACACCTCGACGCCTATCAACTCCGACTGACGCCTTTCAACTCCACCCCGACGTTCGCTCGTATGGAACGGCCCTCAGCCCGAGGTGGGAGAAGTCGTTCGAGCTGGACGTTCGATCCACGGAGCTGCAGTGTCTGTGGATTCGCGTGTTCGACGACGACGGGAAGTACGGCAACGACGACTTCATGGGCGCGGTGGTCGTCCCGCTGCAGAACATCCCGGACTCGCGCGTCGTCGATCGCCCGGCGGAGGAGATGAAGAGCATGGCGGAACTCTCCGGGGGTGTCTTCAAGAACAAGCGGGGGACGTTGGAGGTGTCGTTGAAGTATATCCCGGACGATTTCAACGCCGGGAAGGACGACGACGCGACGGACAGCGAGGACGAGTTCGTGCGCGCGGGCTTGTCCGGCGTCCCCGCGGCGACGAAGAAGCCGATGTTCAACCGAAAAAATCGGCGGTGGAAGAAAAAGAATCACGTCCTCTCGTCGTTCCAGTGGAACGTCGGGAAGCTCCTCGGGCTGCGGCGCCCGTCCACGGAGATGCTGCACGTGCACATGACGCGAGACGACGGGCAGCTGAACCACCTGAGCGACAGCAAGCTCAAGCACATCACCTCCGTGGTGCAACCGATCTTGTCCTCCATGGGCGGCATGCCAATGTGGGCCGTGGATCCGTCGTGGTCGCGCGTGGACTTCGCGAACGAGTTCGCGCTGACCATCTGGCCGTACGCGAACGGGATCGTGAGGCGCGAGGTGAACTCCATGAACGTCAACGTCCTGCCCACGATGCTGCCCGGGATCGCGTGGACGAAGCTCAGCGCGAATTTGGGCGCCATTCCGCCGACGCTGCAAGCCGTCCGCGTCTTCAAGCTGGGGCACGGCGAGCTCATCTTCGAGTGGAGCATCGTCATCGCGGGCGACGCGCAGGGCTCCGTGCGCGCTGGGTTGAAACCGCTGCCGTTCTGCCGTTTCGAGACGGTGCTCAGCGAGGTGCAGATCAAGTGCGTGATTCGAACGCGCGCGCACCCGCTCATTCCGCGGTTTCCAATCGTCGGAGGCGTCACCGTCGGCATCCTCGGCGCGACGCCGAAGTGGGACTTATCCCTCGCCGTGAAGGTGCCGTTCCTTCCGAAGATCGACGTCGCCGCGATCCCCGGGATGGCGTTCGTGAAGCACGCGCTCATCTCCAAGTGGATCCCGAGGTGGCCTTTCACGTACGATCTGCCCGTGCTGAATTTCGCGCATCCCGCGGTGCGACAGCTGTGCGCGAGCGTCGGCAACAACACCTCCGCGCAGCACGTGTTGACGATTCGAATCAAGGGCGCGAAGAACCTCGCGGCGGCGGACAAGGACGGGTTCAGCGATCCGTACGCGGTGCTCGTCATGGCCGGCGAGGCGTTCTACGCCGATCGACGGCGGGTCACGGACGTCAAGAGCAACACGTTGAACCCGCGGTGGGACGAGGAGTTCAGGCGCGTTCTATCCTGTCTCACGCTGGTCCCCGCACGACCGCGTCGGCGCGGTGCACGCCGTTCCTTGAGGACTTTTCTTCCCGTCGCGTCGTGTGTTTCTCTCCGCCCACGACCCCACGGTTTCATTCAATCCCGACACGCCTCGACGCCTTTCAACTCATCCGCGTCTGACGCCTTTCAACTCCATCTGACGCCTTTCAACTCCTTTCAGCTGGACGATGAACGTGTCGGACGACACCAGAGTGTGCATGATCGGCGTCTTCGACAGCGATAAGAAGTCGCGGGCGAGGGTGCCGACGCCGGAGGAGGTGGAGGAGAAGATGCAGCCGGTGAAGCACCTGTTGGAGTACAGCACGCAGCTCGCGACGCGGTACCAGTTCGGCGGGCGGATCCCGTGGTCGCGGTTCATTCAGCGGAAAGTCGATCGCAAGCGCTCGGCGCGGGAGAGGCGCAAGGCGGCGAAGGAGCGCGAGAAGCAGGGTCTGCCGCCGCTCCCGACGCGGCCGGTAAAGCTCGGCGTCGCAGGGAAGCTGAAGAAGGCGCGGACGGAGGACATCCAGCGCCGCGCCGCGCTCGAGCCGCCGGTGCCGCCGCGCGTGAAGACGGAGGAGCAGCTCGAGAAGGAAGCGAAGAAAAAGGCGAAGGCGGAGAAGAAGAGGGTCAAGGCGGAGAAGAAGGCGATCAAGCTCGCGAAGAGTCGCAAGAAGCTCCTCCCTCCCGTGCCCAAGGCGAAGTTCGACGGCAGCCGCGTCATGAGCGATCTCGAGCTCCTGGTGACCGGGCAGGCGGTGACGATGGATAACGACCTCCTCGGCATTTGTTTCGTGGACTTTTCGAAGATTTTGCGCCCCGGCGAGTGCGCCACGCGATGGTTCCCGCTCACCGCGGTGCCGGGCGAGGACGGCGATTTCGTCGCGTTCGACTCGGACGACTCGGACGACGACTCGGAGCTCGGCGTCGGCAGCCTCGCGGCGCGCCGCGTCAAGGGCGCCGGCCGAAAAGTCGCGGGCGGCGTCCGAAAAGTCAAGTCAGTCGCGGGCGGCGTCCGATCCGCCGCGGGCGGCGTGTTGGAGCGCGCGCGCACGCGCAAACGCGGCAGGACGCCGGCGGCGCCGCATTCCCCCTCGCCGACGCGCTCGCCCTCGTCCCCCTCCGGCGCGCTGCTCGACCGCGTGGTCAAGGACGTGGGCGCGAAATCCCCGGAGCACGGCGGCGGGGTCGCGTCGATCCTCTTCAACTCGTCGTCGAAAAATTCGCAGTCGTCGCGGGCGAAGATTCGCGCGAGAGGCAAAGGCAAGGCGGACGCGTCGGCGGCGTCGGAGGTGGAGCTCGAGCTCTCGTGGGCGGTGTACGACGAGGTGAAGTCCGCGGCGGCGCTGACGAAGAAGCAGCTTCTCAAGTCTCGGACCATGATGAACGAGCGCCTTTCGCTAGACGTCCTCGGCACCGGCGTCGGCATACTGAACGACGACCGCGTGCTCCACGGCGGCGGCGCGTTGCACGTGGAGATTTTACACGCCACGGAACTCTCCAAGCCCGAGGCCAAGGGGCTCATGGCCTCGAAGATGCCGAGCTCGAAGATGACGCCGTACGTCGCCGTCGACTGCGTCGGGAAGACAGTCAAGACGAGCCTGTCGAGAGGGTTGAACCCGGTGTTCAACGATCACTTTTACTTCACCGGCGTCACCGTGAACGACGAGCTCACGCTGCGGGTGAATCAGGTGCGTTCTCCTCACACTGGTCCCCATACGACCCCGTCGGCGTGGTGAACGCCGATCCTTAAGGACTTTACTTCCCGGCGTGTGTTTCTCTCCGCCCACCCTCCGCTTTCAATCCCGACACACCTCGACGCCTATCAACTCCACCCTGACGCCTTTCAACTCCACCCCAACGTCGCTTCGTATGGGAAACGACCCTCATCAGCCCGGGAAGAGCGCGAAGGGCGCGGGGAAGACTATGGGCGTCGTCGTGATACCGCTCAACGGCGTCATCAAAGCCGGGAGCACGATGGGATCGTACGCGCTCACCGGGTGCAAGACGGGCGAGATCACCGTGGCGATGAAGTACCGCGCGGAGACGGCGTACGTCGCCGCGACGGAGGTGGCGTTGGCGTTCGAGGAGGATCACTCGAAGGGGGAGGAGGAGCTCGCGGACGACGCGCGAGAGAGCGGCTCGGAGGAGGATGAGGAGGATGATGAGGATGAGATGGCCACCGACGAGGAGGGGACCCCGCGGACGACGCCGCGGCCGGGGAAGCGCGCGTCGCTGAAGGATCGTCGCGTAGTCAGCAGCTCGGACGACGACGACGACTGACGACGAGCGCGCGCGTCGTAGACTGGCGGCGACGTAGTGCGTCTACGACGAGTGTGTACGTCGTAGACTGGCGGTTACCTATCATATATTGCTCGTAATAACAACGCGTGCTGAGTTGTTGAAAACGATAAACGCACGCCGGTGTTGCGTTTCTTGACCCTGGAAGGGAACGAACGACCTGCTTGCGCGTTATTGGGCGCTGCTTCTATCTGACCTGCTGTGTACTTCTTGTAAGGTGAACTCAGCTGCTTTTCTCGGACGCCGGCGCTGTCGAACGACGACGACGACGACGACTCGTCACACCTCAGCGCGCGCCCGGCGCGATGCCCGGACGCGGCGGCGCGCGCCCTCCGCCTCCGGACTCGCCGCGGTACCCCCCGCGCGCGACCGAGCTCGGCCCGGACGCCGCCGCCGACGTCGTCGAGGGGGGAGATCGCGGACCGCGCGATGGCGCGTCGTTCTCATCGTCGGCATTCTGTCGGACGATCGCGATCGCCGTCGCGGTCGCGACCGTCGCGGTCGTCCTCGGCGTCGTCGCGTCGAGCGGCGGCGACGGCGAGCTCCTCCCCGGGGTTGGTATCAAACTCCCGAGGTGGACGTACACCGCGGGCGGCGGCGGCGGGGGGAAGCGCGCGAACCCGCTCACGGCGGCGATCGTAGCGCACCGCGCGCGCGTGCGCCGCGCGCGCGAACGCGTTCACCACGCCGCGCACGATTATGCGCGCGATGACGACGACGACGACGACGACGGCGACGACGACGGCGACGACGGCGCGGGTTCGACGCGCGGACGACGACCGAGAGTCCTTAAGGATCGGCGTTCACCACGCGAACGCGGTCGTATGGGCATCAGACCGGAGCCCGGGCTCGTCGTTCTCACGACGCGCTCGTTCGGCGACGCGACGCGCGGGAAGACCGCGATCGTGCTGTTCCGCTCGGTCGCGACGCCGCGGGTCCGGAATCTCCGCGACGCCGTGCTCGGGTCGCTCAAGCGTCATATCCCGGAGGGGGTCGTGCACGTGTACGGCGAGGTGGACGTGAAGGACGACTCGCTGCTGCGCATGCGGTACGCGAACGCGATCCATCACGCCGGTCGCGACGAGGCGCCGACGACGCTCAGGGCGCGGAAGCAAAAAAGCGCGAGCGGCCTCGACCTCGACGACGGCGGAAACGGCGCTACCGCGACCGAGTACCGGTTCGGCCGCCGGAGGCTGCTCGCGCGTCAGACGCAGCTGTCGCTGTTCGTCGACGGGCTCCACGTCGCGGTGTTCAGAGACGGCGCCGCGACGGAGCGAAATCTCGCCGCGTGGGTCACGTCCGAGCTGAGCCGAGGGAAGGTGGTCGGCCCGATGAGCGCGAGCGCGGCGCGCGCGTGGGCGGCGACGGCGACGCCGCGGCGGCCCGTCGTCGTCGGGTGCGAGGACGGCGCGTCGACGCGCGCGCTGCGACGCGCGGCGGAGACGCACGGCGGCGGGCACCGCGACCACGGCGACGACGGCGGGGACGAACGCGGCGACGAAACGGTCGCGAGGGTGGGGTTTCTCTCCGGAGCGTACGCGTGCGAGACGTTTCTCGGCGCGGGCGCGGACGTCGGCGATTTCGCCGTCTTCGCGTCTGCGCGGGAAGACGAAACGTCGCCGACCGTCGCGACGACCGTCGTCGCGGCGAAGAAGGCGGCGACGGCGGCCGAGGGAGGGCGCGGGGTCCGCGCGCGCCCGACGCCGACGGAGGCTCTGCGGTCGGTGGCGGATCCGTTCCACGCGTTGTCGTGGGAGAACGAGTACGATCTCGTGGCGTCGAGGGTCAGCGGCGCGAAGCTGAAGCCCACGATCGCGCTGCTTCGACCGCCGAGCGCTGCTTTGGGGGAAGAAGGAACGTCGACCGTCGCCAACGCGAACGCGAACGCGAACGCCGTCCTGGAAGCCGTGCGATCGCTCCCGCCGTCGGATCGACGCCACGTGCACTGGATCGTCGCCGACGCGACGGCGTATCGCGCGACGTTTCACGAGCCGTGCGAGGGGGGCGAGCGAGACCCGAAGTGCCCGGCGTTCGCGCTGACGTTCTCCACGCCGATCGAGTGGGACGACGAAGAGAAGCGCGAAGAGAAGCGCGAGTTCATAGCGCGATTGATAGCCGCCGAGGCGAACGCGAACGCGAACGCGAACGCCGCCGAAGGCGACGAAGAAGAAGACGAAGACGCCGCGACGGAAGAGCCCGAGGACCTCGAACGCCGTCCTGGAAGCCGCGCGATCGCTCCCGATCCCGAAAACGTCGGATCGACGCTGCGTGAGATGGATCGTCGCCGACGCGACCTCGAGTGGCTCGGGTTTCTTCACACGCACGAGGAGAAGGCGGCGCGGAGAAAATTCGCCCTGACGCGGCGTCGCTCGGACCCGCCGTGGAACGTCCACGAGCTGAAGAGCGAACTAAGGGCGTTCGTCGCGATGGTCAAGTCGCGCCGCGGCGAGGAGAGACTCGCGATCGCGGCGGATAAGGTCGACCGCGCCGCCGCGAGCGCGTTGCTGACCTCGAAGGTCGACGACGCGGAGGACGCGGACGACGACGACGACGACGACGACGACGAGGAAGTCGTCGTCGACGGCGACGGCGACGGCGGCGACGGCGGCGAGGAAGAAGTCGCGGAAGATAATAAAAACGCCTCGGCGCCTCTGAAGAAGAAGAAGACGAACGCCGCGGACGAGCTCGCGTGGCCGTCGCTTCGCGCGCCTTGGGACGAGTCGTCGGCGCCCGGCGAGAAGCACGACCTCCAGAGCGAGATCCTCCTCCGCCGCGACGCCGCGGTCGCGCGCTGCGACGAGTGGGCGCGGTACGCGCGACACCTGCGCGAGCACGTCGAGTCGCTCTCGCCGGACACGCGGTCGGAGCGTCGCGCGATCGTGGACGGCGCGAAAGCGATCGACGCGCTCGTCAAGCGTTGCGGCGGTCGCGTCGTCTTCGAGTCGCCGCGGGAGATCGAGAAGCTCGCGCAGGTGCGTTCTATACACTGGTTCCCATACGACCGCGTTGGCGATGTGGACGCCGATCCTTACGGACATTTGGCGGCGTCTCTCTCCGCCCACCCCACGCTTTCAATACCCGCCCTCGACCCCTTTCAACTCCAACTGACGCCTTTCAACTCCACCCCGACGTTCGCTCGTATGGAACGGCCCGCAGGCGGGGCGGTGGGGCGACGTCCTGCGCGCGATCGAGGCGTTCAGCGGCAGGAACGGGAGGACGCCACTCCGCGCCGGCGCGGCGGCGGCGGCGACGCGGAAGAGCATGAGCGAGATGGAGCGCGCGCACGATGCCATCGGGCCGGCGTTTGAGAAGCTCATCGCGGACGCGGAGGCTGAGCTCGTCGCGCGTCGATCGAATTCGACTCCTCTGACCGTCGCGACCGTGCCCGTGCGGACCGTCCACGCGAACGAGCTGTCGCTCGAGGACTTCATCGAGAACCACGCGCTGCCGGGCGTGCCGGTGGTGATTCAGGCGCGTTCTGTGCTCACGGTTTCTTTTTCACCCACCCTCGGTTTCAACGCGCGCTCGCGCCGGTCCCTTTCAACTGACCGATGAACGAACGTTTTATCATCGCCCGCAGGGGCTCAACGTGACCCCGCCGGACGCGCCGAGGTGGACGTTGAAACACTTCGTCGACGTGTGCGGCGACGTGAACGTCACGCTGAATAAGAAGGGCGCGGACACGGACAACTGGGGCGGGCTCGTGACCGCCGGACGTCTGACGCTGCGCGAGTTCGTCGCGTCGCACGCGACGGACGACGACCGAAAGCGGTGGTACCTGCACGACTGGAGCCTCAACAGGTGCGTTCCCCGCCAGCCGCGCGTTACTATTTTTACACGTATGTATCACTCTATCAACCAATCACGTGCACGCGTTACTGACACGTGTACGCCCTCGACCAATCATCGTCATCGCAGGGAGTGCCCGGACGTCTTCGGCCCGCCGCCGTACGACCGGTTTCTCGTGCCCAAGTACTTCGCCGGGGATTACTTCCAGAGAGTGCCCTGGGTGTCGTACGAGCACACGTGGCCGAGCTTATTCGTGGGCGCCGCGAACACGAGCAGCGCGCTGCACACGGACTCGGGCGCGACGAACTTTTGGATGTACCTGCTGTCCGGCGCGAAGCGTTGGCGCTTCTGGCCGAGGACGACGTCGTTCCACCTCTACCTCAAGCCGATGAGCTCGCACTACCGCGTCGACGCGTTTAACCTGAACCTCACGGAGCGGCCGCTGCTGGCGGACGCGCCGATGTGGGAGGTGACGCAGCGGCCCGGGGATCTCGTGTTCGTGCCGTCGAACGCGCCGCACGCGGTGCACAACGACGAGGATACCGTCGGGATCTCCATGAACTACGTCGACGCGTCCAACGTGGTGCGTTCTATACACTGGTCCCCATACGACCGCGTCGGCGTGGTGAACGCCGATCCTTAAGGACTTTGCCCGTCGTTTCTCTCCGCCCACCCCTCGCTTTCAATCCCCGCCCTCGACGCCTTTCAACTCCGCTTCTGACGCCTTTGAACTCCACCCCGACGTTCGTCGCTTTGTATGGAACGACCCTCAGTGGGCGTACCTACACGACGCCGCGAGCTCGGAGCAGTGGGAGGACTTTGAAAACTTCGACGTCGAGACGAACGACTTCGGGCTGTCGCGGACGCAGGGGGACGTGACGTTCGGGGAGTGGAAGTCGTCGAGGAGGGCGTGGGAGGGGAAGGTGAGGTTGTACCGCGCGGAGAGAGAGCGGCGCGGGGAGGTGAGACTGCTTCCCATACGACCCCGTTCGCGTGGTGCACGCCGTTCCTTGAGGACTTTTCCCGTCGTCACTCTTCACCCGCGCTTCCCTTTCAACGTTTGACCGGTAAGACGTTCGACTGACCGATCGCTTCACCCACGCAGGCTTCGAGAGGGAAACGGCCGGCGCCGGGGGAGAAGGAGGAGGATCTGCGTTTCCCGGTGTGGCTCGACTGAACGGACGGACGATATCTGTCGCAGCATACTGTAGGTGTTTATCGTGTATTGTGTTATCGCGCGTATCGTATCGTATTAATAACGCGTCGAGTCGTCGTCGTTTACGGCAGGCCCGCCTACGGTACGACGCCTCCTCGCGGCCGTACAAAGTATTAATTAAATCTGCGCGAACTCGGGATCCGCCGTGCCCATGTACTTCTTGATGTGCGCCTCCACGTCCTTGAAGTTCGGCAGAGACCGCATCTCGATCTTCTCCTTGTTTTTCAACGTGATGACGACGTCCCCCCACAACCCGACGCCGCGGCCGACGGCGATGATGTCGACGATCTCGTCCAACGGCACGTCCACGCGTTCCATTCTGAGGGTCGAGTCCATACAAAGCGACGATGTCGGGGTGGAGTTCAAAGGCGTCAGAAGCGGAGTTGAAAGGCGTCGAGGGCGGGGATTGAAAGCGAGGGACCCTGGGCGGAGAGATGCGCCGGGTGGAAAAGTCCTTAAGGATCGGCGTTCATCACGCCGACGGGGTCGTATGGGGACCAGTGTGAGATAGAACGCACCTCAGCGGGGACGTGGAGATGACGACCACGCGCTTGTCCGTGATCTTGTACGAGCTCCACAGCCCGCGTCCGATGGCGGCGATCGTGAGCGGGATCCACACCACGGTCCACGACATCGCGACGTTCGCGATGATCTCCCCGCGCGCGGGCGGCCCCTCGTACAGGATCGTCTCGGGACCCCAGTTCTTTCCGGACGGCTCGGAGACGTCCCCGACCGTCGTGAAGTCGCGCACGCCCTTGCGCTTCTTCGTCCCCGCGGGGGACGCGGACGAGGACGACGTCGGCGCGCCGAAGTCCTTCTCCTTGCGCGCGACGTCCGAGACCGCGCGCTTGGAGCGCTTCCCGCGGAGCGCGCCGAGGCGCGCCTCGAAGTCGTCCTCGGTCTCCTCCGCCGCGCCCTCCGCGTCCGCCGCGCGGACGGTCAGATTTATCCGCGCGCGATGGCGCGTCGTCGCCCTCGCGACGACGACGGGAGACGCGCATCTGACGAGACGCGCGCGGTTCGCGCCGCGGACGGCGACGCGCGACGACAGCGGCGCGGACGCGGTGACGTTCATGACGCTCGCGAGCATGACGACGGAAAAGACGGACGACGACGGTCGATGCGACGGCGACGACGACGCGCGCGATGTCGACGCCGCGAGCGCGCTCGGCGTCTTTTCTATCCCTTCCGTCGACGTGTCGTCCACGCCGCGCGCGCCAGCTCACAGAACGACTGGCTCTGCTTGACAGCGCGCGCGCGTCGAACCGTCGTCGCCGCGCGCGCGCGACGGCGACGCGCGACGCACTGCCGACGTCGCCTCCGCGCGTCGTCCACGCGTCTCCCGTCATGCTCGCGCGACTCGCGTCGTCGTCGTCCGCGTCCGCGTCGCGCGGCGGCGCGCGCGCGCCCGCGCGATCGCGCGTCGCGAGCGCGCGCGCGTCGACGTCGAAATCGTCGTCGTCGAAGTCGTCGTCGACGCCGCGCGCGATCGTCGCCCCTCGGACGCCCTGCGCCCCGCGGACGCCCTCGCGCTTCCTCCGCCGCGCGCCGTCGTCGTCGTCGTCCTCGAGCGCGCGCCGCCGTCCGCGCGCGTTCGGCGACGACCAAAACGGCTCGCTGCTCGATGACCTCGACGCGGACGCGCGCTGCCCCGTGCCGATCGACCAGCGCCCGTCGTCGCAGCTTCGCGAGATTCAAGAGTCGGCGCTTCTCGGGTGGGGCGGGCTCGAGCTCAAGTGGTATCTCTTTCGTTTAGGGCTCCTCGGGACGTTCTTCTACTTTGTCATCGCGTATCCGATCGCGGTGTACTCGTACGACCCGGCGACGCAGCCGGTGGAGGCGATCATATGCGCGCTCGTCGGTGCGTCCGCGACGCGGTCGCGTCGCGTGCAGAATCGCTCGATCGCTCCTTTCGTCGTCCGGAACCGACCGCGAGCGGGGAGGAAACGTTTTTCACCCGTCCCTCGGTTTCAACATTTGATCGCATCACTTTTCAACCGACGCGATCAACATTCCAAAAACCAAACCGTCCGGCTAAAAACTCCTCCCTCCCTCCCTCCCTCCGCAGGCTCGCTGACCGCGACCGCCGCGTTCGCGCTGCTGATCTACACCAACTGGAGTTACGTCCGCGACCGTCTCCTGAGCGCGACGGTGGAGTACGAAGAGACCGGGTGGTACGACGGGCAGACGTACGTGAAGGACCAAGAGATGCTCGCGCGGGATCGGCTGTTGGGTGCGTTTGGTTTTCGTTTGGTTTTCCTTAAGTTTTTTTCCCCGACGCGGCCCGGCCCGCGCCTCTCCCTCGCTCGCTCCTCGCGCGACCGCATCTCTCGCGCCTCCTCCCGCGTCGAGACGCCCGCCTCGCGGCGATGGACCCTGCTCCGCGATCGCGATCGCGCGCGCACGACACAAATAATAACGCCCTCTCGACGACCGTTTCACGCCTCTCCCCCGCCGACTCGCAGGCACGTACACCGTCAGACCGATCGTCGAGCGGCTGCGAAAGACGCTGCTCGCGTGCGGCGCCGGCGTGTTCGTCTCGCTCGCCGCGCTGAACAGCATCGACGCGCCGGAGTACGGCGTGGACGGGAGCGCGTACTACGCCGATGGCATGGGGAACAACGCGAAGGGGTACGACGCGACGAGCGCGATGCGGTACGAGCCGTCGACGCCCGAGGAGGAAGCAGCGGAGGAGGAGGAGGAGATGAGGCGATACGAGGCCGCGATGGAGCGGTACAGGGCGGATAACGCGCGCGCGGCGGTGGCGGCGGCGCGGGGGGAGAGCGTCGAGGCCGCGGAGGTGGATGTCGTCGGCGAGGACGCGGCGTGAGGCGCGACGCGGCGGCGGCGGGGGCGGGGGCGGGGCGGGTGGCACGCGCGCGGTCGGGGGAAGTTTCGGAGTTTCGGTGTCGCGAGTTCCGTAACGCTCCGAATCGATCTCGTAAAAATATTTCAAGAAATCGCGGGGCCAAAATATTGGTAGAGTACGATGATGAAATCTTCCCTGACTAAACCACCATACGATAAAATCCACGATCTGTACGCGCGAAATGAAAAATACGACGCGCCTTCGCCACGCCACCGGCGCCGAAGGCGTTTCAAAAAAGCCCGCCCGCTTTTTCCCGTGTTTTCGGGTTTGAGTTCAGAGTTTGAATCACTTCGCGAGCGCGCGAGGGGACGCACGCGCGAGGCGTCCACGGCGCGCGTTCCACCCTCGAGTCGGCGGATTCGGGTGGCACAGAGTCTGTTTAAGGCCTCGCTCGCCGGCGCGTGAGACGAGGAAAGGCGCGAGGTCGGTGAGGGCGTCGACTCCGGCGCGATGGGGGCGAGCACGAGAAGGCGCAGCGCCGGCGCGACGACCGCGAGCAGGAAAAAAGCGGACGCGAGGCTCGACGACATCACGAACGGAAAGGGCATGGGGGGGGAGACGACGACGAGCAAAGGCGCGCGTCCGAGTCGCAAGAGCATCGGGGGGCCGTCCACGGTCGCGCCCGTGGAGAAACGGGTGACGCGATCGTCGCGGAGCACCGCGAAGAAGGCGACGGAGACGACGACGGCGAAATCGACGAAGGCGAAAAACTCCGCGAAGGTCGTCGTCGGCCTCGCCCTGGAAGAGCGCTTCAACGACGTCGTGGACGACGTCCCCGCGGGGAAGAAGCGCAAGGCGCTCGGCGTGATCGAAGAGAAGCAGCCGAAGCGGGAGACGCGCGCGCGAGCGGCCGCTCGCAAGGGCGACGGTGCGTCCGACTCCGACGACGTCCCTCGCGCGCGATCGCACGCTTTTTGTTTTTTTTTCGAATCGCGCGCTCCCGCGCGCGCGCCGAGAACGCGCGCGACTGACGCATCCGACGTTCCATTCGATCTTAACAGGCGTGAAGAAGCTCGAGAAGAAGGTCCCACACGAGGTCATCGACCTCACGTGCGACGAGAGGCTCGTATCCGACCGAGGTGCGCGTCCGCATCGGTCCACCCCTCGTCGTCTTCGTCGTCGTCGCGTTTGAACCGTCGGGTTTGCCGCTGCCTGCAGCAGGGAAAATCTCGATCGGACCGACGATCGCGCGTCTTCTGACCTCCCTCCTTCCAAATCCACCGTGCCATTTGATCTCAGGCTTGGCCCTCGCGACTTCAGTCGGCGTCAGCGCGCAGGAGGACGTCTATCCGTTCTCCATAGACGGCGGGCGACGGATCACGGAGCGGAACAACAAGCTCGCCCCCTACGTGAAAAATGGCGTCCTGTTCAGGTGCGCGCCGTGCTCGTCTCTGAGCGCGCGCTTTCGCGATTCGAACGCGCGCGCATCTAAGCGCGCGTTGAGAAAATTTTACCGGTGATCGCGCGCGCGCCTTGGATCGTGTGTTGACACGATCTTTCGCTTGCGCGAGCGATCGGATCGATCAAGCCGGCGGCGTATCGCCCCCGCGCGTCGATCACCCCATCGCGTCGCACGAATTCAAAACCCGAAAAACTCTCGCTGACCTCCCGCTTTTTCTTCCTCTCTCGCGCTTTTCTCTCGCAGCATCGGAATGAGACAGGAGCTCGTGGATTGGATGTCGCAGCAGCACGGGACGTTGGACCTCGTGGACGAGACCCTCCACCTCGCGCTGCGGTACTTGGACACGTTCTTAGTTCGACGAGGTGCGTCTCGCGGCTTTGTCCTTCCCCGCCGCGCGCGCGGTCTGTTTGAACCGCGCGCGCGCTTTTAAATATCCGCCGCGCCGCCGCGGCGTTCAAACGCCGCCGCCGCCGCCGCCGCGACTTTTGAAATTCGTCTCTGACCTCCAAAAATCCCAATCGTCCGCTCCAACCCTTCGCGACAGGAACGGAACAATTCCTCGCGAGAAACGGCGCGGGGTCGGAGCCCGTCCCCGCGCTCCCTCTCCCCGACTTGCCGGAGAAGCAAGTCATGTACCTGAACGACGGCGAGCATCAGCCGCTCTGCAACAAGCTCAAGCGCCTGGGGATCACGTGCATCTTCGTCGCGGCGAAAGTGACGGAGGTCTCCGCCCCGAGCGCGCTCGAGTTCGCCGGCGCCGCGGAGGTGTCCACGTTCACGCGATCGCAGCTTTTGCTCGCGGAGCGCGCGCTCCTGAGGGAGCTGGAATACAACTTGTACCTCCCGACGGCGTCGTCGTTTAGCAGCGCGTACTTGTCCGTGACGCTGCCGCATCTGAAGAAGAACGGCGTCGTCTCCAACTACGAGGGCGACTGGGATGAGGACCCGTGCGAGGAGATCACCGAGATCGTGGACTACCTCCTCGAAGCGAGCGCGGTGTCGCACAAGTCTTTGGATTTCGCGCCGTCCGTCGCCGCCGCCGCGGCGATCGGCTACGTCTTGAGCAGAGTCTACGGCGTGTCCTGGGAGCGACTGTCGCCTCTGCACGCGCTGTCGGGGTACGGCGAGAGCGACCTGCACGGCGTGTTTGGGTTCTTCGATAAGCTCGTGAACGACGCGTACGACACCGAGGAGAAGGGTCGCGGGCTGCACGCGAACGATAAGTATCAAAACGCGACGAGCATCCTGTGGAGAAAGTTTTTCTTCTCGTGAGCGTCGTCGGAGGCGCGCGGGCGAGGGTGGGTGGAAAACGAGGGTACCGCGAGAAGAGAAGACGGGTCGTCGGAGGACGGAGGACGACGGAGAGAGCGGCGACGGCGCCGGGTCCGCGGGAAAGCGAGCGCGGATCCGGGAACGGGGTTGGAGTGGAGGAGACACTTAGAGGAGAGACGGAGGACGGAGGACGCGAGGAGGAGGCGTCGGGCGGGCGTCGACGCGCGGCGGCAGCGGCGGCGACCGCCGCCGGCGCCGACGCCGGGTAACGGGTATCGGGTAACGGGAACGGGTAGGGGGGGCATCGGAGACGGAGAGGCCGACGATCGGACGATCGATCGCGCCGGTACACGAACATCGTGAACGAAAACGTCGTAGATATTATCTAACGGAGAGGCACGGGGATCCCGGGCGAGGGTTTCCCTGGAACGAGGGTGGATGAGGTGTTGAAAATAAGACGAAAAGACGTTGCACGCTCCGCTCCGTATTACAAAAACGACGCGCGCCGCGATCGAGACCCGAGGCGCGCGCACTCGAGGCGACGATTTCGTCGCCCCCGCGCGACCCCCCGCCGGCGTCGACCGCGCGAACACGAGACGCGTCAGGTCGCGCCGCCGCGACGGACGCGCGCGACCGTCGCGGCGGAGGATTCGGGTTTGGGCAAAAGAAATACAATGTAACGCATCCGCCCCGCCCGTCGTCCGGACCCGCGTCACCGCAACATGCTCGCCCCGCTCGCGACCAGCGCGCTCGCGATGAACCCCCGGATCGCCGTCTCCGGAACGCTCAGGCTGACGTTCTTCGCCGTGACGTAGCTCGCCGCCATCGCCGTCGCGCCGAGCACGGCGGCGACGCGTATCCGAACGTTGCCCTCGCGCAGATGATGCGTCACCACCACGGTGTTCGTCACGAGCGTCGCCATGAGCGCGGTCGCGCATATCCGATGCACCTCCATGTCGCTGAACATGGACATGTACGTCGTCACGAGGACGCCCCCGCCGACGCCGACGGTGCCCTGGATCATGCCCACGGCGAGGCCGATGAGGAAGTTTTCGCGCTCGGCGATCAACGCCTCCGTCCACGACCCGTTCGCGTTGTCTAACCGCTCTTGGAACTGCTCTTTCATGTTGATCCACGCGTTGCCGCTCTTGCCAACCTCCGTCGTCGTCGTCGCGTCGCCGCCGCCGCCGCCGCCGCCGCCGTCCTGTCCCCCGCGCGTCTTCGACGACTCCGCGGGGGAGCCGGCGACGACGCGCGGGTTGTCGCGCGAGTCGTCATCATCCTTCGCGTCGCCCGCCTCGCCGTCCGACCGCCGCGCGCTCGTCCGCACGCGCGCCCACGCGCCGCCGACGTGTCGTATGATCGCCCCCCGCTCGTCCACGCTCCTCGCGACCGGCGGCGGCGGTTTAGATGAGGTTATCCCTCGCGGGCCCGAGCTCGTTTCCTTCCCGTCCGCGGCGCCGACGCCGCCGAGACCAGCCGCCGACTGAGGGTGTTTGCGCATACGAAGCGACGTCGGGGTGGCGTTCAAAGGCGTCAGAAGCGGAGTTGAAAGGCGTCGTGGTGTGTCGGGATTGTGAGCGATGGGTGATGGGCGGAGAGAAACGAACGAACGCCGGGAAGTAAAGTCCTCAAGGAATGAAGTTCACGACGCGAACGCGGTCGTATGGGAACCGGTGCGAACCAGAACGCGCCTTGTTCAGATACGCGAGGATGCCCCCCTTCGCGACGAGCTCGTCCGCTTTCCCCGCGAGCGCGAGCGCGGCGGCGCCTCCCGGCCGCGAGTCCCCGACCATGATCGGAGACCCCTCCGGCTCGTCCAGCTCCGGGTGTCCGGGCACGGGCTTGTGCGTCTTCTTCTTGACGAAAGCCGTCGGCGCGCACATGAGCAACGCGCCGCCGCACCACTGAGGGTGAAGCGATGATATCGGGGTGGAGTTGAAAGGCGTCAGTGGTGGAGTTGAAAGGCGTCGAGGCGGGCGTGTCGGGATTGAAACCAACCGGGGCCCAGGGGTGATGGGACCCTGGAGAGATGCGCGGTCGGTCTGGTCCGCCGCCCACCTTGCGCAGCGTCTTTCCGGAGATTCGCTTGGCGATCATCTGCCCGAACGGCGTCGTCGCCGCGCCGACGACGCCGATCGCGATCGCGGCGGGGATGTCCGTCACGTTGTTCGACGCGTACGCGTACGACCCCGCGGTCGTCTGCGGAGAGAGGAGGGGGCGACGGGACGAGCGCGTGAGACGAGAGGAGAGGATAGACGTCGCTCGCCGCGGAATATTCATCAATCATTCTACAGCTTTCGAGAAGAGGGACGATAAATTGCTTGACGTCGACGCGCGAACGCCGCCGCGCGGCGACGCGAGAGGAGCGGACGCGTGCGCACCGCGCACGTCACCGCGACGACGGTCGTGCCGACGATCTTCTTCGCGGTCATCCCGAGCTTCGAGCACGTCGGCACGAAGACGACCGCGCCGCCCAACCCGGTCAGCGCGCTGAGCGACCCCGCGCAGGTCCCGCACCCGGCGGTGAAGTACTGCCATCCCGGCTTGAGCGGCGCGGAGACGCACTTCGCGGCGGTCGCGGCCACCTTCGTCGCGGCCTTCGCGGCGGACATGGCGGCGGGCGCGACGGACGGAGCGCGACGGACGCGCTTCGACTTTTCGTTTCCGCGCGGCGACTGACGGTGCGTCCGCGGCGGCGCCGCGAGTGCGCGCGACGCGACGCGACGACGGCGGGTGCTGAGATAAAACAAACACCAAACCCTGCGGACGTGTAAAGGCGTCACGGCCGTGGAAAAGGTATCGCGGGCGATCTGCGCGGAATCCTCGCGCGGCTGACTGTTTGCGCGTAGGGCTGCGCGCACGCGCACGCGTACGGGTCCCATAACCTAGATTTTTCCGACACCCTCCAGCTAGGTTATGGGACCGCGCTTTCGCTCATCAGTTCCGCCCGTCGACGACGACGACGGAGAGACGTCGACGCGCGCGTCGTCGCGGCAGCCGGAGGGTCGCGAATGAGGGCGAGGGCGTGACGCGACAGGCAGGAGAGAAGACCGAGCGAAGCACCGCACCCTCGACGCGATGCCGAGCGCCGCCGCCGCCGCCTCGGACGCGTCGGACGTGAAGAAGAAGGAGGAGGAGGCGCTGATCATGCTCTTGAAGGAGCGCGCGCTTCGACGCTGCGGGGCGTCGCAGCGGACGTACTACGAGTGCGTCAAGGGGAGGCTGATCTCCGTCGCGTGGGCGTGTCGCGAGGATGCGAACTCGATGAACGCGTGCCTGAGCGAGCACACCACGGACGTGGCGCTGAGCGACCTGAAGCGACGATGGGTGCGCGCGGGTCGACCGAGCCTCGCCGATCGCGACAAGATCGCGAAGCTGTTGGGCTCGTAGACGTAGACCGAGGAAGGACATACAGGTAGTGTTGAATTAGACGTCGCGCGAGAAGGCATAAGACACGTGTATAAATACATGCATACATCTCGCGTTAAATTAGTAGTCGTATATGTACGCGAACGCGGCGCGCGCGCGTCAAACGCGTGCCTTCTCGCCCTCGCTCTCTCTTCCTCCCCTCAACCGCGCACGCCTCACTGTCGATTCGCCGCGTTTCGCGCCTTCTGCTTACTCTCGTACTTGCCGAGCACCTCCGCGAGCAACGGCGGCGCGAACTTGGGCTTCCCGCCGTGAATCTTGCAGTCCTTGCAGAACGACAGCAACGTCGCGTCGATGCCCATCTCGACGACGGACATGAACAACCCGGCGAGGATGAACGCGAAGATGATGACGAAGACGACGATGAGCAGCGGCGACGAAACGCGATTATCCCCCTCCGTGTACTCGTCCGTGTCCAGGTACATGAACGCGAAAAAACCGGACGTCAGCGCGACGCCGAGCTTGCCCAGGAAGAGAAGCACGTCGCCGACGATGTTCACCGCGCCGACGGTCAGGATGTTGGACATGATGAGCGAGATGGCTTCCCACGCGGAGAAGCAAAAGGACTTGCCCTCGATCGCGATTAAAATGTACGCGTTCTTGTTGATCCACTCGAGAACCTTCTGGAGGTACCACAGGCAGTACTGCAGGCAGCACGCCGCGTACTTGATGCAGCAGCTGTCGTTCCCAGCCTTCTTCATCTTGTGCACGACGTACGCGACGATGATGCGGATGAACTGCAGGATGGCGACGAGCAGCGATCCGAAGCACGCGCTGCCGTTGTGGAACCACGTCATCTTTTTAAACGACTGAGGGTCGTTCCATACAAAGCGACGTCGGGGTGGAGTTGAAAGGCGTCAGTTGGAGTTGAAAGGCGTCGATGGCGGGGATTGAAAGCAAGGGATTGGCGGAGAGACACGCCGTGAAAAGTCCTTAAGGATCTGCGTTCACCACGCCAACGGGGTCGTATGGGGACCAGTGTATAGAACGCGCCTGAAACACCGGGCTCGAGCAACATCCCCGCATTCCCTCGGAGAAGGACCCGCCGCGGAAGTAGAACAGCGCGAACACGTACGCGATCGTGAGGTACGTCAGCGCCTGCAGCCACTGCGTCGTCCACAGGAGTCCGAACAGGTGGTACAGGAGCATGTACTGCAGATCCTTCGTCATCTTCGTCTCGTAGCCGCAGTGACAGTTCTTCGCGTCCGCGGAGTCGGCGCAGTACCGCTGCGGCTGCGCGCCCGCGGTCAGCGTGCAACTCTGCTGCTCGATGTCTCCCGCGCTGTACATGTACACCGCGGCGGCGACCCAGTACGCGAAGAGCGCGAGCGCGACGAACACCGGGATGAGCGGGAACACGATCGTCATCGGCGCGGCGGCGATGCACTGCGTCGCAACCTTGATCACCGCCACCGCGATGCGCACGCGCTTCAGCATGAGCAGCGTGAAGAGCAGCAGGATCACGGTGAGCGCCGTGCACGCGTACGCGGCGTACGTGAGCACCTCCTGATTGTCCTCGGAGGGGTCCGTGTACGACGAGCCGCCGTCCTCGTCCGACGCCGCGATCGCGTCGTTGCCGATCACCCCCGCCTTCATGTACAGCCACAGCGTGCACAGGATGGCGAAGATGTTCACGAACGCGATGACGAAGTACGCGAAGAACCCGGCGAGGTAGCGCATGATGCCGAGCCACACGAAGGACAGCACGACGGGCGCGAAGAAGCCGCAGACGAGGCAGACGACCCACGCCTTGGCGAAATCTTCGATGTACCGCTCCATCACGCTCGCGGGCGTGGAGAGCATCTCCGCGACGGCGTCGGACAGCGCCGTCACCTTGTCGTCCAGGTCGTACGACTCCGGCGTGCTCTGCGAGTTTGTCGACAGCAGCGACGCGAACGCCGTCTTCGCCCCCGACGTCTGCTTCGCGTAGTAACTGCACGTGCCGTAGGATTCCGTCGTCGGCAGCAACACCGGGTAGCACGGCCCCTTGTACACGCGCGAGTTCGCCTGGTGCGACCCGGTGGTGATGGAGGAGTAGTAGTCGTAGTTCATCGCCGCCCACTGATCGTACGACGTCGTCGTGGACGTGATGGCGTTCAGGCCGCGCGAGTCGAGGGAGTCCGGGTAGTTGCACACCCACGACAGCGTCGACGACGCGGCTGGGCACGCCTTGAGACAGATCGATTTGGCGTCCTTGATGTTCGCGCCGGCGGTGTTGCCCGCCTCGAGCACCTCGTACGGGTTCACGAAGTACCGCACCTTGAAGTCCTCCAGCGCGCCCTTGCCGCAGAGGTTGCCCTGGTAGTCCGTGCCGTAGACGAGGATGCGGGGGTCGCCCTTGGAGAAGCCGTAGGCGCCGGCGTAGACCATGCCGACCCAGAACGCGAGGAAGATGAGGGTGAATAAAACGTCCGTGCAGCGGCGGTTTTTCTCCATATATTCCTCGCCGGTCATGTCCTCGTCGCTGCGATCGCGAGGTGGGGGGAGAGAGGGAGGGAGGCGCCGCCGGAGGGAGGGGTAATCAGAATTTGACTCGATTTCGATTTCGATTTCGATTTCGATTTCGATTTCGATTTCAACAACCTCGGACGGGGGGTCGTTGTTTTCCCGGGCGCGGCGGCGAAGGCGGCGACCGCGGGAGGTCGCGACCGCGGACGCCGCCGCGCGGGTCCGCCGCCGCGGGGATCACGCCGTCGAGAGCGACCCCCCCGCGCGTCGCGGCGGCGTCGGCGAGGGAGCGAGACGACCGCGCCGGGAGTCCGCGGATCGCCCGATTCGCGCGCCTGAACCGTGCTGGATGAAACTATCTCGCGCTCGCCCCGCGGCACGTCGACGGGGCGGAGCGCGGGCGCGAGGGACGACGCGAGCGCGCGCGGGCGCGGGGACGCACATTTTCTCTTTGCAACAGCACCCCATGGCGACCGTCGGGGGGGGGGGACCGTCGAAACCGCGCGCGTCGACGACGCGCGAGGGCTTCTGCCCGGCGAGCGCGCTGACGCGTACAGTTGTCAATCGAGTCGAGCGCGTTTTGACGGTCTGTGAACCGTAAAAAAGAATCGAATCGATGTTGTTACAAGTCCAATCACATTACGAGTAAAGGCGTACAGTAAACGTCGAGAACGAGCGCTCCCTCTCGAAGTCTGAACCCGTCGTCGATGACCCGTCGACCTCCGCGCGCGCGCTAGAATCAAATCACCCGCCGCCGCCCTGCCGCGCGTAGTACGCCCGCGACCCCTGCGGCGGCGGCGCCGGGGGAAGCTCCGCGCCCCCCGCCTCCCGCCCCGTCGACAACCCCGGCGCGGCGCCTCTCTCTTCGTCCTGCGCGGACGCGAACCGCACGAAGACCTGCTCCAACGTCGTCTGAGACACGGAGTAGTCGTCCACGAGGCCGCCGCCGCCGCCGATGGCGCTCAGCGCGCTCGGCGGCGGCGGCGGCGGCGGCGGCGGCGCGTCCGAGCCGTCCGAGTCCGAGTCCGAGTCCGGCGGCTGCGGCGGCTGCGCGGCGGCGGGTGATTTGATTCTAGCGCGCGCGCGGAGGTCGACGGGTAGATGAAGCCGGGCGTCGACCTCGAGAGCGAGGGTCTGCTGCCCCCGCGGGCCGCGCGCGCGCATCCGCTCCACCGCGTGGAAAATCTGCCACAGCCTCACGTCCTCCTCTCGCACCTTCAGCGTCAGCTCGGACGCGTGCGA